GTGGGTTGCAGTGCAGGTTGGATATCGTCACTGCTGTTTGAGTTGTGTTGTTTGAGTGGCAGTGACTCTTGGGTGCACAGTTGAAGAGTAAGAGTACTATATCTGTTGTACGGTCGTGATACTCCCTTGGTGTTCTACAGTCCCTTTGGTCCTTTGTCCTTCCAGTCCCTCGTCGGTCCCGTCCTCATCGCTCCGCTATACTCCTCCGTCGTCGTTCACTCTGTTCACTGTTTGTTTCAGTTCATTCTGTAATTTAGTTTGGTTGTTTAATTGATTATGTTAGGGAGGCACATGTTTTGAACTGGTTCACTGCGCTCACGCGTCACGGGGCGGGCCCCCCGTACCCCCCTTTTTTCCGGAATCTAATCCTAGGTTGGGTGGTTGATAAATTGTATCATGGAAGACAAGTCTATAAATGGCATTCTATTCACAGTCACTCCATTTCTCCTATTGATTATTCAAGTGTGAGGCTACTAAGATAAATCTAGTCTACTGTAGGAGTGATCCAAGTTGTGGCTCGACTACGCAGTGTTGAGTGCGGGTGGCGGTCCCCCTTCCTCTATCTAACATTCCCATTCATTTCACTATAAAGTCAAGACCACTCAGTCTCTCGAGTCCCTCGCCGTCTAGTTTGGTTATAAGGGAAAGCACAACCCCCGTGTCCTAAGCACTGTCCTACACAAGGTAGTCGAGAGGGAAGGCACGCCAGTACTAGCTCCCAACCCTAAAACCTTATTCAAACCTTATTTGAACCTTATTTCAACCATGGATCGGTCCATGAGGGCATCTCTCCTGTGAGGTGGGTACAAGGAGTACAAAGACAATACAAGCCATCATTGCCGTCGTAGCAGTGTCGAACCCTCTCTTACTGGTCCCCCCTCTGGTCCTTCCTTGCTGGTGAGACGCACCGCTCTGTCCGAGCATTTAAAAACCTCCCCCATCTTCCTACGTATTGTACCCAACTGACTAGACAATATCCTTGTCCCAGGAGCGTAGTCAAAAAGAGAGAGACCTATCTGATTACATCGTACCTATTCCGTCTGTTCATCACTCCGTTTGCTCGTCCCTCGTTCGGTTGGCTGTGGCGGGCTGTGGATGTCGTCGGTCGCGGGCTCCCTAGTCCTTCTAGTCAGTCTATCTATCGATCAGTCAGTCCTTTCATTCCATTCATCCAATCAAAACAAAACCATTCTTGTTCCTTCTACGTTCTTGTCAAACGGAGGGAGTCGAGTGCGCCAGCACGACACGAGTGAAGAGAGGACCCTGTCAATAACAACCCAGCATGAATAAAGAGTTTGGGCGTGTAACCCCGTTATTCAGCAGAAGCAGTGCCTCTGCGCAACAGAGGATAAGAAGAAGAGAAAGAGAGGAACAATCATTATTCGGGCATCACTGCTATATCACTCCATTTGTCTGTTGGTTCAGGACCCATCTGTACAGGACAGTAGTGGTGACTCACTGCGTTTGTTTAGTGGTACCGGACAGGGCCGGGTAGTGGGAGCAGGCTGTGTCCTTAGGTCTGTCGGTCCCTCTGCCCCTATCATTCCCTCTCTTTGTTCGGTCATGGGCCCAGCACCTTCTCTTCGTTTTGGTTGGGTCGGAAGCCCTGTCGCTGGCGCTCCATGTCCCGATGTACACAGTTTGAGATCAATAGTAAGACTGGTGTTGGCACACGGTTTACGCTCGATGCTCAAGCTATTAAGTAAATTATAGATGATAGTCGTCCCTCCTAGAATAGCTTAAGAACACTAACACGAAATCCCGTTAGTCATCCACTGCTTCCACGCAGTTAATCCGTCGTCCCTCTAAAAGATAATCCGATCCAATCGGCTTCCCTTCACTCCGTTCCGTGTACTTCCCTTCGGTCCGTTAGATCAACTCCGTCTCTCTACAGTCACTCCGTTCCTGCGACTCCCCCTGGTCGTCATGCATCCTTGGTTGCAGTTGGGTTCCCGTCTGGGGTAGTGCAGTTGGGTATCGTCATTGTTGAGTTAGTGGTGTGGTTTGCAGTGACTCTACTAATGGTGAAGTGTAGTCGTAGTAGTATGGTCGGTCGCGATACTCCCTTGGTGTTCTACAGTCCCTATCGTTCCTTGGTCCTTCCAGTCCTCTATCTCACGATGTTCGATGACCGTTCCACTGGATCACTCCGTGATGTTCCTTCCAGTCACAGTTTGTTAAATCTTTGGTGTAGTGTAGAGAGAGTCAAGGTAGTTCTATTGATTATGTTAGGAAGGCACATGTTTTGAACTGGTTCACTTCGTTCACGCGTCACGGGGCAGGCCCCCTGTACCCCCCTTTTTCCATAATCTAATCCTAAGGTGGTTAGTCGATAAATCGTATCTACGGAACAAGAGTCTAGTATCACTAAGTTGAAATCTACTATCATAATGCCTTTATTACCAAGAAATATGAAGGCCTACTGCCAGTTCATAACGATAAAACCACTGCATATCTTGTTCATTCACAACTATCTCATCCCACTATACCAACCAGTACGGGATGGAAAAAGAATGCTTCTTCTATGACCGTTCCTCTCTCTATGACCCTCCCCGATGGCCTGGGAGCATCCACCAAGACGGGCCACGCCTATTCAAGCGTGAACAGAAGCCTGATGAATACAGCTCTCCGAATACCAACCGCCGCTGTTGCACCAGTTCTACTTCCTGTTCCCGTTCTCGTTCCTCTCTCCCATCCGCACCGGACAAGGGCGATATGAAGCCCGCCAAAGTAAACCTGTCCTGCACAAGCGAGACAACATCATGCCGGCGTCCCCTCCAGTCGTGCACCTCCTCTCGTTCAATAAGCTCCATCCATGATCGCCCCGGCATCACTACCCGTGCAAAGAAAGACCGCCTCACAAGGTCCGACAACGACCTCCCTGGCTGTGGAGGAACGAATACCGAAAAAGAGAAACAGACAACCCCTCCCGGGATGCCAAAGACGAGGCCCATCTCCGGAAAGACACAGCACTCTATTGTACCTGGCTCCTCCACCATGAGCCACAACCGGGCACAAATCTCATCCACCTCGTCCCTTGACCGAAACAAGCCAACAGCAAAACAGGACTGCGTATTGTCAGTACCCTCTACAGCACCGTCGTTCACCTCTTGTCGCGGACCTTCCCGTCGTGCCAACAACTCTAGGTACAAAGAATGCATCTTGTCCTATTCCATAACAAACCTATTCATGCTTTCATGTCTCAGATAGTGTATACCGGGGCGCGTATCATCATGACCTTGGATCTTGCTCACCAAGTCTGTTGAGTCTGTCCAACACGCCGTGTCTATCCAAAAAGGAGAAGAGGAGGAGAACAATCCATCGTTCAGAAAAGTGCGTGACCCCGTCTCTATCTATTCCATTCTCTGTCCTGTACCAACAGTCCTGTACCGTTGGGAGGGGGGCATGCTCGTTGGACTCGCTTAGTTGGCCGGACAGGTGCCCGGTTTAGTGGGAGCCAGGGCTGTGTAGTATTGGTCAGTCGGGCCCTCCTTCATTCCTATCCAGTCATCCATGGGGTTCCGTGCCGTCCCCTTCCCTCACTACGTTCCGTCATTCGTCGACAGCCCCTCCGCTACGCTCTGGGTGTCCCGATGTACACAGTTTTGACCATACAGTAACGCGAGTGTTGGCACACGGCTTTTGCTTGTTGATCATGTAGCGGAGCGGTCGACCAAAGGGAGATACCACGGAGTGGTGTGGACGGAGTCAGGGGAACGGAGTGACTAGGGGAGCGACAGCGACGTGGAACCAACATCGTGAGATGGAACAACAAGGGAACGGGAGTGACCGACTACTAGATAGACTTAATCAATCGAGTCACTTGAACAAACTAAACAAGCTTAAACCAAGTGACGACGTGGTACGAAAAGAACAAGCCACATTATGGGCACATGAAGATAGAGCTCGAGACGTTCGAGGACCTGTTGGATACATTGGGGAGGGATCTGAGCGGCGTGGATCCGAAGGCGAAGGATCACATTCGCAAGGTGCAAGCAAGGTATATAACTCTCGCACTAGTGAAGATGACGGCCTGGACGATTCCGAGGGGGGGTGTCGACAGAGTCGACATCTGCTTCATCCTGCTGGGGAAACTCCGCGAAGTAGGTCATCAGATTAGCGAGGGTTTCCCGCCGGAAGTCATCGCGATGGTTAGGGTAATACCCAACCAGATCGAGGCTCGGGATAAAGCCGCTCAGTAAAAATGACTGTTGGATCCATGCGATTCCAGACTGCAAACCATCTATACCAGGACCCACATGTATGATTAGATAAGATAAGATAGTGGATTGAGAGGGCACTTGGCCAGACCTTCGAGTCCAGCTAGATTCCTCTCAATCCAACCATCAGCAACATCATGACCTTGACCCCATACTCGAGTATTATGATTGATCGTTCAAGCCTGTTCCAACAATGACCCTATATTTCTTGTGTCCTCTAGATTTAGCACCGCGAGTGAGCCGAACGAGGTTATGATATACCCTGCTGATGTCTAGTGAATGAAGAACTTGTATCCATGTACCGGTACTTGAGCTTTGCTGGCGAGTGACGCGTTCTTCGAGTGGTGGTGGAGCCGCTGACTTGTCTCGAATCCAGCCATGAGAGCATAGCAGCTTCTGAACAAAACAAAACAGCATATGCTTTGGGTTGTTCGCACTGCAAGCCGTGATATAAAGTTGGTCCCGGGCAGGATGTTGGGTGTCACGGAGCTCGCCTATGTGAATATCCCTGGGGTTTCCCGATGTTGGATGTACTGCTTGGCCCAACGGCCTCGGTTATGGGGAGAACAAAGAACTAGGAGACTCTGAATCACCAACTCGACGACGATCCACCAACCTCGAGGGGCTCACACGAAACATGTACGACGTGAGATGAACACAAAGAATGCGGCCTGATCTAACGTCTATAAAGTTAGCAGGCATTTCCAGCCATATCACCCTTTTCCTTCTTCATCAACCACACCAAACAGAACTCCCCCGCATACACATCGAGGAGTCACCATGGGCACTCTAAGGTACGTCGACTCAAAGGTTCGCTGTTACTCTGCTGACGCTTTGAACTAGGCCATTAACTAGTGAGGATATCAGAGAGGCAGATGCTGCGGCGCACAAGCGCCTCAAGGTAGGGTTCGAGGCAAAGTTCGAGAAGCTCCAGGCGCAGCTCGGGGAGGAAACGCCGCAGCAGCTCGAGGACCGGCTCGCCAAGAAAGCCGAAATCACGAAAACTATGAAGTCAGATTTTGAACCGGGCGACAACGGAATGCTCGTGCCGACCCCAAAGCTCAAGGTGCTGGATTTGGATGACCTTGCCGACATACGTGGAGTCTTGCTCGAGTTGACCGAACGCTCCCTTTGCACAGAAGAAATCCAGAAGTCTTTGGGAACGGTCGTAGAAGAGTTCGTGGATAGATCCAGTTTTTACACCCAAGCAGGGCCAGACGCTGAGAAGGTTTTGAAGGATCAACCATACCTTCACCTCGAAGCTTGGGAGCACGTCCGCAAGTTGAAGGAAATCGAATCTCCACTCACTGCCTACGCCGAGAAACTCTTCGTCACGGGAATTAAGCCGCTTGGTGTTGGAATCGAAGGTCTCTCGACAAAAGTTACCAATGCAATAGAGGAGGGAGAGAAGGACAGCCCCAAGACTGGACTTGAGGCGAATCATCACTACGCGATGGATGGAAATGATGGATTCCAGGAGGCACTGGATGAGGCCCACCGAAGCGATGGAGAGGGAGTTGCCCACACGCGTTATGTGGAATATAGAGGGGGAAGCGATGGAGAGGAAAGCGACGAAGAGTCAAGCGATGGAGAGTTAAGCCAACGAAGGCTGGTATATAAATATAACCCTCGTTACGGTGTCGAACGGGCTATTAGGGGTGGGGTCCCCGGAACCCTTATAATAGAGGTTGGAGCGCCTTGATGAATCCAGCTACCACTTAGATACCTCATCAATCAGATCACTCTGAACCAAACGAACACTCTTTCTTATCCTCTTCTTCCTCACCATGGCCACAAAGTCTTTCACAGCTCCCATCAAGCTTCCCAGCAATGCCCTTGATTGGGCAGACGAGACTCGCCACGCGTATCTGCAGTAGCCTCATACCATGAGCTCCAGAATCCAATGGTGTTTTTCACATGGATACCATCGCCGTCTAACTTCACCGTGAGATGACCACACTGGTGACGAGGTATTATCTACAGCTATCACCGAGCGTGGGTGCAGTAGTATCTTGGTAACGATCCCGGTAATTTGCATATTCAAGCGAAGAGCTGGTCCTGGGGATGCTGCATTTTCGTTTCCTGTTTCGATGCGTAGCCTTTGATCACTCAGTGACACCGCGTGGCGAGGGCCGTCCGGCCGGACCTCAGAGGCGATTCAAAGCAGAAGCTTCAGCTTTGGTTCTGTAAGCGCGGCGAGAACTTCGGGCTCGTGGTAGTGCAGTCTGACAACTGCGTAGGATGGGCCGGTGGGCGGCTTGAGCTTGACTGGAGGCACACCGGTTATCGATCGTAGGTGCCTTGTTGTACGAGACTGGAATGTTGCCAAATGGCATCCAACAATTGTTGACAGACCGGCATTCATCGGTCACGGGGCTCCGTGTGTGGATTGCAAGTCGGTCCCGTCGTGCGACGGACAAAGCGACGTACGGCTCACCAACCAACATCAATCCCCAACCAATATCGCCGGATCCGGGATCATTATTGCAACGTCATACGACCACTTGGAGCCAACTTCGCGGGTAACAGAGGTCATACATCGGCTGCCGAAGACGATTCTTTGTTCGAGCGAAACGAGTTACCCCTGAATGAGCATTCCGAAACACTCTCAAAGGATGTACTGGATGAACTCAGAGACGCAAAAGGTTATAAACGCCTTCGCCGAGTTTGTGACGAACTACGGTCCCTTTCAAAGAAGGAGATCCTCCTCCCAGGCTTTTTGAGCGATGTGGCGGATATGTACGACAGCGCAATTAGCGAGCTTCGTGAAGAGAAAAGGGTCGCCAAACCACTTCTCGACCAGATGCGTTATATCCTAGAAGCAGTGAAAGGCATTTTCGATACCACGGAGGCTCGCATCGTCCAGAGGGACGAGGAGCTGGAGCAGCTGAGGAAGGCATCGGAAACCTTGGACGCGGCTCGGAAATTTGCTGAACGCAGGCTCCAATTGCTGAAGGTGCAGCAGGATCTGGTGGAAAGCGGCATTGAACAGTTTAAGATTAATATCACTGAATTCAAAAAGCGGTAATGATTTATGAGGTGCGTTCCCGGAACCGATGCGCAGAGGTGGTCTGGAGCCAGCGTCTTTGACTTACAATTTGTCCTCATGGGGGACTGTCTCTGGGCGGGTAGAGTTCATCACCGAAACTCCGAATGGCATAAACTTTGGGTCCAAAGAAATCGGCATCTGGGTTACCATAAGAACGTCTAGGCTTCGGATACTGCTATGTTTCGGGTTGAATGTAGAAGATCATCTTTTCTTCGTGGCTACCTCTTATCCTCGTAAGCTTGCCCGCATAACATCTCGAGTGAACAGGTATGCCTTGATTATCGTATAGCAAGCAGCGCTCTTTGGCTTCCGAGACTGTCAACTTTTCACGCCGCCATCACCATTTCCTTTGAATAATGGGTACCGGGCATGAGTGGCTCAGCCGCTCTTCATGCCTCCTCCGTTATCATGGGGGTGCTAGCTGCTTGTTGGTGACAGATCCCAACTCTTCGAACAGATTCTGACCCGATGCAATGCACATGTCGCTTGGAATCATGTTGGTACTACATTTCTCGCCTAAGGAGTTGGTTACACATGGGCCTGAATAGAACAAAGAAATAGTATCACACCTGACCAAGTTTGAGTCACCAACATCAGGATGCGAACCTCTTGCGTAGTGGGAGATTTCCTGATTGAAAGTACTTATAGTCGTCGATTTTCTCACCACCAGGGCTGTTCGGAAACTCCCTTCTTCTACTACATACCCACAACGCACACAACACACGTACACAAGTACTCCCCGTTCACCACCAAGATGAAAAAAACAAGGTCAATACTACACTTTCGCACACTGATGCCTTACTCTTCTAACATACCTGATAGTCCCGATGCTAGCAGTGTTGAGAATCACCAGTCAGCGTCAGCCCGCGCGGAAGCAACCCGCAACCCCCACGGTCCAACCCTCGACATCATCGAAGCAATAGTCCGCGACAATCCGACCCGAGCGTGCGAAGAAGACATCCGCATCGCCTACCAGAAAATCATTTCTGCGGCTGAGGAGGATGCGATTCTCCATGAGGCCTCGGCCGGCCTGAAGGTCGTCATGGAACGGCTCGTGAGCTCTGCATCTGGTTCGTTTGGGGCTCAAACTACCAAGAACGCTCTGGCTTGTATGAAACAAGTCCTCGACATCGCCGATCAGAGAAGGAAACAGATGAAAGAAAAAATTACCTGGCTAAACGAGTGTTTGACGAATGCAGATAGCATCGAGAAGAAAACGATCAAGCGGTTGGAGACTAGTCTACCGCAGTTCAAACCAGTGAATGCACTTCTCCTGGTGAATTTATACGACAGGCAGGGAAAAGTTGTCAATCAACGAATTTCCTTGAAGGAGCGCAGAGATGATCTGCAGAAACAAGTGGCTCACTACAAGGGGGTGCTCGACGGTATTACTCCCTCGGACAACATTCACGGAACTGCTGGAAAATCTACGTAAGGAGATGAGGAAGATGTGTGAGGGCAACAGGTCCACCGGAAAGCCGTGGAGGACTAAGGCACTGCGGAAAATGAGGTTTCAACAATATTTCATCGGAGGACCAGGAAATGCCTGTGGTTTGAGATTAATCTTGGGTTAGGAATAATACATTCAGACGGCTGGACCTCTGACTATCTTTGAACCAGCGATCATGCCTCAGCTTAGAGGAACCTGCGATTTTGGTGACACTGCGTTACGGAAAACAACCCCGGCATGGCGACAAGAGCCTAGACTTGATGCCGCACCAGCATTTGGCCCTGAGTCTGAATGGCGGAGGCACCGGGACGTTGCCATCGAGAAAAAAGCAGGTATCGGTGCTTAGAACCTCGCCGAATTTTCGAGCCAAGTCTGACTCGATCCGATGCACATGTCGCGTGGTTGTCACAAAGCCGACACGGGGCGATGTTGGTTCCACGAGTTTGGTCATGAGGCCTCAAGAACAAAGAACTTGGAACGGGCCGTCAGTCACAGATCACAAATTCGCTTGCCCAAAGGACTCTACCTAAAGCAGCATGGCGCATACGTAGAATCAATCACCAACCCAAAGTCCGAATTATTCGGTGACTGGTCCTCCCACCCTTATCCTCCCCACACGCAGCCTTCCTGACCATGGGCAGCGCCACCAATATCACACACCCAGCACATTACGCGATTGGAACGTAATACCGCATCTCGTTCTTCGGATCATACCGGGCTTTGAGATCCCGCAACCTCTCCAGCCTCCAGTCCTCCCAGCCGTAGACCGCCTGCAAGGGCTCATCGCCGTTGGCGTAGTTGACATAGGCCCGGAGGTGCGCCGGATCGTCACTCGCCTCGAGCAGGTACTGGCGCAGCTTCTCTCCGAACTCCTGCGCGACCGGGTCGATGGTCGAGTTGGGCTGGTACTGCACATACGAGGTGACCAGGATCTTGTCCTCGCGGTGCGGGAACGCCGTGCTCGCCGGGTCGACGGCCTGCACGGCCAGCGTCGAGTAGCCCTCGAGCAGGAAGAACGAGCCGGCGATTTCGGGTACGTTGCGGAATGTCTCGTCTATCTCGTCGTACACCTTCCTGACGGCGGCCGTGTCGTACGACTTCAACCCGATCGGGTAGCGGAGCGAGGTCAACCCCTTGGCACAGCCGGGCCCGTCTTGGTCCTGGAACGTGGCGACGGCTAGATCGTGCATTGTTGCATCGCCAGTCTGGACCTGAAGGGGGCCGAGATCATAGAGTGGCTTGGCATACTCATGCGCCGTCTCGGCAGGAGCGTCATAGATGATGCCGTACCATAGAATGGGCTGAGAAGCGGTTAACCCTACGACATGTCGTGTTGGGTGGCGGTTACGAGGGACTTACATGCTCAGGATCAATCTCTGCGACCTTTATGATGTAACCCCAGTGGATGAGCTCCGGTGGTTGATCCTTGAGCATCTCATTCGCCAGGTCATACAGGGCCTCGAGCTTATCTCCAGTGTAGATGAAGATCTCGTAAGACCACTTCGGGTTCGTGATGTCGTACACGCGGTACTCCCACTCTACTGCCAGGCCAAAGTTGTGCCCCGCGCCCCTGACGGCCCAGAACAGGTCAGGATTCGATTCCGCTGATACGGTGACGAATTCGCCATTTGGAAGCACGAGCCTGCCCGAGACCACCTGGTCTGCCATGAGGCCATACTGGCCTTGGAGCCACCCATGGCCTCCTCCCATGATCGGGGCTGACATGCCGACGCACTCGCAGATACCAGTGACTGGAAGTAATTAGCACCCGATCAACACACTCTCACTTTGGACAATGGCTCGCTTACCTGTTCGTTTTCCCAACCCCTCGAGGGTGTCGATGACCTGCTTCACCGTTGCGCCGCCGCCAATAGTGGCTGTCGTGCCATCCTCGGACAGCTTGATCTGGTTGAGCGTTCGGAGATCAACCTGAATGGCATTCTTTGCGTTCGCCAGGGACTCTGTGGCTCCATGGCCCCCTGCCCGGGCAACGAATGGAATGTCATTCTCCTTAGCATAGCGTACCTGGGAGAAGTCAGTGGTTTTGTACAATCGCTAGTGATACGTAACGGATTGGTGTCCACTCACCACTTGCTGGACATCATCTGCGGTGGCAACCTGCACGACAACGGAGATATTCGGGGCGTGCCACTCCCTCCATCGACTCGTAAGGTTGGCGAACTCACCATCGCAAGGGAGGACGATAGACGCCTCCGGCGATAGTAGCGGGCCCAGATCGGCTTGAATGGTGGTGTCTCCGGCCATGATCGACGGCACTTGTTCGGCGCGAATGTGAAGATGAGACAGAAAGCTCGCAGCGTAAATGCAGAAGGCGAGAACGAACATCATTTGATTAGGTAAGGCAATGCTACTTGGATTAGGTAAGGCCATACTACCGTGGGAAGGAAGAGGGGGTTCGGGTTCAGAGGTCAAGGAGTCCGTTTGGTTGTGAAAACGTTGCAGCGATCAGAGTTCCAAATGCACAGCACTACGAGGGTTGCCCACATAATATTGGGAACACAACATCGAGCGTAATAGGGGTTTCATTTGGAGGCCGCAGGAAAACACCTTCCGGATCTGGCGGGCGTGGCCCTTGCTTGTGTTACCGAGCCGGGGACATTGATAGGTAGAAAAAGGGCTCGACCCTCAGTCAACGCATTATAGCCAGCCTGCTGCTATACGTCGATTCGCGCACTGTACTTGTAGTTCGGCGACTTGAGGCTGAATCCCTTTCCACGTCTCCCGTTCCGCACCTCCCGGTCTTCCCCTCTCCCTTTCCCGGGCACCCCAGCTCCCTCCGACTCTTCCCCTCTTTCTCTCTTACCGTAAGCCGTCTCCAATCCAGCCTTCTATTTCTTCATACTCCTTCCGCTGCAAACCGCTGGCACATGGGATGTCGCACCTCCTCTCCCGAAACAGTAGACCCGCGAGAGCCGGACTTCTCAGCTTGTCAGCCACATACGCGACATAGCGTGAATGATGACACCGGTCGTTTGCAGATGACACCTCCCGTTTGCCGATGACACCCGTCGTTTGCACTTTGCAAACGCAGCAGTGCTCATTAGCCGACTACCCTGATACAGCTCGCTTCACAGCGAATCGTGAACTTTACTGTGTCCATGGTGTGTTCCAAATCGAGGCAGGTGGTTGGAGCGCTTTACTTGTACCTCGTACTCATTACTGACGTGGGCACCAAAGACCGTAAGAGATTCATGATGACCGACATGTTTGAGCCACCAGAGGGTATCCATAACCGACACCTTTGACACCAGTTCTTAATGCATGCTTATCGCGTAATCATATGTAGCATAACGATGGGATCCATAGAGCCCCCTTAGGCTGCAACGACACATGATTGCCCCCGAATCGACCCTGAACTCAGCCTAGGCACCGTTACATTACGGTTCTGTGACAGGTGATGGCTGGTTGAAGAGGTCTACCGCTGGTCATGAGGATAGTAAGATGCGGGTTAGAGAGGCCAAAATAGCATACTGGAACATGGCTACTGATTATGTTCTATCGATGTGTACCTGTCCATGCTCCAGGCCATGTGCAAGAAACCCAGTGGCATTGAAAACCCTCCACCGCTCAACATAGTCCTTCAAGGCCTCAAAATCGCGACATTGCCTGGGGAAGCCACTGCCCAGAAACCCGTTTGCGTCGTCCTCCGCCGGCTCAACGGTGCTGTCCGCCGCACACGTGATGCTTTGCTCCAGATAGTCGAAGCAGTGAGCCGCATGGATAGTTCGGTTCTTGCCAAAGTCGAACCTCTGGAGCTCGCCAGACCGCGTGTAATACGCCCGCCGCAGGACGTAGAGGCAGTGCAGCTGGTGGAAGACGGTCGGGATGGAGATCTTTGGCGCGAGATCACCGTCCCTGAAGTACCCCACCCCGTCTTTGATGGTCTGTTAGTCGAAACTCGCCGCCGTCGACGTGAAGGCCAAACCCTCGGATGCTTGGAATACTCACTCGGTATCAGGGCGTCCCATATCGGCTCCGACGCGTCGCCTGCTCCCTCGCCCTGTGGTGGCTCTTGCGAGAAGGGCGATTTGAACACGAACTCTCCCACTATTCCGGGTACTGAGATTTGCGGCGCGGTTGACCCTGCCGCGTCACCCTTCTGGTGGCTTGCTTGCCCGGGCTTGGAAAGACGCCCGGCGAAGTAACAGCCTATCGCTGTCAGGAAGAAGCAGGCTATGACGGCTAGGCACCTGAGCGTCTGAGACCTTGATCGTTTCTGGTCTTCCAATGCCACATAGCTTTGGTCTTCCTCATCTTTCGCTAGAGGCTGATACTCAGGTTTCGTGTGGACATGCTCCATCCTGTTTGCAGGATTGGTTTCTTGCTTTTAACAAGTAGTGGTAGGAATTGTAAATAGCAGAGCGCGCTGTCCCGAAATTCGTCGAGTTTAGGAGGCTTGCTTTGCTGTCCGATCAGTTACTACTAGAAGACGGCAGGATTCTTATCGCATACACTGTGCAGACTGTCAGATTCGAGGACATGATATAATCATGGGGTTGTAGGGTGGCGGTCGACGAGCGGTGACGCCGGGGTCAAGCCTCACGAATGCTACTGTGATAGTTGGAGTATTGACGGAGCCGACATACGCTGTTACGTGTCCACTCAGGCCTTGAACAAGAGTGCGGTGAGGAATTCACGCATGCATCTGACCCGAGGTGTCTTGTGGACGTTTCCTTGCTGTGCCGTGGTATTGCTCAGGTGTAAAATGCATCTCCATGTAACCCCAAGCAACCACTTGACATCACACCGGGAGTGTCATGGCACAGACTGGTCGAGTCGTCTAACTCACTGCGACCCTGTGTATGCGATCCAGCTTGCGTGCATCCCGACGTCGTAGTGGACCGGTTCAGAGCTCTTGTCATATGGTGTATCCTGCTGAGCGGCGGATGAAGATGGAGTCATAAGGAGGTCGCGAATCCTGAGCTGGTCGAGAGGGGCACGGCGTTTCGAGCAACAGAAACAGCTCAGCAACAGCCACCTTCTGAATACCACCAGCCAAGCATCCTACCATCATACAACTACTACACCATGAAATCTTCGGTTCTCTTCGCCTTCTTCGGGCTCTCCGCCCTGACAGCTGCCTTGCCAACTGGTACGCGGAATTCCACTCCCAATGTGGATGCTACCATACTAAGTCTTGTAATAGGGACTACTGGTTCGGCGGAAATCGACGTCGCTGACGCTTTCAAGCGTGATGAAGGGGATATCGATGTTGCCGATGCCTTCAAGCGTGAAGAGATTAGCATCGACGTCGCTGACGCTTTCAAGCGTGACGAGGGGGATATTGATGTTGCCGATGCGTTTTGACTTCTGTGTTAGTGATCAAGTGAGACGTTCTTGGCAATGGGAGCTATACTGGGACTGGTGCCACTCGCTTTTTTTATTTCCCGGGGAGATAGGGGGTTGAGGTTTGATCAAGCAACGATATTCATGTTGTTACCGCATTGATTATTGCTAGCTGAAGATATATTCAAATTGTGAATCATTCCTACACTCGTTCCATAAACCGCTTGCATGTGACTTATATATGCTTCTCAATCCAACCGGCGCTTACCATCTCTGCGCATACGAAACTAGTTTCACACTTGAAGTCGAAGGGGACGGACAGGTGTACAGCTGTATCCAGATGGAGCAAGCATTCGTATGAGGGAATTCACAGGGGAAAACGGTAACGAGCATCGATTCGAATTGTGTGTATATAAGGCTCATCTGAGACGACGCCCACTGCCAAGCCACTGTTGAAAGACAAAGATTCAGAGGTGATCCTGCAAAGACTCTTCTGGTAGTCCCACCAACAGCTCATCAGTTGAGATGTAGTCGTCCGTCACGACATACCCACTCCCCGGCGGACAGTGCTTGAACCTGCTCAACTTAGACGTGCCCTCCGCGTCGGGGTTGTCAGGGCGCTTGTAGCAGGCCGTGTTCTGCGTGGCAAACTCCTCCAGTTGATCCCAGCTGCGACATCGACGGTGCTGAAGAAGGCCACTGACGACCTCGGCGCGCCGATCCGTCGCCCGTGGCGTGTCGTCGGCGTCGCAGATGATCTGCCGGCGAAGCGCGTCCAAGCAGTGGCTGACGTGGTGCCATGAGCGCGTTTGGGGCACCCCGCGGCGGTATTCGCTCATGGATATGTACACGAGTTTCAGGCAGTGCAGGTTGTGGTAGCCGTGGAGTATGTAGAGTCCCTTGGTCTGGTCCCACGGGAAACGCTGCGCCTTTCGGAGATCATGCTGGGAAGCCCAGTCGTCGGAGAGCGCGACGACGGCCGCGTCGACATTGATGTCGTACCATAACTGATCTTGGAGGGCTTCGTTCTCGCTGCTGTAGGGTGTCACTATTACATACGGCTCCTCGCGGTTACGTTCGAGCTTGGCGTATGGTGATGACTTCTCGGACAGTAGAAAGGAGGCGCGGAGGTAGGAGGCGGCGAAGAGCAAGTTGAAGGCGAGGGACACCAGGAGTACTCCCAAATAGATCCGGCGGCCACGTTTATTGTCGTAGGAGAACTGACCGGGTTGGAGACGAATCTTCTCGACATGACTGCCGTCCTCGCCGTCATCCTCGAGCAGCCCACGGTAATCTGCGCTGTCCATGATCTCGAATAATGTTACTGAGTGACAGGTACACAGTTGTAGCATCTCTCCTCGAAACAAGAAGGATCCCCCAGCATGATGTGGGATGTCCCAGCACTTTGCAATCAGATCAATGGGGAAAAGGCGGACCTTGACGTCGTAGTCGTAGCCATCCAGAAGGACCGTGGGGTAGTACCATATGCATGGTGCGTCGGCACGATGTGACAAAAATTACCATGCCGCGTTGCCAATGGGGGGTAGTATTTTTCGGACGGATCCAATCTGCAAGGCGGGAGTGACAGGTTTACACCAGCGGTGTGGCTTGCAGCGTTTACTGAATCAGGAGGCGAAGCAGGAGGCGGCGCAAAGGCCGCATAGAACGCTGCCATGCACACCGGTGACTGGAGGATCGCTGTCATCGCTGACGACTTATTTAGATTTATTATATTGTTAAGCTCTTCGTCCGCAGTGGAAGAGCCGCACCCAAATGCCTTAAAACACAACAGTAAACAGTGGCCAGAAACCTCTCTCTCGTGGCACAAGCTCCAGTTGTTATCCCTCCGTTGCATCAGATCCAGACTTATCTTCTTCAACTACTTGCAGCTCGGAATCCCCATCAGGAGTTGCTCCATCTCCACAACACCCAACGCCACCCCCTTGCTCATGGTCTTGAGCCGTGCATATACACCAAAGTCGATCCAGAAGGCAACTCATATACGTAGGCGTGCAGATCGAGCCACTCGATGATTAGTGCCAATCAACATGCCGACCGTGCCACACGTCGACGATCGCAATGGAGTCATAGTCATGACCGCCGTCTTTACTCTGCTCATCATTCTCGCAGTCGCATTCCGGTTCTATGCCAGGCATTTGACCAGAGCCGGCTATGGTGCCGATGACTGGCTTGCTGCTGCCGCGCTGGTGAGTATTGCCGGCCCCAGACCATGCCCCCCTTTCAGGGTGTTGGTTCTTGAACAAATGCTAATGCGGCTTGCTAGTTCTTCACATTGGCCCTTAATGGGATATTTCTAGGCGCCACAATCGAAGGAGCTATCACCGGTCACTCTCCCGTCCGGGATGGCTGGCCTGTGACGACGCCGCTCCAAATTGTCGCCCAGAAATACAAATATGCTTTTCAGATCACTGAAAAGGTCGTCTTCGGCCTGGTCAAGCTGTCGCTACTGTTCCTCTGGAAGCGGCTCTTTGGATCTTCTAAGCCCTTCCGGATCGTTTGTCGGGTAATGATCCCCATCACGGTGGCCTGGACCCTTGCCTTTCTCTTCACGACAATCTTTCAGTGTGGGACGCGGTGGACGATGAACTGGGCGCCTATTGGCATCTTCCTCACTCAATGCATCGAGAGCCTCAACGTGCTCACGGTATTCTCCGTTACCGACATCCTTTCAGACTTAATCATTATTGCCATGCCAGTTCCGGTTATCTGGAGACTTCACCAACCTACGAGGAAGAAGATCGCCTTGACCAGTATCTTTCTCGTCGGTTTCTTGTACGTCAATTCTGAAGCGCGGCCCTCCTGTTCCTAATCCTTTCCGCGTAACCTTTTGCCCCAAAACTGACCTGAATTTAGCACAATTGGAGCTGGGATCGCACGAACTTACATGTACCTGGTCACTTCCTACGACAAGGAGGACAACCCCGATTTCATCGCCGACTTTACCCTATGCATTCTCTGGTCAGAGATCGAGGCAAACGTCGCCATGCTTGTGTGCTGCATGCCGACTCTCGCTCCCGTGATAGGGAAGTTCGGCGGTAGGATTCTGTCCTCGATACACACGACCGGCTCGGGCAAGGGCTTCCGTCTGTCTTCGGGTCACAAACGGAGCAAGGCGACGGACGATGGTCTAGAGCTACCGGCCTTGTCCAATTCGAGGCGAAAGCAAAGCTCGCGGCTGTCGTCGGACACGCAGCTTCTATGGCAAGAGGGCCATGGTACAGTCACCGCAGCTGGATATGCAAACGCGCACGGCCAGCCGAGCAACACCCCCGGCATCATGGCGCGAACTGATATCTCTACTACCTACGAAGTTAAAGGTTCAGAATCTGTTTAAAGGCCGGCATAGGAGGATAAGGAGGTATAGTAAGAGCGCTAGCAGTTAATGGATGAACCCCCCAAGCAATCAATGATTGTAGTCCAGAAGGTCCCATTGCACGAAGGGCACGTATCGATCTCACGTGTGACTATATGTCCGCACTTTTCAAGATAATTCTTTCGAACTGCCAAAGTACTCCCAATACTCGTGCACAAGCGTGATCGACTCTTCAGAGTGGTTGCGCCTCCGAAGGAATGTGAGTGAAGGTGGGCTGTGTGTGTCTGTGTGTGTCTGTGTAACCAATGCATGCACCTCATCATCCCCTACGTCTCTGATGTTAATAGCTAAGCCAGGCTGGCTGTCCTTGGCTCTCTACACCTCCCCAATGCGGATGCCCCCAAATCCTCGGCGACCTCACAGTGCGACAGGCTCGAACACGGGATTGGGTTCAGGTACAGTACGGCAGCGGTGCAACCATACCACCGGTGGGCGATGGCCAATAAGAGCCGGCGCGGGCTCGCATCAGCATAATTCATGACATGACACCTCCTTGCCTGGCGTCCGCTGAAAGGTGGTGCCGCTCCTCCACCACACTACCCTTTCTCAGGGATCCTCTAGGATTCCAGCCAGGTCCATTAGGAAATTGAGAAGCAATGCTTCTTATGGTTCCCGCAGCCCGAGCCATCCGAGGTGCTCAAACGGGATTGCCGCCGGCTTCAACCTCTGCGCCTCCCGGAGCAGGGCCACGACCTGCTGGGCCGGGTCAACGTGGACGCGCATCGGAATGAAAATCGTCGTGCAGGCGTACATGTCCTCGATGCCCTCCACGAGAAGGTTAGGGTTAGGGTTATGTCAACCCTAACAGGCTAACCCCGGGCTCTTCAGGAGCGCTTTAATATGAGCTCTAGTCGCCGGCGAGAGACGAGGTCCAGAAACTGGATGCGGCCGTTTTATCCGCCTCCAACATGTATTTGATGAACCGGTTTATCCCGGGGGGGCGTCTGTTCGGGGAAATACGCTGTCTCGTACCCCTTACCCAGTTCCCGGAAGAGCATCATTCGCGAGAGGGCGTCGTAGATGATGTGCTGCGCTGTCATGACGAACAGCCGTTTGTCCGGTCCCGGACCCTGAGGTTGCACGAGTGCGAGCCGTAGGAGTCGGTATCTGAAGTTCATGAGACGGGGCTGGTATTGCTTCATGTACTGCTCGAGGTCGCTGCACTCTGTCCATTCGATGTCGTCCCACCCTTTCAAGACGGTCTGGAAGATCCCCTGGGTGATCGGGATTGGGGTTAGGGTTAGGCGCAATACTCGGTTTGCCCTCATTCGAGGCATCGGTTTCATCAGAAAAGGACGAGGATTGGAATTGCAGCTTTTCGGCAGTCCGTGCTCCAAGAAACTAGATACTGTCGTCGAGGCGTCACTGATGGATAACTGATAACTAGAGCATACCCTCCATCTGCTTTAGAATTCGTCTGACCTATGGTTCTGATACGATCTGGCCACCAAAGGTGGCCCTGAAATCGAGCTCCCTTCCAGCACCTTGCATTTCAGGCCGATGACGAAGTTCATCACGGGAATACGTATCCGCGGTCCCTAAGGAGCCTCCTCTAGCGCTGTGATCTCGGGGCCGACTGCACAATGACCCAGACCCTGGGCGTAAGCTCTCCCCACCCGTAACGGTTGGCAATAACGCGCATGCAACTAACTGATCGGTATTCCTTGAAGCTTCCTGTCAAATCGCCAGTTCTACCCAGATCATCTGGACCTACTGCGCTTTCAACGTGGTCACGAATGCATATCTGATCTCCATCCCCATACCGATGCTTTGGGCATCGAGGCTGAGGCCTGTCAAGAAAGTCGGCCTTGTCGCGCTGTTTGGTGGTGGACTGGCGATCGTAGTCTTCTCTTTTTTGCGCACAACCATCATCTACCAGGTCAGTAGTAACAAGTAACACGGGGATACGGGCGTAACGTCCCTCCGTCCCTCCGACGGGATGTGCTGACTGGTGGCCCCAACAGGATCCCATCCACTGCTTCCCTGGCGGCATCATGGGCGCTCCAAGAGACGTTCCTCTCGGTCTTCACAACGAACGCGTCGGTCATCTTCCCGCTGTTCCACTCCATCCTGGCGCCCGTCTTCGGCACCCTCGTCCGGTCCGTGCGCGAGTCGGGCTGCTCGAGGTCGAAGGACGGCAAGGGCAGGAGCATCAAGACGATCGGCGGTGGTGGCAAGAACCAGAGCTGGCGCGGCCGCAGGCCCCGCACCCCGAACCCGATCACCAAGTTCACGTTCAGCGAGAGCGAGGAGCGCATGATGGTCAACCAGGGGCAGCAGGTTCCCTTGGGGAACATGGACATGCAGATGAACCCGATGAAGGCGGGCGACGTCGAGGCAGGCAATGGATACGGTCGTCATGATGGTGGTGTCTACAGCCCATACATCAGGAAAGACGTCGAGGTCGATGTCACCAGTGTGGTGGGTGTCGACCCGAGTCAGCAGTTCACATGTCATAACAATTTCGTCTACGCCCATAGTCTAGGCCGGCCGTATTAGGGCCCTTTACACGCCCTACCACTCGTGAGTTGAAGAGGCTAGTGAGCGAGAAGAAATTGGTTGGGGGGGGGGGGGTTGCCGTACCAATCCAGGTCAGAGAAGTCTGTGGGTAATGCTTGATTACATGAGGTAGAGACACTTGTTACGATGAACAATAACACGTGAGGCCACCGTTCTAGCGCATACATGTCCACACGAACTTATTGTTTCCTATAAGTATAAGCTGTGCCTCGATGTGCATGATATAACCTCGGTGCGGGTGCCTTAGTCGTGGCGGTCCAGTGACAGCGTGGCCGGCACGTGGCATCGTCGACCTCAACACTTGTTACGCAGCGGAAAGTTAGATATACTGCTGGGGGGATGGTTAGTACCCAAGTCTCGTAAAGCCATCGTGAGCAGCAGAATGATACGCAAACGAATCGACTGACTTCCTCCGCTCTGCGCTTCTGATATTGAGAGAACCTGGAGACTCAGTCGCTGATGCAGGCTAGTAGTAGAGGCTGCCCCGTGATTGGTGGTGGGATGGTGGAAAGGGGCAACTCGTCTGGCGGTTGCCACTTGCGACAACACTCACATCCTGTGGCTTCGTACCTATAAGTCACACCCGCTCAGAGTGTTGATCATATCCATACTTGGCGAAAGCCCTTGTCTCCTTACTTAGCTTCAAGGAGGCGGAAGCGCAGTCTAAGAGTTGTGCATTATGTGCTAGGGGCTGACCTCATTTACAGAAAGTACTCGAAGGCGCTAAGCATCCTCGATCCCACTGTTATCGTGTTTTTCATGGACACAAGCTTGATAAGGAGGTCGACGGACCATCAAGGCCTCCAGTATTAAACACACTTCGTGTATCGCTGTATAGTCCCCGATGCCCATAGATTGCCACCAGCCTTAAGATAAATCCTTGACTCAATCATAATTTCTGTTAAACCCGAGCAAAAGTAATCATTCTCAATCATCTGTCACATGTCCGTGACGAGGTACACGCTATCAACACCGCCCATAAAGACGGGTATCTCGCATTCATCACCCCTCATCATCCCCAAACCCGAAAATCACCTCGTCCCCAGGCGGAGCCCCCTTCCGAAGCTCGTCCTCAGTCGCATCGCACAGCTCGCGCGCCTCATCCGGCAGTGTCCACCCGCGCATAGCATCCAATCTCGAGACGAATTGCATGCCCATACCCGCCTCAGAGTGCCAGATCATATGGCAGTGAAACAGCCATACGCCGGGGTTATCGGCCACGAACCGCAGCAGGGCCCACCCGAAGCCCTCAACTGTAACCGTGTCCCTCTTCAGGGGGTTATTAATAATGCTCGAGTTCGCAGGATCGAGCAGGCCCTTACCCTCCGGCTGGAGCCCTAGTGCCTCGTAGCCCGGGAAGTACCCGTGTCCGGCGCCCAGTACCCACATCTGCGTGCCGTGCAGATGGAACGGGTGGCTATTCTCGTCCATGTTCTGCAGGACTACGTCGACGGTCTCGACGGCGTTGTGGGAGATGACGAGCTCGGAGACGGGATCGAACGCGGCGGCGTTGACGCCTTCGCGGATGAAGGTTTCGTTGTTCTGGGCTAGGCCGTCGAGGACGCGGTGTAAGGTGGGGGACTTGAGGTTCGGCCGGAAGGAGGACGAGTTCAGCACGCCGCGCTGTAGCCGCCAGTCGCCGATCGCCAGGTTGACCCGCAGATACCACGAGTGGTCGGCCGATCCCGGTGCGGGCTGGGGAGGAGACGGAGTGAACGTCGTTGTTGAGCTCATGTCTTTGCATATGGAGATGAACTCAAGGTTCGAAGTAGTATCTGGCAGTAGGATGGTCCCATCGTCGTCGTTCTCATGTCGAGCCTCGTTGTCTGCGTGTGTGTAGCGAACAACGACTTTTGCCTCCTCGATACCATTCTCAGGGAGTTTTTGCTCTGCAAAACAGGCGGTCACCATTCTAGCACGAAGCCAGAAGGCCTCCTTATCGGATCGATCGGAAGTCAAGACTACGCTGTACCGCTGACCCGGGGAGATGAGGAGAGCCGACGCCGGAGCAGGCTCGACAGTCGTGCCATCGACCTCGATGACAGGCAGGGAAGCATGTTCATCTACACCGACTTGAAACCAAGCATAGCCCCCAACATTCAAGAAGCGTAGCCTATGGCTCCCGCCATGAGTAAGACCCAAGCTTGGAGGAGATGTCTCCTGAGGCGTGGAACACTTCCGACTGGGGTGATCAGAGCAGCGGGCTTGGTTCAAGCCGTTAATCAGCGCTGTATTGGGTATAGGGGCGTCCTCGACACCCGGAGATAGTACGTCTCGCATGAGCCCAATTGCTGCGTCGTAGTACCAGTCCTGGAGCAGGATCACTCTGTCTGATGAATAGGGGATAGGCTGCGCGTCTGCCTCGCCTCGACTGTGGACCACGAGTGGGCCGACAAGGCCGTCGAGGGCTTGTACACCCTGATGACCGTGATAGAAGTCTGCCGTCCGTGAGTCAGCAGTTCGGCCATGTTTCGGCATTGATATGCTGGGAGGAAGACGTCCCGCCAGGCGGTGAGGTGACAAATGTACTGGGACATCACTTACATGTACCGCTTTGGCCAGTGACATTGAACTTGTACCGGAACGATCCTCCCGGAGTGATGGGGCATTGCGTAACACCTGCTGCGCCATCCATCCAGTTCGTTCTGTTCTGGAAGATGCCATGCCAGTGTAGAGCAGTGGCGTTGACCGCTTGGTTCAGCACATCCACCACGATAACGTCACCTTCGTTAACTTCTATCAAGGGTCCTGGAAACTGGCCGTTAATCATCATCATTGGCTTGAATACGCCGTCCGGGTTGCCATCCTTGTCGACGATAGTCCAGTTATGAGATCGGACCTGGTTAGGGGCTCCAAAATCCCAACCAGAGTCGAGTATGTAATCCTCGCCAGGCCGCCGTGAGGGTACATCGTGCTCGGCTCCCTGGACCGAGTCCGCTTGCTTATTCGCAGGACAAATAGATGGTAGTAATATCCAAGATAGAGCAAATATCACAATGGATGAAACCGCTATGAGTGTCGGGAGTATCCATTGCCTCCGCCGGCTCCTGGTAAGGTGTGTAACCGGCTTCTCAGCACCAACGTTTTCCGACGGAAGGAGACGTTGGAGATCGTCGTCGTCGCCACTAGACTCTCCAGTACCACTATATTCTCCGTCGCTTATCAATCCCCCTTCCTCGTCGAGGTGACTCTCCTCCATTGGCACTGAGACGGGACCTGGCTTATGCTGTGCCATTTCACTCCGAACTCCATGCGGGCTGCGGCTGCGATTCCCACAGCAGACAGCGATGCCCTAGCCGGAGGAACTGATCGCGCTGAGTCAAGTTTGGTTCTCAGATGAAATTCGATTGACAGAAGAGGTCGTATCTCTTTGTCGCACCCGGGGAAGCCCGGGGCACGGCGTCAGGTACAGCTGCCGGATAACGGAATGCTCTCGGAGAGCCTCATGGAGCATACGGTAGGAGTCGCGGAGCTCTGTTTGCGCATCCACATTCAAGAGCCGTCTTGTATTGATGGAGCCCTGGGCTCTTTGGAAGTTCACGCGTGTCGTTGCAGTCTACATTCGGACCAACAGGAAAGTTGGGACGACTGCAACCCTCGTGCCAAGGTGGTGCTTCTGATTGGACGAGGCTTAACGCCGCTTAACGCCTTAACTTTGCCAGTTGGAGTTACGGAGTTGCGGAGTACAGTTCGCTCAAACTGGACCTTCGGAGTCCGGACGGGCAAGCCTCGCTCGTTCGGTACCACTGGCCCGGGACCCCGTCCCTACCGCCGTCGGGCGTGGGGAGGCAAATGTGAGGACGGGAAGAATCTGGGGAAGCGGGATGAGCCGGAGTTGCCTGGCCTTGGGTCTCAGTCGAATCTAGCCCATATACTTCTGCTATCGAATGCCAGTCAGTGTGATGGCAAGATGGTCTGGATCGGGTACCCATTCTACAGAAACGGTACTGTACCCCAAGAAGCTACCACAGAACTGTAATTATCGATTGACGCTTGATCTTGCTGGCCTCTAGTTATCTAGACAGTCTCCATCATGACATTTATAGGCTAGCTCTGTTGTTCAAACATGAGGAGATAAAGTCATCGTTCTCGTTGTTGGACCCCTATGTGACTCGAGAGCTTGCGAACTGCTGCTATCTCAGCCTCAACGCATAACATCCTCCCTGCAGGGTCAACTCTGCAGCCAACATGCCGCCGATTCTTGAATCCTGATCCGCAGGGAGGCTCTTAGGGCTTGACCCTTGCTTGCTGCCGGTAGAAAACTGAAGCATGTCATGACAGCATGCAACGGAGATAGCAACTTAAGTCCGCCAACATGGTGTGATCGTCAATCTAGTCGACACTGGAGTATGAGCGATGACCGAATCTAATATGAGAGCATCATGCTGCATCCGCCGATCGATCTAAGTAAAGTCAAGGAGTGCTGGCGACTGGTGTGTTCGAGGCTTGCCTCTAGCATCACGAAAGAAGCGATATCATGAAGCTGTTGACGTTATCGCCGGCTTTGCGACTAATAACTATTGATTTCTAGCCGTGGAATGGTCCCCTCATTTAGGGCTGGGTCTCAACAGCTACGCTAAAATGCCAACATGGACAATCCACTTCGGGGGGCGGGGAGTTCGCGCGACTTATCTACGACGCCTAGCTGGAGTTGTCATTAGGGGCCAAACGCGTTTCTGCACAGAATCAGAGCGGCGGTGACTCACTTGGATAGACTCGCATGGTGTACAATATATGAGGTGTGTAGGATTTCATCCCCGCAAGACTTCAGAAAGTTCGCGTCAGCTACAGCAACCGGCTGCTATAAGTTCTAACCCACTACTAGAGGGTCCTCGAGAGGGGACGGACCCTCATAGCTAGTCTCTAATAATAGATCCCAAACTCCAGGTCCATGTCAACTTCAAGGGACACCGGCACTATGCCGTCAGTTTGGTAGAGGGTTCCTCGTGGAACCGGAATATAATTCAAGTCTTGGAAGTCGGGGACGAGATGTGGTTGAGGTCGCCATGGTCGTGTTGTGCGTAAGCAAGGCGGGTGCCTAGACTGGCTACTAACATTGGCGGCATATTGAATGACACCGCCCTAGGATAATGACATACCCCAGCTGCTATGGGTGTAGGTAGGTATGGACAAGGACTATGCCTCGAAGTGTGCGCCTAGACGTGGTGGCATTGGTGGCATCGGTGGTGCTGTGGTGTTGATGGTATTAGTGGACAGTGAGAGACAGACGGGAGGTGAGGCACGTCCCCCACTAAGGTTACATGTATCTTCATTCTGCTTAGCCTCCCCTGCCTCCTAGTAACGAGACGCTCCTTCCATTCGACTTATTTCCTCTCTGTCGCAACTGCCAACCTGCTTATTGCACCACCTGCATACCTACTCTACCTGCCTCTACTCCCTGTGCATGGCTTGGATGAGGTTCTTCTTGCCTCCCAATATACATTAACTCGGGCTATCGCAGTTGTCGCATCGGGTGATCAATCGAAGCTCCAGCGCCAACGCCAACGCCAACCACACCACTGTAATCTTCACTTCCCACTGTGACACCGCTCTCTGGGTAGAGGCGACACCCCTCTGCTCGACTTGTAAGAACACCTGTTCAGCTATACACCCCAGCTGGAGGAATATCAGGCTGACTGGTTCAGACCCCAGCCCTACCTTATGCAGACGGGCAACGTCGTCCATACTCCATAGCTCTACAAGACAGGCATCGATGATCGCAGCGCACTTGCCACTCCCCCGTCTTCGAAGTCCCTACGAACCTCGAACTCCGCGACTCCAGACGTGTTATCGCACGTATTCGTACTCGTCTGGAACGAACAACATTGAAGCCGCGCGGTACCCTCGAAGCCTTCGCTAGCCTCTGCGGGGCCCATCCTTTCGGGCCGTCCGTCTCGCTGCGCAAAGGAGCTGCGTTGGCTCCTGGGACGTTCAGCTGGACAGTGACAACAGTACTGGCAGAAATTCAGAAGAACAATCTGTCAATTGGGTGCAAGAACTTTGAAGATTTGGATTGTACGGTTCCACTAGGAACAAGGGATCGTCCAGCCTGCCCCATTACCCCATCTTATAAGTTACCAAGAGGGTAGCCTGGTAGGGCTGCGGACGACCAGACGGCGTATCCCATTGGTCTCGATACCACGGGCGGGAACTTTGATGAAGCGAATGACGCTTTTGAAGTAGCCGTCTCTTTGTCATACCCATCATACCCATTATACCCTGGGCTCCTGCAGGTGTCTTGCTATCTCCGCCTTCCTGCTACCTGACTGGAACTTTTGTCACTATTCCGGCCAAGGCAGACACAGCGAGCGGCTCGACTCGTTCATTGGCGCTTCCCACACCGACTCTAGAGTCCAGAAAGACATCTGACATCGTCGAGCCTGGCTTGCGGGGTTGGAGCAGAAGCTGGTCCCTTTATATTGTGCAGCCTTCCCTAAGTCCGGCATACCACTCTCAACCCAGAGCGAGCACCCTTATCCCCTCGAATCACACTGGCTGGACCTTTTCGACAGTCACGTGCGCGCATTTCAACATGACCCCAACTCCTCCGTCTGCTACGACCTCCTCCTCGGGCCACTCGCCTGAGGAGCAGTTCAGGGTGGTCAGGCGTAGAAACCGGGTGCCGCTCAGCTGCTTACCGTGCCGGACAAGGAAGTGAGTTACACCGGCTCAGGATACCCTTTCTTGGAACCTTGACATTGTATCATTCCGTCGTCGTCGGTTGTTGCTAACCCCTGGACTAGGTTGAAGTGCAATAGGGGATCTCCGAATTGTGATAATTGCATCAAACGAGGCGACACACAGTCATGCGTTTATGCTACTCCCACAGGTCGGAGAAAGAATCAAAGTAGTGCTGGAGCTAATTCAACTCCTGATGACATGCAGAATCGTATTGACCGTCTGGAAGGTTTAGTTCTAAGTTTGATGCACGGCGGTGCCAACGTTGATCCAGCTTCGGTCGCCGCTGCTGCCGCTGCTTCAGCAAATGCATCCGGCCCAGAGCCCTCGAATGCCGATAGCGGCTCTTCAGCCCGACCCGACCAAGACGACGAGGGAGCTATGAAAGACGACGAGGAGGAAGATGGAGACAGCGACGTTGACGACGGCCTAGCCACGTCTTTAGGCGTGCTGAAAGTTGACGCAGACAAGGGCAATTCCATGTACGTTGGGCAGGAACATTGGCATACGCTACTAGCCGACATATCGGAAGTCAAGAACTTCTATACCTCGCATAAGAAGGACCTTGAGAACAGCTATCAGAGGGTAATGTCTTCGAAACCAGCGACAGCCCGAGACTCGCCTATTTTCTTGCTCTCAGCACCGCCAGCATCAGAGGTCGAACTAAGAGCAGCGTTGCCTTCCAAGACAGCAGTAACGACTTTGGTTTCGAGGTACTTCAACTCTCTGGATACAGCGGCAAGTATAATACACGGGCCGACGTTCCAGCAGCAATTACGAACTCACTGGCAGGACCCGTCGAAATCAACTGTCATGTGGATGGGCTTGTTATATTCCATGCTATGTCTGTCCATGCTGAGCTATCACAAAGTGGGCGATGAGCCTCAGGAGTGGAAGGGGACGTCTCTAGAGTTGGCGGCAGAGTATCAGCTACGAACAGTGCAGTGCCTGGTCGTGGCTGATTATACGAAACCAGTCGAATATACAGTGGAAACGTTGCTGCTCTACCTCTTCGGTGAATATTCCTCACGATGGGATGCCGACCTTGGGCTGTGGCTCATCGTTTCCATCACTACGAGGATTGCTTTCCGCATGGGTTACCATCGAGATGCAGAATGGTTTCCATCTATCACGCCTTTTCAAGGAGTATGTTCAACATCCTAGACCGTGCGAAACCCCAGCAGAAGAAGGACATTGGCTGACCTGGGTACAATTTTAGGAGATGAGGCGTCGAACATGGTCGTTGCTGCGCATGGCAGATACAATGTTCTCATATCAGGTAAGCACACTGTTCGGTACCGGCACTAGACTTGTTATGGCTGACTGAGCTGGAAGGTGTCTTTGCCAACCATGATATACGAACATGATACGGATACGAAACTACCGCACAATATCTTTGATGAAGAATTCGGGATTACTACCAAGGTTCTGCCGCCAGCTAGACCAATAACGGAACCGACCCCAATCGCATATATGATCAGCAAGACCAAACTCTCCCATGAATTCGGGAGTATTCTCCAAGCTGTCACTCGCGTGGGACACCATGTGACATATGACGAGATTCTGCAGCACGACCGGAGGCTTCGCGAGATCATGGATGAATTTCCACCGCACCTCAAACTTCAAGCGCTGGAAGGGTCACACGATCCCGTGACGCTCATTATTGCGAGATTTAACCTCAATCTCTTGTACCAGAAGATTATGTGCATGCTGCATAGAAAACACATGGTCAGGGCTCGACAGAACCCTCGATATGCTCACTCCCGCCGCAGCGCAATCGAAGCTGCATTGGAGACTCTGGGCCATCTGAAGACCATACATCGGGAGTGCCAACCTAACGGCAGGCTCCGTACCATGAAGTGGTTCGTCTCGTCCACATCCAGAGATACGCTACTCCCAACGATGCTTGTGACGCTGGACCTCCACCACGACAACCTTGCCGTGGCAGCGGGTAAGCGGCAAAACTCGCAAACATTATATTTCTGGACACCAAACCAGCGTCGTGATATGATCAGCCTCTTGGAGGATGTCCGCAACATCTGGAAAGCGCTGGCACATGAGTCGGTGGAGGCTTTCAAGGCGTCCAGTATCCTCGACATCATGTTGGAGAAGATCAAGAGCCCCGATCCAGCTCCGGGTGGTGCCGAAGTACCACCGGCCCAGACTGAGAACCTCTTTGCGAACTTCGGGTCCAGCGATATGCAGCCTGAACATTCAGCAGCTATGACTCTCGGCATGCTATCGGGAGGGTTGACACCTAACAACTTCCAATCTCCAGGTGGCACGACTTATCCAGATCTAGATCTCGGTGCAGGATTAGGTGGAGGCACCGGGCTTACGCCAGAGTTCCAGCCCGACCTTGGTGGTATCAACAACGCGGCGTCGCCATTCTCGATGTTCACGAACCTGGGCAGTGCTAACAACATGGCCATCGATCAGAACTTCAACTGGGTAAGAGGCAATGTTTGTCTTCTTTTCTTGACATCCTACTGACGACTGAATATACAGGACGCCTTTGACAACTATGCGCAAACGGCAAATTGGGGACCCGATCAGACGTCCTTCGGCTTCTTTGGCGGCAATCCTGAGCAGCAGACCCAGTCGCAACAAGAGCCATCTACCGACGGCTCCTTCTCGTTCATGAACACCGATAATACCCCTGGCTGATGATCTACCAGGCTGGCGAATGTTTTCCGAACGCGGACCTGGGGTTGTGATGAACTACGTGCAGATAGCTGTCGAGTATGTCATGTGTTGAAGGACATGTGAAGCCATTTCGGTCAGGTCTCGGTGCTACAGAAAACGGCGTGTTGAGGAAAACCGCCCGTGTATGTCTAGTAGAAGTACGCGCACTGCAATCAAAGATCATGCTCTCCTCCAACAAGAATGGTTTATGTCCAAAACCGGCTGCCTTGATAGGGGCAAATGTCCGACGGACTTACGATCTAGGCCCCCAGACTGCCGAGACTGCTTGCATGTGCATGATGCTGCTCCGCCGTGGGCAACCCCAAAGGTCTACCGGCTCTGGCACCGAAAACGGGCATTTCCCCAGGTTTTCCCCCGCGAATGCTCCACGTTAGGTAGCCATGCGCGCTGCCGCTGCCGACTGGAGGCCCATTTGACCGACCGACTCGGGCAGCTGTTATGAATGAACCGCCAGCATATTCGGCCCTATGGCGGCCATGACATTCCGTATTCTGTCTAGTTGGTCTTCTACCCCATACATGAATCTGCGGGGATTAATGTCCTCTCGGTCCCCCATCCTAGACATCAACTCCAAATCCCCAGACAGACCCGTCCACGCGCGTATGCCCGCCCCATCTAGGGCCGGTCCAGCCAACCAACCCCGCGGAGCGTGTTGTCTGTCGGCTCTACTGCGCTACTACGACCGTGACAGCTTTTGATGTTCGGATTCTCAGAGGCGGAAAAACAGCGGAGGGGCAGAGGGGTTGTTATATTCGCCGAGTTTTTCGGCCTGCCTCTTGGAGTCTTGGGGATGATCCCTCCCTAGGTAGGGACGGGGTCCTGAGGCCGAGGTCTTGACTCTCTCTTGGGGGCGCGTGTCTTAAGACTCGGGAACTGGAATCGCGGACGGGACGTACAGTAAAATCCGTAAGCAGTACCGATCATACCGATCCATACCGACCTCACGCACCCTGCGGCGTAGGCCCGACTCTGGGGTCGTGTGTCTCCCATTTGCTGGCTTTTCCACGTGTCTTGATGTGTCGGGTCCTGGACCTGGTAGCCGCGGTGCCATGTATATCCTTGGGGACCGAGGGGTCGAAGTACATAAAGCTCGGCGTGTGCCCGAGGCGTAAGGGGATGTTGTAGGTTTTGGTGTTCGCCGACTTTGACACGATCCTCTTTACTACACCCGCTCCCTTCCTCATTCGTGTTTTGAGCAAGTCGTCGCCACACAGTCAGTTCGTCCACGATGAGGCAACAATCTCTCTCCTCCTGGTTGACGGCGACGGCGCTATGCGTCACCGCCGCGCGGGCTCTCTCGACCGACGAGTGGAAGTCCCAGTCCATCTTCCAGGTCATCACGGACCGCTTCGCGAAGACTGATGGCTCGACCGACGCCTGCAGTGATCTTCGTTCGTACTGCGGTGGCACGTGGGAGGGTCTTATTAACAAATTGGATTGTAAGTTGGCAACCTACCCCTAAATTGCAGAAGTTCCTAGACCAAGTTTGATGCTCGGTGTTACTTGCTGGATGGACATCACTTGTGTCCCTTGTCAACGAAGCTCGCTCATGGAAGACACCCTTCGTTATTCCGGACACATTCTGACGTCGGTGGTAGACATCCAAAACATGGGTTTCACCGCGGTCTGGATATCGCCCGTCGTAGAGAATTTGGAGGAGTATACGGCATACGGGTAAGGACGAGGCTACCCCTTGGCAAGGTTAGATTATTTTAGCTGATCACTGAGAAAGCAACGCCTACCACGGCTACTGGGCGCAAGACATCTACGCGCTGAACCCGCACTTCGGCACAGAGGCCGACCTGACGAGCCTGTCGACGGCGCTGCACGGCCGCGGCATGTACCTGATGGTTCGTATAGAAACATCCCGTTACAAGACCCCGAGCCTTGGTTTCGAAAGAACAAGCTCTGCTGTTACCTTTTCTTCCTCACCTAGAAAAATGGCCGTACGGGTTTTAAAGACAGGCAAGATGTTAACGTAACACGCACAGGTGGACGTGGTCACGAACCACATGGGCTACGACGGGTGCGGCACCTGCGTCGACTACACCGTCTTCAACCCGTTCAACACAGCCGCCGACTACCACCCGTTCTGCCTGATCGACTACGACAACGCGACGTCGATCGAGGAGTGCTGGGAGGGCGACAACACCGTCAGCCTGCCGGACCTCGACACCGAGGACTCGGGCGTGCGCGACACGTGGAACAGCTGGATCGCGGACCTGGTGGCCACGTATGGCATCGACGGGCTAAGGATCGATAGCGCGAAGCATGTCGAGAAGGACTTCTGGCCCGGGTTTGAGGACGCTGCGGGCGTTTATGCTATTGGTGAGGTGAGTCGTTCGTGGTTGGTCTCTGGCGAGCAGAGCAGAGTACGTCTGTGCGAGGCGGAGTATGCCTCACTGACACACTGGCGACAGGTGTTGAACGGCGACCCAGCAGTCTTCCCCGACTGGCTCAACTACCTCCCCGGCGTGATGAACTACCCCGTGTAAGTGCGCCCTCCTCCATCCATCCAGCCAGCCAGCCCCTTCCACCCCCAACCCCCAACGCAAAGCAACAGCTTCATCGACTCACACTCACTCTACCAACTCCCCAGCTACTACTGGGTCACGCGCGCCTTCCAATCCACAAGCGCGACCATGACGGAGCTCCTCAACGGCATCAACACGATGAAAGGCAGCATGGCGACCAACACTTTGGGCTCCTTCCTCGAGAACCACGACAACCCGCGCTTCGCATCCCTAACATCAGACTATGCGCTCGCGCAGAACGCCATCGCCTTCACCATGCTCGCCGACGGCATCCCGGTCGTCTACCAAGGGCAGGAACAGCACTTTAGTGGTGCGAGCGACCCGAACAACCGCGAGGCGCTGTGGCCGTCGGGGTACGACACCTCGGCCACCTTATACACGTGGATCGCGCGGCTCAACGCGGTGCGCAACACCGTCGTCTACTCCGACGGGGATTCTTATCTGGACTACCAGGCCGTGCCCACGTCACCGGATAGTCACACCATCGCGCTGCGCAAGGGCAGCGTCGTGAGCGTGCACACCAACATCGGCGCTTCAGGGTCATCCTACCAGGTCAGTCTCGGCGCCTCCGCCACGGGGTTTACAGCCGGCGAGGCCCTGACCGAGGCCATGGCTTGCACGACGGCGACGGCGGACTCGAGTGGCGGGCTGGCGTTCACGATGGGGAGTGCGGCGAAGGTGTTTGTGCCGACGACGCTGCTGGCTGGGAGTGGGATTTGCGATGGTGAGTGAAGACCCTGATAAGGAGGCTTTTCTTGTGTATATGTGTCTGTGTGTTTCTGGGAGGGAGGTGTTCGAAGGTCTAGTGACCCCTCGTGGAAGGAAGGGCAAGGGAGAAAGAGGTCGAAAACGTAAGGGGCATTCGCTTCGGGGTCCAAGTGTCATGTTGTGTTGTCTACCGGCTCGTAATACGGTACTAACCCACGTGCATTTTTGCGCGTAGGCGGAGATACCTCCTGCGCCACGGTGTCCGTGACCTTCAACGAGGTCGTCACCACGTCGGTCGGGCAGACCATCAAAATGTGATTTCACCCTCGTCATCCCTCGCAGCGCCCTCTACCCTTTTGCTCCATCCACCCACCTACCCCATCCAGTTCCCTACCTGCCTGCCTCCTTGACGCCCTGCCTACCTGCCTCTCTTTCCTTACCATCTACCATCAGTTATCAGCTTCAAAGGCAAGTAGAAGAAACTGACCGACAGTTCTCCAATTCACAGCGTAGGCAACATCCCCCAGCTCGGCAACTGGGCCCCAGCCAGCGCCATCGCCCTCTCCGCCTCGCAGTACACGGACGCGAACCACGTGTGGAGGACGACGCTGGCGCTGGTGCCGGGAACCGCCGTCAGTTACAAGTACATCCGCGTGGCGGTCGACGGGACCGTGACATGGGAGGCGGACCCCAACCGGTCGCTCACGGTGCCGTCGACGTCGGCGGCTTGCGGCAGCGGCGTGAGTGTCAGTGACACATGGCAGGCGTAGTGGTTGGTGGTGGTGGTGGTGGTGGTGTCATTGTTTATCAGTCCTTGAGGCTTTGGGGAAACCTACCTATTCGTTAGCTGTTAGCTGTCATGTCAGCACGTGTTATTCCTGTACATATATCTCACGCGAGGACGGCCTATTGCACTGGATTGACAAAGCTTATGCGAATCAAATGAGAGGTGGTGTCATATATACAATGAATTGAAAGATGGCAGATCTAATCCAGAAGGTTGGCTATGCAGATGCCCCCAAAATGTCCCCCTAAACGCCAGGTATGTACCCCATGTCATCGTATCGCCAGGGGCCGAGCATGTTGGTAGAAACGTGTTCAAAGGTTAAAGGACTTCTTGGCCGCTGTCCAGTAGTCCGTTCGCGCTTGAGGGACATCGCCAGAGCCGAGGACGCACGTCATGTAGGTTGTCCATGCAGCATCGCTGGGCGTCTCGAGGGCCTTCATGGCATCGGGGCATTGGGTCTTCATGAACCAAGGGCCGCTCTGGAAGTTGTACTGGTCGTCCACCAGCAAATCCAGCAGTTTGTTGGCGCCAGCCATGGTGTCTGTCGAGCCGATGGCAGTGACCTTATCTTTCAGCTCGGGGAAGGAGTTGGCGAACTTGACGTTGTAGGTGAGCGTCTGCAGGTTCGAAGTACCCTGTCCCCAGTGGGCCTTTTGACCCGGGTCGTTGTGCTGGAGGTTGCGCTTGTACTTGTAGTCTCCCGACTCGAAGGCAGTGAGCGCGAGGACGGCAGCGAATTGGCCCAAGTGGTAGAGTCCGGTCTTGTTGAAGGCGTCGATAAGCAAGGGCGCGACCTGGACGTTGGTGCGGCACTCATCCGTTGACGCGCAACTGGCAGACCCAGGCGCGATTTCTAGGATCTGCTGAGCTGCGGTCTTTTGAGTGGACGCGGGCGAGGGCGTAGGAGAAGCAAAGGCGGTGCCGGCCACGAGAAGGCCGGCCGACATAGCGCTTGAGAACTTCATGTTGTCTGGGTGCTGTTTGGTGAGAGACTTGTTTGTTGGTGTGCTTTGGTGTGTGTTGGTGAGAGACTTGCTTGTTGGTGTGCTTTGGTGTGTGTTGGTGAGGAGTGAAGAATGTTAGAAATGGATGTCGTATCAAACGATCAGTGGAATGAATAAATGAGTAGTTTAAGTAGATGCTTGGAGTGTGGCCAGTGGAGGGTAAAGGAGAATGAATGAATGTAAACGACAGGAATGACTGCTGCTTAAGAAGGCTTGCAATGCTTTGAGGTTGGCTGAATGAAACACCAACGCCAGCCTAGACTCAGCCTAAGGGTGTTTGTCTACCTATGCTGTACTCTTTGTGACAGGGATAAAGACGGGGTGGAATCGACAAGGTTCGGATAAAAAGGGGATTGTGATCTAGAGTCACAAGTGGGAGGCGAAAGGCTTCCTTTGTCCTTTGTCGGCTCGGGTGTCAAACGTCGAAGAAGTGAATCAGGTCAAGGCAGCCCAACTGGCAGGGAGACAAAAACAGTGTTAAAAGGTTGGAAGCTGGTGAAGCGTCCACGACGAACGAGTAAGAATTTGATGGTAAAAGGTTGAACGCTCACCTTGTTCAGCCCCTGAGGTCAGACGAGTGTGCAATGTGTATGAATCGGGAAAGTTCAGCTTGACTAGCAAGACTCTGCACGACTCCTATCCTACCTATCCGCGAGGAGGATGTGATGTGACACTGGGACATTCAGGGTGTGCAAGTGAGGGAGCCAATCATGCTGCCAGCCGAGCCGTCAACCTAGTCAGTTGAAACAGAGCCCCACCTTGTTTCACGTAACGGTTCTTGCACTGATTGGCTCAGCTTCGAACAGTCGTAACGGTGTACTACAGTAGTAGTCCCACTAGACGATCGAGCATGAGTATACCCGCATAGTATAGGGGCAGAGGGGATGACCCTCAATTTGACCGTCACCGGGACCGATGACGGGACCGATGGTGGTCCGGCCTGACTACATAGTAGGGAGGTGTGGGAGGCCTGAACTTGAGGAACCCTGAACTTGGATGGATTTGAAGTGGATGGAGGCGTCTGATGTTGTCAACTTGACCAGACGACCTGAACTCGAAGAAGAGGAGCTTCGCGGTCGTTCCCTGACGAATGCTCGCTTCGGTTCCGAATCATCTCGTATGTATTTGGGCTGAATTGACGGATGCTTGAATCCATGGACACTCCAGAACCAGCCGCTTCCAAGGTTAGGTACCTAATTCAAGCTTCCGACCCCGCCTCAGCTGAAAGCGGGGCATCAGAGCCAGCTGGGGCCCCGCTCTCTTAACAGCGGAATAACTCACTTTCCGACTAATCCCAGTTGTCGCATCGGGTTCTGTCCCGCCCCGCCCCGCCTCCATCTGAAGTGCACTGGGCCAGCCCGAACGCTTGGGCCAAGTTCAATCCGAGCTATGACAGACCTTGGACCATGATTTTGCAGCCTCACATTTGGGTAGACGGATTAGAAGTGTACGCAAACCCAGTCTTGGCCAACACCACCACGGGATCTCACTTATTGCCAACTCCCAGTCGTACACTCGGATCGTCTTCCAGTTAGGCCCCACCGTCGAGATGTCGAACCTCTACAGCTATGTCAACAGTAAGTCGCACTCACCCACGCTGCCCCGCGGTCTTTCAATTCCAAGCTTACAGCTGGGTATCTGACAGTCGGCTAGAAAAGGTGCTGATTATGACGGCCGACTCGCGGACCTTGGTGGGAAACCTTCTGAGCTGCGACCAACAAACGAACCTGGTACGATGCCTACCACCCTCGCCGCAGCCTCCCTGCTTCTGTTTGTCGGGGTACAGACTAACGCCGTTGAAATCACAGGTGCTTGGAAAGGCTACCGAGCGTGTCATCAGAACCCCCGATGACGACGAACCGTCCACTGAAGTCCCACTGGGCCTCTACCTCGTCCGAGGCGACAATGTCTGTGTGGTAGGGCTGGTCGATGAGTCGCTCGACGAAAGCATCAACTGGCAGGAAGTAAAAGGATTGGCAATCGGTGGCACGAAGTACCTATAACACGAAGGGCTGCACGCCATCACCCACCCGAGGATGTAGGGGAGTGGGATTGCATATACGGCGTTGGGATAGGAACTTGCTTGCATTTGACCAGGGAATTTCGGAAGCCTTTATAGGGTATGCTCTTGCCTGAATGATACCACATTTCGCGTCTTGCTGACACCTCTATTGCCTATCTGCCTTGAATTCTGATCACATCCGCCACTCTACTGATGCATACGCCTCTATCTTCATTCAAAAATCCGTTCCATCATGAAGGGCGCAAAGGCTTCAAATCCAGGACTGCTGGCCCACCTGTTGATCCTGTTCCCTCTCTTTGCACTCAACCAGCCGGCATCATCTCCAGGTACCTCGTCAAGGCTCACACCGTCAGCCCGTACCCTGCCTCGTCGGTCTGTTACGTGCATTCCATGCGTCCACTGTCCAGACGTCTCGATGCGAATATCCTCCGGCGCGTTCTTGGCCAATTTCCACGCAGGGTCGGACTTGGTGAGCATGTACCAGATGGTTACAGGGTCGTGGAGGGACAGGCCCGGTTCCACCTCATCACCGACCATTGAGACGATCTGGCGGAAAATACCGCCCATGAAAGTGTTTACCCACGTGGCGAGCGGGCTTTTTGCAGCCAGCTGTGGCTCGATCTTGCTCAGGAACAGGCCCATGCCCAGTTCATGAGGTGTAGTGATATCCAGTGGGAACAGACTTAGGTTCAGTGGTTTCGACAGTTTCTCCGGGTAGGGCGGGAGAGTGCTCTTGTCCTTCGGTACTGGAGGCACCGTGGAAGCGGGAGTGGGAGAGGTTAAGGCAAAGATTCGGGCGGTGGCCACGGCGTCGGCGTACGTGTTGAACTCGGCAACCGGCGTGACGTTGCCATCGCACTCAACAGCTCCACCCATGACAACAACCTCCTTGACCCTCAAAAAGGTCTCGGGATCTTCAGAAGCAGCCATGGCTAGGTTAGTTAGCGGGCCGACGGCGCAGATGGTGACTGTGCCCTCTGGTTCCTCCTTCAAGATCCTCAGGATCTCCTTGTGGGCGGGTGTCTTGGAGGGGGTGAAATATTTGTAGTACGATGGCTCTTCCTCAGGACCCGGGAACCCATCTTTGAAAAGCGCCTTCCAGGTATTCGCGGGTGAGAGATGCGGATGCTATTCCTCCCGTGTCAGTAGATTGCAAGTATAAGTATCAATACCGGCACTTGGACGACTTACAGCTTCATGGACACCGTGCAACCCGTCAGCGCCATCTGCGAAGCCACCCACCCATCAGCCATGAACAAACAAACCAAACACGGTTCAGCAGCAAGTACGGAGAAGAGAAGCCTTACGGAAATCGTCCGCCATGAGAAGCTCGTCCTCGAGGGGGTGCTCGGGGCCCACGGCGACGACGGGCTTGTAGGTCCGCAGGGCCTCGAAACCCAGCGGCTTGTTCTGGGCCCTGCGCCACTCCATCTCGTGGTCGAGGACGTGGAAGAGGCCGACGACGTTGCGTAGGCAGCTGTCCAGCGGCACGTTGCCGTACGTCACGGATATCATCATGACCTCGAGCTCGTCGGGCGACGAGGCCAGCGCCAGCAGCATGGCTAGGACATCGTCGCCGCCTGTATGGGTGGTATCGTTAGCGGGGTTTTATAACGAATAAAAAAAATCGGGATGGATGGTTTGAAGCGAACTTGCCTGGGTCGGTGTCGATGATGATTCTGTTCTTTGGGGCCATGGTTGTGGTTGTGGTATTGAGCCTCTTCTCTTCTGTAGATACCTTATTACCTAACCTACCCAATCGTTCGAGTATGCGCTGCTGTTGTGTCAGGCTGAAGCTGATGGAATACCAGCTGGAGAGCTGATAAGGTTGTGCTGTGCCGTAGTGCCTCCACTTGTGTGTGGTGTTCAGGTTATGGGCCGCCCGCCCGTGCCGTCGGTCACCAGCGAAGGCCGGCCATCCCAGAGCCCGCTACGGTAGTCTCCGCAGTCGCCCGAGTCGCTCTGATTGTCTCGAGGCCGGGCAAACAACGTTGCAACTGTAATATCTTAGATCTTAGACTTGCAGATTTTATGTCTCAATACGAATACATATGAGCTGAAAGCAAGGCCAATGAGGGGCTAGTCGGCATGTCGCACTCGTGCCGCCTTGGAATCTTGGGGCGGGTAGGACATCAGCCGTTGACGACGTACGGATACATACAGCAGTATCGTTAGATTATTATTACCAGGCATGGAACGGCAGCACCGACTCTGGCTTCTGATGCTGTGGCGTCTACCTGTACATGCTTACAAAAGTACTGTTTCCAGTGATAGGATTACCTCGGTGACTACATAGGCTTAAGAATCCGAAGCTTTCCAGACTGAGAGATATCTATCTCAAGAACTTCCTCACCATGCGCATGAATCAAAAGCGGGTGCGGGTGGTATTTGTCAAGGCATGCATGTGGCGACTTGAAATAGCCCAAGCCTATGGTTCAGGGTAAAAGCGAGAGCATGTGCATAATGCATCTGATGATGACAGCTCTTGATTCACCTTCCTTTCCGGGCGAACATCTTGTATCACAGTGAACCGTGGCAGAAGCCTCTTTCAAGTCTGAGCAAGAAGACCTTCGGTGTATTAGAGTGGACGTTGAAAGCTTTGTGCATATATCTTACAACTTGCATGTGAGCAGAGTCACAGAGGTACTGCATACATCCCCAATCAACCAACACCTACTACAGTCGTGAGCAGCTACAGTCTTGTGAAGCGGGCGGCCATAACTTTCAGCCCATTGACTACATGAACGGTGGTGATAATTGTCCATGCCTCAACCTGCCAGGCTGCTCCCAGTGAGCGGTTTTGCTGCAGGAGTACCCTGCTGGACTGAATCAGGCGCACGGACACCCGCAATTGTAAACGAAATCCGAAGTTTAACCGGGCCTTATTGTTCCACGTTCCGCTCCAAATTGCCCGCAGATGCGCTAGAGTCGTACCCCAACACGCCCAAGCGAGATGCTCCGTGGCGATTTAGGGGGAGCTCACAGGGGCCACCTATCGCTAACACTGGCGCTAATCTCCCAACCAGCTCAGTGCAGGTGCTCACCCTCATTCAACCATTCAACCCCAGGTGGCCATTTGGAGCTTCAAGCCGAGCGAGGTCGTTATTCCCATTCTGCCACCCAAGCACCCCTTACAGTTGATCATTGAGATTGAGCCATTGAAGACACCTTGGACAGACGACAACCTGTTCGTCCATCTGTTCAACTCTGTGAAATCACCTTCTCCAATTTCCTCTCCGTCCCTCCTCACCTCACTCTACTGCATCACTTCCACAATCCATCTACCTGCCTGGCTTGTCTCGTGAGACCACGGTTCCGATCCCATCATCTGCCTCCGTCCTCGACAAGCACCGCGGCAGCTGGAGTCCATCGCCAGACGGGCAATTCTGGAATACGGCTGTCTTCCTCGTATTCCTTCCCGCCACGCCACCGACAGAGCTTATTCACCTCTGCCCTCGGTCGGTCCCCAGCATCACATTCCCTCACTTGTTCCTGCTTGACCTCCGACATCAGCAGCGAATGACGGCCGAGCTTCTCTCACGCCTTCCGTCTCACATAACACCCACATCGAGCACTCCTGCAACGTAACCTCCACACTCCCCATTGTGCATTCGACCGTCGCATCACTTCGTTGAACTTCCTTTGCGAACAAGCATCCTCGGTTCACGATTAGAGGGCAAAGTTGCGCCAGTTGTCAAGATGGATCTCGCGAAGGAGCACTCGACGGCTACCACTATTGGTGGATATGCATTCCTTACTCTTATCGTAGGCGCGTTGTATTTGTCAACCAAGAAGAAGGCCAAGACACCAACTGTCAAGCAAATCACGAAGCACCTCGACGTCGGCACTGACACCAAGAAGAAGTCCGAAAAGGCAGCGAAGCCGAAGAAGCCAAAGGCCCCATCAGGCACCTCGGACGAGACGACCTCGACCTCGACCAGCCTCAACTACAACCAGCAGGAGGACGATGCGGCCGAGAAGAAGGCCGACCGCGAATTCGCCCGACAGCTAGCCAACACCCATGCTGGCCACAAGTTCAACACCAAGACGTCTGACAGCAAGCGAACAAAGTCTGTTAAGCAGTCCAAGGCACAGGAGACCACTCCTGACGCTGGACCCGAGAAGTCATCAGTCACTTCTTCGACCACTGGTGATGCTGACGACGATCTGTCACCTCAGACCTCCCCCATTGTCTCATCTGCCGATGGCCGAGATGTGTCTGACATGCTCGAGGCCACCACTCCCGGCCCTTCAATCCTTCGTCTTACCGACACCGACTCTGTCAAGAAGCAGAAAGAGCGAAAGGCCAAGGCTCCCGAGCCTGTCGAGAGCAAGAAGCAGCGACAGAACCGCAAGAAGGCAGAGGCTGCCAAGGCCGCCCGCGAAGAGGACGAGAAAGAACGCAAGGTGAAGATGGAGCAGCAGCGTCGCGCTGCCCGCGTCGCCGAGGGACGAGCTGCCAAGGACGGCTCAGGCTTCATGGCAAGCACTCAGAACGCCTGGAATGACAAGTCTACCAATGGCAAGTCTACGAATGGAAGCGATGCGGTTCAGCCGCTGGACACCTTCGAACGACAGCCGAAGCCCGAGGCCGAGCCCGAGCCTGAGCCCGTCCAGGCTAGCACTCCGACTCCTGCTGCGGCTAAGGAGCCGGCTTCCGACACCTGGTCTGGCATGCCCTCCGAGGAGGAGCAGATGGAGTTGCTTCGACAGGAGGATTCTTGGAACGAGGTCAAGACGAAGAAGAAGGGCAAGAAGAAGGACGGCTCGGCTGACAACACAGCCTCGGCCGCTCCTGCGAACGGTGGAGACAATGCCACCCCTTCAGCTAGCATCAAGTCACGCCCTGCCGTCAACGGTGCCAAGAAGCCTATCCTGACCAGCAGCAGCTCGTCCTTTGCCGCCTTGACACCTGAGGAGACCGATGACAATGACGAGGTCGAGAAGGAGTGGGATGTATGATGGATGGATGCAACACTCCGAGTGCCCAAGTCTCACCCCCTGGGAACCAAACCCATACGAACTACACCTTCAATCAGAAAGTCCCCTTTGATAGAAGCCTCTCTTCTTGTACAATATGCCAATTCACCTCACACCTACCGGCACTGTAGATGACTGGCATCGAGCACACTATACATTCAGGCATGGACTTGGATCGGGGCGCAACAGGCTCTTGATTTCTGGATGCCGAAGGACCACAAAACCGGTCTTCCCCTGCATTGTACCATCATTTGATATTCCACATTTTCTACAGGGCAGCAAAAGTCAGGCGCAACACCGATTGAAATGATTTCTCATTTCGGAATCTATTGTTCAGCACTGGACGCGGTTCTCTTCCAGCAAGGCGTGCGCAGAAGAACAATATGCACTTGTTCCCGCGCTCTGAAACGAGAGTTATTGCCCGAGATTTCCTTTCACGTCCCTTTTCACGTATGCAAGAACAGGTCCATCGTTCGCTGATGGTGGTTGAGTCGGACAGCAAAAGCAGGGGGTGAGGAACTAGAGATGGTAGCTTTACGGTCTGGTAGCTAGCGCCCCCAGAAGGCTCGCCTGATAGTCGTGGCAGACAGATGGACAATTCAGCAAAAATAGTACCAAGTGTATGTGTTTGATGGTTCGTGAAGTGACAATTATTTGATCTACCCCGGATTCCTGATTCCTCGTAATGCAAGGTTTGCTGGCGCAGCAAGTGAAGCTACTGGACCACCCCATCTTCCTCTTGGCTGCTGATCCATGCAGCCGAAAATCATAGATCTGGAGTGCATCCTTCCCACGATCTGGCCGCTGATTCTCTTGGCATTATGCTGTCCATGTCAGCTGACGAAGAGATCACCCATCGAATGATGTTCACTTTGTCGTTGAGGCTGGCTGACTCTTAGCTGGTATAATGATGGTGGGAAGTTCACGTCCTTGTTTGCCAGGATGCTCAATTGATGAAGACGAGCGGGTTTGCTGTCCATCTACATCTACATCCGCATGATATTCACCAACGAATGGACCTCCATTGAGTTGAGTTGGTATTGAGAGAGATGCAGTCCAAGCATAAATGTCGAGGCACCACAATATTGTTGCCGGGGTTGGTGTGCTCCGGTTGAACCGCCGTCTCTTTCTTGTCTTCCTTGGGTACAGTACTGCTTGTAAGGCACCTACTCTCGAGCAAACGGAACGCGGTATCTAGATCTTGTGTTGGGTTGTTTGTATACGATTTCGATTCTTATGTACAACTTAAAAACTGATGCTCGGAACGCTTTTACACCATTTCGCTACCATCATACCTCCCCGGGCGGGCCCCTACAATACATGCCTCTTCTCCAGAACCGCCAGCGACGCCTTCGCCCACTCCCCAGCCTTCAACGCAAACCCAACATGCATCCCCGGCACCATCTCCGTCTCCAACCCGAGTTTCTCCCCAATAGCAACATTAGGTCGATAAGCCATCGCATCCTTATCCGTCCCGGCCCCCAACAGCAAGAAAGACCAGCTTTTCCCTGTGCCGTCTCAGCGCCTCCGTGTCCGGAACCCGTCTGGGCCAGCCCGTCTCGTGCTCGATCCACTACGTCGTGTTTGCAGCCGCGTCCGGGCCAGCCAGCGTGTGGACCAAGGCCTCCGTCTCGTAGCCGGCCTGGATGAAAGCGGCGAATTCTTGCACCGCCGGGGGTATGCCCTTGGTGCGGAAAGTGCCGACTACGTGTTGTAACTCGCCGTCGATCCGGTCGCAGTCCGGGGACGGGGACAGGTGTGCGAGCAGCGCGGCGGCGTCGTCGGCGTGGGTCTCGAGTCTGTGGCCGTAGTCTTGTGAGGAGAGCTTCCCCGTGCTGCGCGAGTAGCCTCTGCGGTCGTACATGACGACCGTGAAACTGTCCTTCAAGTGCGAGGCTAGGTTGTGTCATATCTCCACCGAACCGTTCGCGCCTGCGATGCAGAGCAGAAGAGGGCCGAGTCCGACGGTCTCGTAGTAGAGCGATCCGCCTGGGATCTCGAGATGGGGCATTGTGAGTCGTTGTTTTGGTCGATGATATGTCCGCCTTCAGAGATTGGTGTTGGCACGGCTTATCTTCACCATAGCTTGTTCTGCAGAGAGGTACAGTACTAATCAGGCGCCGAGGCCATGTATATGTACATGAATGGTTCCTGTGTTCACGGGAGCGACTGTTGTGCTGTTGTGAGGGACCGGTGTCAGACGAGAAAGCTGCTGTGAACGAGGTTATTCAAACCTAGGTCTCTATAGTACAGCTCGTAGCCCTGATACCGCATATGTTTCGATCTGGTCGACTGGCAGTTTCGGCAGCATCGTAGCTTACAGCCGCCGCATCACCGATGCCGCCGTTGGACTCGTGCTTGGATTCGCTCTCGGCCCTAAGGAGAAGAAGCCGCACTCGCACCTTCGCTATCATTCGGGTAGGAATATTTCATCGAACTGCGTCGGTAGAGGCTCCCATACCATCCACCACCAAAGGTCGGGTCCGAAGTAATGAAATGCTCGGCCTAAGTCTCCTCAGACTCATTAATAACTCTCTCTCTCTCCCCCCAGCCTTTTCGATGCGCTGTCTATCCTTCTCTTCGCTAGCTTCTTTCCTCATCATGCTTCTTCCTCCCTCTTCTCCAACATTGGCCTGAACTGCTCTAGCACTTGAGGGGGACGGTGTCCGTCCAGTCGCCACTCCAGAAAGCCTAACATTACTTCTCACATCCATAAAGGCAGATAGATGTCTGTGATACCTGACCCCCTTTCTCAACTCGTCGTCGATCGATTACGTGCCCACTGCTGAGCCGCTCGACGCGCAGGAGGATGGATCTGGGGGAGGAGGTATGTTGGCCTGCTGGAGCTGGAGAGACGGGTCAAGGAGGTAAGGGATGGTACCTGGGGAAGGGGGGAAGGGGGTGAATGGCATGACCCTCATGGCGGCAGATGCCGGAGATCTCGCCCTGCTTTTGGGGCTTGGACTGTGCGCGGTCTGAGGGCATGTTGATCGGGAGGTGTTATGAAAGACGCGACTGATAGTAGAGGGAGTGTGCTTGAACATTCAGTATTGAGTATTGAGTCTTGAGTATGAGGATGGTTGGCGTATGGATAAAGCGTGGTAATGAGGACCTTACTGATATAAATAAGATAGGCTGGTATTAATAGGGGTTTAATGCTAACAAGATGTTGTAAGATGGTATACGAGACAGAGTATCTCACCTGGTACATCATGTCAGACATTCGTGATGTGGCTTCGAGGGCTTGCTCTGAACCTGACAGTGACATGATGATTTGATCCACTGGCCATGGGGTACCCGAGGGCTGGCTTGGAAGGATTTATTTGTTCATTGTTTGTGCACACACATCTTTCATCACCACTCACGGGAACTTGCAGATGATTGATGATGCCTGGATCTGTGACAAATGAGAGTGTCTGGCAGGCTGAGACATATGCACGAAGAGATAGTGAGACATTTCCAGACCCGACAGTGAGGTATTATTATGATCTTTTCATCGTGGTTGGACCAAGCATTTGAGGCGTTCTGAGATGCAGGCGCACGTACAATGATTTCTTTAGGTTTGCGGGGAAGTTGACGCAGCAAACATTGCCGATTTGTCAAGTCGTTTTCGGGGTCCAGAGAGGCAGAGAGGGTCCGGACTGGCAGACTGGTGGACCGTGGTAATCTCGGGCCAGGACACGAGCGGGAGCCCCTATTGAGGTTTAGATTAGATAGCAACCAGTGGGGTGAGCAGGGGCTGAGTGCCTATCTACAGGGATAATGCGGCAATGCCACTGGCAGCAGCGTTACAGCAGGGCTTAGTAGGCTAAACAGGGAACTTGGGGGCTTCGGCTGGGGGTCGTTAAAAGTGGCGCTGAAACATAGGCCGGAGGGTTAGAAGGTTTGACGGGCATGGCTGGGGGGATTTCTCAGCGCAGGAGGAGCTGGCAGGAGGAGCAGGATCCGGTCGAGGTCTGCCACACCACCCAATTCACCACTCCTACGATTCCCATTCGCTCACTCCCCGTTCTACTGTCGGTTGACGTCTTCACTGCTTCACCCACCAACTACCACCACCACCATCACGGTGGCTTCTTCCTGATCGTGCCTTTCTTTGTTACTCAAAACCTGTTCTGTTCCTTTTGGTCACGTTCATATTCAACAATTGCGTTATATACATGCACCATCAGTCTTGCCTCATTCACTCTTTACCTTTATTATCTATGTAGCTAGACTAACAATACATTGACACCACCACCCACTGCCTCAACCCGCAACGTCCAGCTATTTACCTGACGTTTCAACACATCCCATCGCTGACTCTTTGAAACTCCGGTTCATCCCACCAACAATATTGACCGTCACACGATAGCGCAGCTGGAGCATTGGTCGCACAACACCGACCAACCTTCTCTGTTCTCCAGCGTCACTCGGTACATTCCAGCCCGCGGCATTAACACCAACATAGATGCCCAGTGCCCAGTGTCCACCGACGACCATTGTTCTCATTGTGCGCCAAACCCAACACTTGAGCAAGTGAGCACCATATTGGGCAGGGCTCTCGTTGCGCATGACGCTACACCTTCGCGGCGAATAAACCTCTTTCTCCGACAACAACCCAGGACCGCATACCCGAGCCACGACGCGCTCTGTTCAATGAGGTCGTCAGAGGCTACTCTCCCACCACCTTGAGCTATCTCGGCGCATCTTGCAGGCGGCTCTTCGACACGCTTCCACCCCCATCATGTCGTTCTGTATCGCTGTCCAATCCGCAATATTCTACCTTGTTTCGTGTTCGCCATGTGCTCAAGCCCAGCACCACCAGAGGTCCAAGACGAAGGCGAAAAAGGAGCGAGAAGAAAAGGCCCGCCTACAAGCCGAATACCCGGGTTCATACCAACACCCAGACCCTTTCAACACGAACCCGTACTGGGCGGAAGAAATCATGATGGGACCGCATATTAAAGCCAAGAAATACACGGGCGGAGCAGGAGCAGGAGGAGGCAGCAGCAAGAATACCAGTGAGAGGGGCCTGAACAGCGCTGGGAAGGACACAATAAGTGTAGCTGGGAGCAGCGTGGGGGTGAGCGGTGCGCCTCCAGAGACCAGCCCAGTTGCCGCTACGGAACACGGGAAAATGAGCTTCTCGACCACCATGTCAACGACAGTGTCCGACGACTGGAACCGCAAACTTTACCAGAGAGAGGACGAGGAGCTCTGGGGTCACGAGCTGTCCCATGCAGGGCACAAGCTGATGGACGCCATTAAGCACGCAGGAACATCAGCCGGCCGTCTCCTCGAAGCCAGTCTGAAGATGGACGCGAAGCCAATCACCGATCAAGACAGGGAAAAGTTCTACTTCGCTCCGAAGAACCCTCCGGTCAACGACTATCATCCCCCGATCGTCCGGCAACGGCCCACGCATGCCGATGCCCACAAATGGATGCTGCAGCCACCCCCAGCTGCGAAGGTTATGGAAGGCAAAATACCAGTCAGCAGAAGCGCTAGTTTCGCAAGTCATATGAGTAGGAGGACAACGATGAGCGATGGCCCCACACTGGGCCGATTGGTACATGAAAAGAACATGGAAGCGAAGCTCAGGAGTGGCGAGTTGCCCTCCGAGTTAGAGTCAAGTCCGTCATTAAGCAGACCAGGACCGAAAAGAAGGGCCACCGCTTCGACTCTCGGTACCAACCGGAGGAGTGCAAGAAGTCGGAGTCTGTCTCTAGAATCATCTGATGCCTCTGACGAGCTACATAAGCGGAGAAGGCCTCGGGCAAGACCCCGGATTACAACTGAACTGTACTCTTCAGACGAGGATGAGTACTTTCTGGGGAGCACAGATTCGTTTGGTCGAGGCAGGAGAGCAGCAGTACGACCGAAGCTTCAACCTATACTGAGCTCTCGTGATGGTGAGCGAGGGTCGAGGGATTGGTTGTCTGCCAGAATATCACCACATCCAGCCCCCTCTCCCCTCGCGGACATCACGAATAGTCCGCCTCAATCCAAACCTACACTGGCGTCTTCTACCAATACACCACTTGACGAAACACTACCAAAAGCAAAGGCTCCCACACAAACATTAGCACCAGATGTCTCAGCATAGAGTCGCTCGGATAGGAGTCTAGTCATGTCAGACAGTGCCGTGGAAATCCACCCACCACGAGTCGACCAGTTGTGGCATGTCGAGGCTTCTCCGAATGGGACGCTCTACCTGGTCCGATTCGCTGGGTCGAGTGAGCGACTTTTCTTCTAAACTGCATAGCAATTTGGTTATTCCATTGGCAAAGGGGGCATAGGCACGGCGCATCGGCTGCACTTATTTATGGAGCTGGGGTTTGGGGCATGGCACTGCACAACAGAGGAAGCATTGCTTAGTTGGCGTACTCTTCACAATTGACCTTTTGTTTACTTCGAGTGAAACGCCGTTTCTTGGATTCCGTGATTGTCTCTTGACTTTGTTGACCTGGCCATCACACAGCTCCTGGCCGGCTGGCTTCGTTCTAGAACCTTTCAACCCTCGTTGCCAACGCTACACTTCAGCACTTGCCTGCCTTGCGGACATTGGCGTCGCTCTAGCTATGTGGTCGTGTTTTCCTAGCAGCGATTTGTCGACCTTGGTCTTCCTGTAATCACCTTTGTTTTCCGTAAGTGGGTCGTTCGCTCTAATAGCCCCTGATATCACAAAGCGGACTCCCTTGCTCTCCGGTAACAAGACAGGCAGACTGCCTTCGTGAGTCGCTTGGGAACTTCTGCTCACTAGCTGTGTTAACACGTGACGTGTCGCAGGGTAAGTGGATGAATGGATGGGTGGATGGGTGAATGGTAGCTTGGTGATGACCGTCAAACAGGGTACACTCAGCCCTCACATGTCTCCGACCGGCAAGATTATCTCCACTTCCGATGAATATACCCTTGTGTTGATGAGTTTGACAGCTCTCTCATAGACCGGATGGGGTTCTTCAGTTTCTGGAAGATCTCTGGCTCCGGGGAGAGGGTGTCAACATATCACCCCAGGGATTGGTCTGTCTGGAGTGATGATAGGTGGTGCCCACACCTGCGGTACCGGCCCTGGTCGATGCGCTGGCGTGGACGGTCCTGGGGTGCGTTCGGACTAAGACTTCAACGGGTGAACTCGGCAATATGATTCAAGAGTTGGTTTGTCTGCAGTCTGCTTTAAAGAGGGAATCACGGGAGGGAAAGTCTGTGGTCCCACGGTCTCGTTTGATGGACGTGAGACGGAAAGAGATGACTGTTGCTCAACGGAATGAGTGACAGAAGGGAGTGAGTTCTCGAGGCTGGCTAGTTTGGTATGGGTGAGTGATGGGAGGGGGTGCCAGTGACTCGATAGGGTTGCCGAATAAGGGTGGACGAGACTTTTGGGAGAAGTTCAGTGTATCAAGTCCTGCGGGATGTGTGCTTTGCACTCACTGGCTGGGATCGCGGAGTGAGGTGTGTTGACCGTAAAGCAGGGTATTAGGTTCGGCGTGATGTGTGTGCGTGTGCTTTTCATTGGCTTGGGATCGTGGATCTAGGTGTGGTTGGTAGGTTCAATGGTAGGGAGAACCTGTTGGCAGATAGGTATGGACCTCTACTTCAGCTGCTTCTTTTCCGCCTGTGGAAAACTTGGGGTCTGGACGTGTTTTCTGTGTGTAGTGTAGGTTGGTCCTTGTTGGAAAGGGGGCTTGGTTCAGGCTGGTTGTTTGGGACATGTATTTGGGTCCAGGGTGAGTGAATTGGTGATGGTAGACCTAGGTGATTGCGCATGAGGCCGGCATTGGCGGACGGAGGTCTCGAGGAACTATGGGTTTGTATTATATATAGGAATGGGGTATTTTGAGGGCCATACGACCTATCGTGAGACGCTGGTCGAGTTGAGGGTCGGCCTTGGTCTCGAAGCTCACCCACCCCTTTTTAGTCTTGCTTCATGAGCCATACATGTTGAAGTCCGTAGACCCGCGATAAACTCCGGGTGTATTGTTCGTGCCTTTGAAAGTGTAGAAGCCATGTAGGTTTCTAGAAGTTCCTCCTATAAGTCTTTTCGGCCTTTTTTGTCACGGAGCAAGACATACCCCTGTTCCGAAGCAGAGACCCCGCACGGCGAAAAGACAACGACCACATTACACAAGGTACCTATGAAGCCCCTTCCCATAGGCCGTCGCGAAGTCATCCCTCATGTGCCAATCATCGAGTAGCTCCTCCTCGAAGGCTGTGTTATGCGTGTGGTGCATTAAATGTGACCTTCCATGAGGCCACTGCAGGACACGTACAAGTCATCACCTCCAATTGGTCAGAGAATCTGCTGTTGCCCTTGCACAGCTCCTCCTCATGTACTGCACTGGCTGCCTCACAAGCCTCCGCCGAGGGACAAAATGGATTTCCCCATCTTCTCCTTCACCTCCATGTCTTTCCTGCATCACCATGAAGGTAGTCGGCCTTGTCGCAAGCAGCATCACGCTCGTGGAGGTGGCCGCCCGGCTCGGTGCCGGGGCTCTGAAGCTACGAGAGCTGTGGCAGCAGGTCCACGATGTGCCCGAGACAATCACCAGGCTGCTACAGGAGATCGAAATCCTCGAACCTGTCCTCGAACAGATCGCGAATGAGGGAGGCAACCACCATTCCGCGAGCGACACCTTCCGACTCATTTTTGATGTTTCCACAACCGCAGACGGCCATGGTCAGAAGCAAGTTAAGCATTTCTTGGTCATACTCACTCATGGGCATGGTCGCTTGAAAGTGTGTCGAAGAACAGGATGAGAGTGGCTGTACACGTCCTGGTAGGAATCGCTTCATCATTCAATAAGACTGAGTGAGCTGACCTATGCCGTCAGAATACCAAGCCAGGTTGCAACTACCTTGGTGGCTAGTCACTTGGGCTTTCGACATCCAGGCTTCCAAAGAACTGGCGGGATGGAAGTACACTTTGCGGCTGTGGAGAACCATAAGCAGAAACAGCGAAGTGTTTAACGCTGCATTCTTAGGCAGAGTCGACGAGCTGCGCAATATGTTGATTCGACATGAAGCGTCTTTGTATGATCGAGACCCACATGGTACCACCTTACTCCATGTATGTTTGGTTGCTGTTAATTTGCAGAATTGTCGCTGATATTGTGATAGAGCGCTGCGTTTGGTGGGCAATTGGAACTAATGGAATCTTTGAGAGCCTGGGGACTGAGAGGTCTCTGGTCTGAGCAAGCAGCGTCCTTGGACGACGCACTTACACCTTTGCACTATTTTGTGTTAGGCATAAAGCCCATTTCCGTGAGGATGGACGAGAAGCACAAATTCTTGCTCGAACATGGAGCATACGAAGCAGACGGGCCCTTGTCGGGAAGCATTCGACTGCAAGGAAAATTCTACACACATCTAAAGCAAAACATGCGCAGAAGCTCTGATGTTTTCCGTTTACTACAGCCGATCATGTTTCCTGACTTCTATGATCGCTGTATCCACGAACGCCTTGCCGTGTTCTTCCTGGAGGATGAGACCGATTATATGGTTATTTCGAGAACCTTAGGCTTCTATTCAGGAAGGACGGATTGCTGCGTCACAGAGACCTGTTCGCATCGGAAGGGGGAGGGGTATGCTTTCTGAATCACGTGGCCTGGAGCTACGGGACACACGTTAATTTCCCACCCTACATTTACAAGGAGCGGGAAAAGGAGCCGAACCAGGAGTCGATCAAGAAGACGAAAGGACGTCATGGGATAAGGACGTACTCTCCCATGGCCGAGGCAAGAAGGCTCGTTCGCGACGTCGTTCCGCTGTTGGATCATCTTTCAAGTGTGGCGCCTCAACGACATTATCGCCATGCCCCTAGAACAGCCCTGATCAATCTAATCATGAGATGGTCAAGAGGAAACCGAGACTACTGGCCACTGGAGTATGTTGAAGATGTCAGATTCCATACTCGATTAACTCCCTCGGATGTGAGAAAAAGGCTCAGGGACACACTGGCATGCTGGCTTGAAGACTTGAGAGCATGCGGAGTGGACCTGGAGGCATATGGGTGCACCGAGAACCGAATCTTCCGAGAGCACTGGTGTGTTAGATACATACCATACTGCGTCGGCACCACGGTAGATCATACGGCAAGACTGCAGGATTTCGACTACGGTCCGAACCCCGAAGATTGGAAATTCCACTGGGGTCCCGATGCCGAGAGATTTGCAGGTGATTTCTGGGAAATGGTCAACAGGCCTCCGCCTGTGATGCCGGGGTCATGGATCGAAATGGATGAGTGAAGGGAACCTGCTGGCTGGCTGGAGTTCTTCTCTCTTGAATTTGTGGACACTATGTTCTATATCGAGGACCGGCTTGTATCGTATTGGACTGGGAGAGGTACAGAACAAGGCTTTTCTACCATAAACTTACAGATCTCTTGACCCTCAACGGGCATGATTCGTGCAAAGCTCGCAAAGATTTCAGCGTCCCTCTGTCCCAGATCATCAGGCTCCAATAACTCCAAGCTCATGAGCCCAGTGAACTACTTCTACCTGTGAGATTCACGCGTTCGACGTTTGCTCCATTGCAAATAGGTCACAAGTCAGTCCCCCTGGCGGGAGAATACCATCTATCACTACTTGCTGAGCAACCCCGACGGCGGTCCACAGTCATTTTGGTCCTCAAGGATCGCCAACCCATCCCCCATCAACGACATAGCTACTCCCCGTAATAGCACTCGAATCATCCGCGGCCAGGAACAGAATCAGCCGCGCCACCTCCTCGGGCATCAAATCCCTCTTCAAGCTCTGCGCCGCCATGACCTCAGCGTGATACTCATCCGTCAGCACCTCCTCGACCTGCCTCTGCGTCGCAATGGCGCCGGGCATAACGCTGTTAACCCGGACCCCGTCGCCCCCAAACTCCTTCGCGTGCGTGCGGGTCATGCCCATGACGGCCGCCTTGCACAGCGTGTAGACCGGCAGGCCCGTGGCCGGGATCGCCCACGTGATCGAGCCCATGTTGATGATGCTGCCGGCTTTCCGTTGCCGCATCGCCGGCGCCACCGCCTGCGTCAGGAAGAACTGGTGCCGCAGGTTGACGGCAACGTCGGCGTCCCACTGCGCGGGCGTCACGGCCGACGTCGGCACGCGCGACTTGGACCCCGCGCCCGCGGCGTTGTTGAGCAGCACGTCGACGGTGTCGCCGTGGTTCGCGAGCGTCTGCTCTGCGCACGCCTTCACCCGGTCCAGGTCTGTCACGTCGCAGTGCATGAACGTGGGTGTCGTGGCGTCCGGGATGGCCTTCATCTTCTCGAGCAGCTTGGCTGCCGAGGATGCCGAGTAGTCCAGGAACACGACGTTGGAGCCCTGGCGGCAGAAGAGCTCGACCGAGGCGGCGCCGATGCCCTCGGCGCCGCCCGTGATCAGCACCGTCTTGCCCCGCAGGCTCGGGTAGGTTGCGTATGGAGACATGTCGTTGTAACGGTGGGATTACGCGTTTGGGGTTACTGTTCTTGGGAGGATCAAGTTTTAACTAGGTGTTGCCAACAAAAGTGGTTTGAGCGTGAGGCGCCGAGGTAGACGATGGGCTGCCAACCATCCGGGTCAGGAAACAAGCTGCGTGCTTACGAGTGACACAAGGGCGTGCCCAATCAATCATTGCCACGCCTGTTTCCAGTCGGATCACTGCGAAAGCCGCAGGATCTCGGCCGAAGTAATACATGCGATTTCTACCTACCTGTTATTTGGGAATAGGGGGCACTATCACAGTGGGTGAAGATGGTGTTGAAGGCTGTGCAAAATTTACCGATAATAATTACCTTAAAGAGCTTGCAGGCAATGAATGATAGGTTTTGTATTCTAGTGAGCGTTCTCATCGTACAGGTCGAGCGTAACCAGGCTTCCAACGAAATCCCCTGCCAGTGTCTGCGATACGGGCAAGTTGTGCCGACTTGCTTCTTTCCAACCTCCAACGAGAGTAATCGTACATGAGACGGCCATCCAGGTCTTCATGATCCAACTTGAGACTTATAGCAGTCCACCTCTATCTGTAAGGGAAGAGAAGCAAAGAGACAGCTTACTGTCCCTTCGGGGGTAGAGGACTAGTCTTCGGTGGAGGTGGAGGAGCACTACCGTCCTCCTACTTGGGCGGCTTGTGGCCCCCCTTCGGAGGGTTCGGCGCGGCATCACGCTGTTCCTTCTTGGACTGACCGTCGCCGTGGCCCTTTTGGGACTGACCATCGCCGTGGCCCTTCTGGGGGTGACCCTCGCCTTGGCCGTTCTGTGACTGACCACCGCCTTGGCCATTCTGTGATTGACCACCGCCGTTGTCCTTCGGAGGGTTGGATGGGGCATCACGCTGTTCCTTTTTGGGTTGAGGGGGAGTACCATCGCCATGGCCGTTCCTGGGCTGAGGAGGGGAACCACCACCGTGATTTTCTTTGGGCGGCACCGGGGTCTTCTCCGGGTGTGGCGGAGGAGCCTCACGCTTGCCACCGCCCTGAGTTGGAGTGACAGTGGCAGTCGGTTGTGCCGCCGCTTGTGTGTTGCCATTCCCCGAAGGTGATTGTGTGTTGCCATTGCTATCGTGTTGTTGATCGTCACCTTTGCCACCATGCTGTTGACCGTTGCCGTTGCCTGGATGTGGAGGGGGGTGACCATTCCCCGGAGGTGGTGGGACGTTACCAGCCCCGTGAGGTGGTTGAGCGTTGCCATTCGCAGGAGGGGGCGGCACTCCCGTCCCTTTCGACGCAGCAGGGATGCTCGCGGGCAGAGCAGCAGCCGTGGTTGCAAGGACAGCTGCTGCAACGGCGGAGAGCCTCATTGTAGATGTTGGTCTGTGGCTTCGGTGCTTGGCTCTGGCGTTCGTAGTTTACTAATTGTAGATGATGAAGAGATGGGTGATTCGAATATCTTATTGCTGTGTCTTGAAGTGAAGTGTGATGAGAATGATTCGAGCCACTTGTAGCTGGGAAACGTAGCCTTATATAACCATTTCTCTTGCACCGAACTCACCTCTGTCGACATATATAGAATCTCATGTCATCATCTTCTCTTGTGCTTTCGTGTCCTCATTCTGCTGAGAAACCAAGCACATCATTAAGGATCTTCATCGTCAGTACGCCGCACGCGTAACAGACATCCTACGAGGCGACAAGGAGCTGAAGCCTTGCTCCCACTTGCTACAATAGGAAAGTCCTCATGTCTTCCGCTTCTAGGCTGACTTCATGTTCCACGGAGTAAGTTCTCTCTATCTTAGAGGCCTCGGTCAGTTCCTGGTCCAGCAGCGGATTTCTATACCCACATTCCGAATCCGTCAGTTCTTGAGATTTCGAGAGCCGATGAGATCCAGTGACGATCTCGACGCAGATGACGACACGGGTACAAATTTAGAAGCCTCTCCAAAGTTGCTTTGATTCGATGGAAGAGGCGTGGCGAGGCTTGCAGTCGTCTGTGGGGAATAGATGCCGCCGGCTTGTGGAGTGCTTGCGCGTACAATACCGGCACCCCTGTCAACAATGTTGACGGGTAATCTTCCCATATGGTTGTTTTGTGACGAATTTAGTCAAACCTTACTTGGATCACGGTCCAGTAATTGAGCAGAATGTGGTGGCTGTCACTATGGGTTTCACAAGCCAGCACAAATAAACGGCTCCTGATACCCAGCCATGGCATCATCTCTGCCAAAGACGAAGATGCAAGACAAATCATGCTTTTCACGATTCTTCAAGGATGTTGGTAGGTCGGCTTTGGCTCATCAGAAGACGACAATGGAACAGAGCATCAGAGTAACGTCACATGGTGAATATGTCTACGATGCCGACCAATCCTCTAGGGGCACGACACGTTCTCATCGAATATGTTAGCTTTTGATCCAAGGTAAGAGGCCACTCTGTGAGAGATGCCAACAATTAAGGACAGGCTACATCCTGGCATGTCGGGAACAAGTGTCCCTGATCAAGCAGGGCAAATCTATCACCCGTCCGCCAGGCCGCCGTGGGAAACCAGGTTTAACTCAAGCTCAAACAGCCCTAGTATCTATTTGACCTTGACCTTCTGATCTGGAAGACCCGCTGCAAAGGCTTCGGCCTCAAAATATGCACATGCCCAGTATCTTATCAGGCTCTCATGACAGCGTCCTCGTCCTCACCTCATCCGCAGATCCCTCGATAACAACACGGACATATAAGCAACTTCAAGCACTATGCCTGTTCTCACTCGCCCATCACAAACAAGTGTACAAAAGACTACGCACCGGCGCTCCGTTTCCCATGTTCACACCGCCAATATAACACAAGCTCCCATCGCTAGGGCCCCAAACCTCCAGATCCACCGATCCAGTACAGTCCTGACCCGCAGAGCCAGTGATCATGCAGCCCTCAGGCACCTGGTCTTGGGTGGATGGTCCGCCGATATGGAAGGACTCCGCCGGGTTGCCGATATTGTAGCACTGGCCCTCCGTGCTGATGGTGAGGGCCGAGAGGGAGCCGGAAGAGCAGGTGAGGTCGCCGCTTGGGTAGAATTCGAACTCGATGTCGATGGCGGTGGAGGAAGCTGCTAGCAGGGCTAGGGAAGTGAGGGGCTGGGGTATGTTAGACAGGCTGGGCAGAGGATATGCATTGCTGGGTATATGGTACCTTGGACGAATGCATGTCGACGAATAGCCAAGGCAGTGTGCGAATGTTGAGCGCGTATGGCAATGTTGCGTTGGGACATGTTGAGTTGTTCTGTCTTGGTCGCACCATAAAATCCGATCGAGCCCCCGCTCCATCAAACAGAGCTCTTTATCGTGTCCAAGTTAATTGTAAAATCGGGCTTGTAGACCTTGATTATCAACACATCACTTCTGCGGCTTCTCGTATTCAGGCTCAGGCCCCTATTCCACTTGTTTACAGGCATCCAAATGCGAACCCCCTCAGATTATATGTCCCCATTTAATCAGGCCAAACACAGCGCCTCGTATCTGCCCGGTACGACGCTGACGCCATCTCGCAGCATAGCTACCTTGTTGTTCACTTGTATGTATGAATAGTTTCAATCTCGGGCTAGTATTCTCGTTGATGCAGGCAACAGGATGAGGGTACTGAGCCTTATAACGGAAGCAACAAGTCCACTAGGTCGGGTCCCGGTCAGAGTTCAGGAGTTGTGTATGGTATACAGTACAATCAGGGAAAGTAGCGGGTAGGTAGTTCGCTAAACAACATCATGGATTCCGTGCCCCTACTTGGATAGGAGAACCCAGAGATAGTAGCCTTAAAATTCACCGAGATTCTTTTGACGCCTACGCATACCTGGTCCTGCTCACTTCTTCATTTGACTGGCCAACATGTCAAGGGGAGTGTGATAATGTTGTAATTGCTGCCATTGAACATGCTCAAGGACTTCATATGCGAACACAACGCCTGAATTTGTTTTTGCCCTTCAGTAATGAGATCCCGTCATGTCATGCCCATGAGTAAATGCCTCAAGGGCCAGGTAACACCCCCACGCAAATGATGAATTCGAAGACGCCGTTTGCAACGGCGGAGAAGATCGCAATGGAACCATCCGCCACTGAATTGAAGACAAGGCGCCTCCGTACCCCTGACATCCCGGTGCTGTACATGCCATTCTTCCACCCAAACCCTGACTACCATTACCGGACCATAACACCGAGTTGTATGTCAAGTTGAGGAGACTCTGACCACCAATGAACAGCGGGAACGTTGTATTCGGTAGTGAGAGGATCTTGAACTGAAAAGCGCAGCCATACCCTCCGTCGTCTGGCGTGGTCTCTATGAAGGAGTTCCAGTCGTCCTCGGAGTACTTGCCAACAACGATGTTGGGCAGGTAGTCTAACCGGAACCTGCAATGTTCGAGCCAATCATGTTGAGTGGCATTCTTTTCGATCGGAAAGGTTTTGATAGTGGTGTAGTTGTTGGTGCACAGGTCCGTTTGCATGGGCTTATCGCCGTGATCAACCTGGTAGAGAAGACATGCGGAAGCCTTGCTAGGTATACCTGGTTGGGGAGAAGTCGTATTGTACTCGCATCGTACTGCAAGAGCAGGCAGAACGTGAAGCAGCAGGATGATGAGTTGAAGGGTATCCATTTGGGTTGGCAGTGTAGATGTCAGATGTGGACTGAGAGTGTGTGATGCTGTGCCATGATGCTGTGCCAAAGGTGGCGGCCTGGGTTGGCGTTGGCGGGCCTCGCAGGAGATGGTGTAGAGCTTGTTGGGGTAGTCCTCAAAGATGAGCGCATCTATGGAATGTAGAGTCCGTTGGATCGATGGCTGGTAAGATGCGTTGTATTCTGTTCCGAGGACTGGTACGGCAAGACTTGAAGGGTGACCGGAAGCACATACTTATAACAATCAGTTTCTCGATTCCGCCCTCGCAACCAAGACCCCGAGAACAAAGCATAGTAACCAGTCACCACCCGAGTGTCAAGTCAAACTATGCAAATGCGACGCAGTTATTCACTTTGCTAGTTGGAGTGATTGTTGGTTGTGATGCGACTGCTGGCTTTAGCCTCTTTTGTTCATCGTATCCGTGATCAAGTAGTATGCTACCAAGTCCGAAGGGGCCTATGAACCTCGCCATGGCCTGTGCGTCTGAGAGCACAGCAGGCCCTAGTAGTGTGCATAATCAGCTTTGCCAGAGTTGCTTCAGACAGAGCACCACTCCCCTACGCCGTTCTGCGAAGTCTCTTCCACAGTCGAAGTTATGAAGCTCGTACCTCTCCTCGCGGTTGACCTCCAATCCTGCTTAAACAGCACGAACACGGAGAAGATGTGTCTTTTGAGGGTAAGGTAGGACGGGGCCGGTGTTTGCAGAGCTAGCTCGCTCCTGGCGTGAAGCATGTTTCCACGTTTCCCAGAGAAACCGGCCAGTGATGCTTTCAATACCTTCCAAGGTCTTGGGTAATGCGCGGAGCACCATGAGCGTTGGCAGACTAGCCCACTGATACCACAGCGACGGCGAGCTTGTCGTCTTGCAGGACATTGCCGCGTGACTGTGCGCATGAAGTCTAGCATCCACAGCCCAGCTACAAATGCATACCCCCGTCCGCGTCGTCTTCGTCATGCTCGGGTGGCATGAGGTTTTCGAGCTGTCTGAGAAGCTCTTCGTCGCTCGGTCCTCGTATCGTGCCGGTTTGAAAGGTTCCATCTCGCCATGCCTCATGTTGTCCTTCCCCAGAAGGCCCATGGCCGTTGACGCCGTTTGTCAACGGTGCTGTGGTGGAAGCCTCGCGCGTCCCGTTGGTCTCGTTGGGTGCGGGAGGGTCGTCTTCCTTGCCCTGAAACTCTTGCCAGCTCAAGCCGCGGTTCTCTACCTCGACGCGTATGAGGTTGATCCGCTCTTGCATGCGAGCGATCACGGTCTCGTTCTCGGCGATGGCATCTATGCAGTCTTGATCGGGCTGTGGGGTGCCTCCCTGCTGATCGATTGTCGACCACGTACCCTCGGCGAACGGCTTTAGCTCTGCATTGGAGTAGTCGAGGTGTGCGATGGAATTGCGCAGTTCGAGAACCTTCAGGGCAAGGCTGCTGGCGGGTAGCTCAGTCAGAGCTTCGGCGAAGCGGGCTGGGTTTATGGGCTGGGTTTCCGACGACATGGTAGCAGTTTGGGTTGAATGGTTCGACGTAGACGCGGAATCTAGAGAACACTGAGAGAACGGTACCAGTCTGGTATATGCGCCTCGAGGATGGCCGACTTGCTTGATATCTTTGGAGTTATCCGGGGTTTCGTGGTGTTGTCGCAATGGAGGAGCTGCCTGTTGCTGCTTCGCCGGCAGACCAAAAATAAGGTGGGGTTGTGAAGCCCCGTGCGAAACATGGTAAGGTACCTAGGTACATGCAGGGGTAGCTCCAAGGAGCTTGGGCCATTTACGGCGGGGTCGGTGCCGATGATCGGACGGACAGTCGGCGATCTGCAGCCTGCATCCAATCGACCCCTTCTCCACTGGCAACGTCCCCGTCGTTGACCTCTGGCCGTCCAGGAAGCTCAATGATGTGATAAGAGCCCTGTATGTCGGCTATCTTCCGATGTCCTACCTATCTCGAAACTCATGCCTCATCTCTCCAGGTATTGGCTCATGAGGGGACCATTCCCCGCAGCCTAGATCTAAGCATGAGTGCAGGTGCTTTCGAGATGTTTGAGGTAAAACCTCCCCTTCCCACTGCCTCTGGAATAGTCGAGTGATTTGACTGTCTTCCAACGGGAAACCATTCCTGTCATCGTTTGTCAAAATGCTTGTGTCAAAGCTGTTTCTGGCTGCGGCCACTTTGTCGACTTCTAGTACCGCGCGCTCTGTTCTCCAGGATGGGGTGCAAGAGGTACTTGGAGAGGACAAGGCGTCTGATTTCCAGTGTGACCTCACGTCGTCCCTCGACCCTTCGAGAGACGGACTGCCCGCGGCGCGAGAGTTGTTTTCTGGCGACAAGGGTTTGAAGCTGCAGGTCCAAAGACACACCGGAATCGTTCAGATACCGTCCATCTCGTACGATGACAACGGGGAGCCAGGGGAGGATCCGAGATGGGACGTGTTCTACACCCTACACAAGGCCTTTGCTTTGATATATCCCAATCTGTGAGTGTCCCTATGGGAGATATGGAGAGCATCGTTGGAACCCCAATACCACCTATCTTTCCCAGTCCGCATAGATGGATCTAATTCATCGACTCTAGCCATCTTCGAATGGCCCGCGAGACCGTCAACACCTTTGGTCTAGTATACACAATTACGGGAAAAAATCCTTCTCTCAAGCCTCTAATGCTGGCCGCACATCAGGACGTGGTCCCAGTGGCGGATGCTTCTACCTGGAAGTACCCGCCCTTCTCTGCTCATTTCGACGGACAATGGTTATGGGGCAGAGGCGCGGCAGATGACAAGAACAGTCTGACCAGCTTGATGTCTGCCCTCGAAGCACTGCTGTCAAACCCCTTGTGGATACCTAAGCGTACTATCATTCTTGCCCTTGGGTTTGATGAAGAATGTTCTGGACGCCGAGGTGCTGGCACCATAGGTCCATATCTGGAGGAATTGTATGGCCCAAACTCAATGGCATTGATTCTCGACGAGGGTGGCATGGGGTTGGAGCTGCTCGGCAATGACACGCTCTGTGAGTACTGACAGCGTAGACGACGCACATGGTACTCAAATACTTACCGGATTCTCCAGATGCCCTCCCCGCGGTCATGGAAAAGGGTCACGTCGATATTTGGTTGGAGCTACATGTGAACGGCGGACACTCATCAATCCCGTTCCCACATACAGGTATCGGCATGATGTCTGAGATTGTCAGCCAGCTTGAATCACATCCATGGGAGCCAAAGCTTATCAAGGACTCCCCGATTCATAACCACTTTGTCTGCCAGGCGAAATACTCACCTGAGGCCGACCCTAAGATCACTAAGCTAATCAACAAGGGAGACCTGCAAGGTCTAGCTGAGGAGCTTGTCACGATCGACCGAGCTACCCAATATCGCATCCAGACTTCACAGGCGATAGACTATTTCATTGGCGGAGTGAAGATCAATGCCATGCCCGAGTCTATCCGGATAGGGGTCAACCACCGCATTGCGCCGCAGGACTCGATACCCAAGGTCAAAGCGAACATCCTGGAGCAGATCAAGCCCATTGTGAAGAAGTTTAGCCTGAAAGTCAGTGCGTTTAAGGGCGAAGAGCTGAACCCAGATTTTAAGTTGGACGAAAGCCTGGAAGATGGCCAAGTAAACCCGATGTACGAGGTTGACTACAACGGCACGCTCATCTTGACCTCGTCCCAACGCACCCAGGTCGCTCCCATCTCGCCCACATCCGGTCCGGTCTGGGACGTGTTCTCAGGCACCGTTCAGCACACGTTCGCTTTTTATGGTGGAAAGGTTGTTCCTGTCGGAGAGCTGATGACTGGCAATACTGACACTCGTCATTACCTCAGTGAGTGCACTCCTACACAGTGGGTGGCAGTGGGTTCCCATAAACTGACCTCTGTTGCAGACTTAACCCCAAATGTCTACCGCTGGACGCCAGTTCGCCAGGGCCACTCGCTCAATGGGCATACCGTGGACGAGCGCGTCGATATGTATACACACCTGGAGATTGTGAGCTTCTACTACGATCTGATCAGGAATTTCGATGCATCGGATGCTGCCGCTGTCGAGAGCAATAAGCCAAAAAACTGAGGCTGCCGAGCTATTAGTGATACGTGGTTCCTTAGGGGCTGTAAATGAGTACTTAGGTGTACCTAGCTTACTGCCCACATCCCAAACAATTTGCCAGGAGACTTTGGAGCATAGGATAGTTAGCTAAGAAACAGTAAACCAATTCTAATGCTACCAAGGATGGTACACCTCATGAGTAGAGGGTTGTGAGGCCAATGTACGTGTTGAATATTTGGATTTGTGAACGAGTCTAATCGGAAGAATGAAGAAGATATGAAGATCTAAACCAGATTTCTTGCCTTTCATACCATCACTTGGCGTTAATAGGGGAGTGAGTGGGCCAGTAGCCGACCGGCAAGAATTAGCAGGGTAGTTCACTCAATTGCCGCCGTTCACCACCCGCAACAGTGACTCTGGCGTGCTAAAATCCAATAACGCTGCGCATCACCAATCGTCCGATGTCTAGACCTACCGTACATCTCGCGAGCGACCAGAGCTTCCTGCATTGTCGCATGCCGCGCCAGGCCCCCGGATGGACCCTGCAAATAGAAGGCATCTGCGACATGATGGTATCAACTCAGTAGTACCATGTCGCTTCTTCCCGTGCTCGCCCCGCCGTCAAGCTTCCAGATTGGCCTGAGAGCAATCTTCCGCCGTTCCGAGAAGCTCCTCGTTACATCTACAGCCCGACAGTTCTCGACGAAGCGGAACCCGATCTCAGAATTATGCTTGCATTATAGCAACCATGGCAGCCCGAGACCCTCAAGTACCTTGAGGAACTGCCGTTCTCGAAACCTCCTACCCCAGCTCCAGGCCCGAACAGTCTTTAGCTTCCGCGCAACCACGCACTACACGAAGTTGCCCGAGTCCTACGAAGATGCATTGGGTCTTCTCTTTCGGAGGGAAGACCTCAATCAGAGGGAGGTCAACGAATTGTTTGGAGCACATCTCTCTGCGCGGCAAGCCAACGAGTTGTTGAAGATCATACACGGCAGACGGGTAGCAGGGACCCTGGAAGACCCGAACCTACAACAGAACACAGCTCAATTCAGCAATGAAGACAAGATAACGGCACTGAACTACCTCCGCAAGCATATCCCTGTGGACGAGGTTATCAATGCCGGTCTGCGAGCCGAGGACGAGCTCAGAGACCTCGAAGCTCAGACGCAGGATGGGAAGGAAGCTGAAGAACGAACCGAAGAGACAGTACCTCAAGATGCGCCACCGGAGCCCCAGGATGACGCCGTCGAGGCTCCGACGGGAAAGCTGAAGAAACAACCTGGAACCGACTCCCCGTATGGAGTGAGCAACTTCGATATGATCCGCGCCGAGAACATTGCGAGGCAGGAGGCATACGAGAAGCGACTGGAGGAAGAGCGGCTGGCGTACGAGGAGGAGGTAGCTAAGGGCAATATCGGAACCCTACAGACTCACGAGCAGGGGCCGCGAGAGCTAAGCCCGTTCGTGCAGAGGCATATGGAACGCGCTACATCCAAACTCGAAGCGCCGCCCGAGATGAAAGCCTGGGAACGTCTACTTCCTACCTTTGCGATGACCGTCCTTATCTGTGGTGCCTGTGCCGTTTTCGCCTACACGTACAAGCCCCCGCGGAGATCAGACAGGATCTGGCCCGACATCCCACCAGCAGCAGCGACATGCCTTGCGCTGGTGGGACTCAACCTGTCCGTGTGGACGCTCTGGAAGTTCCCGCCGCTGTGGGCCGCTCTCAACCGGTACTTCATCGTGATTGCGGCGACGCCCCGGCCGCTGCAGGTGCTCGGCGCCGTCTTCTCGCACCAGAGCTTCAGCCACGTGGCGGTCAACATGGTGGCGCTCTGGTTCTTCGGCACGCGTGTGCACGACGAGATCGGCCGCGGCAACTTCCTGGCGCTGTACATCGCATCGGGCGTGCTCGGGTTCACGGCCTCGCTGGCCAACCTGGTCCTGCGCCGCGGGCTGCAGTACACGACGCTGGGCGCGTCGGGCGCCGTGTACGGCATCATCGTCGCCTTCTTCTGGTCGCACAAGTTCGACGAGTTCAAGATCCTGGGCTACCCGCCAGACCCGATCTCGGCGCCGCAGGGCCTCGCTTTCATTGGCCTGATCCTGGGCGCGCACCTCGTGGGCCTGTTCTCGAAGAGGGCGACCATGGTCGACATTGCGTCGCACATAGGTGGCATGTTGGGCGGTGTTGCGGGCATCGAGCTGATCCGCAGGCGCATGGACGACAAGGCTCGCTTGCGCGCGGAGAAGATGAAGACGATGGGAGTTCTAGATAAGATTGTTGACAAAGAGAAGACGGCGACGGCGACGGCGACGCAGATATCACCGGCGGCGTAGCGCTGGTGTTTATGTACATGTACCTTACGTGTAAGAAGTTCTGGTTCAGCCGCTCAATGTACATATAGAAATCTCCTTGTGCTATAGAGATGTATTAAAGGGGTTGAACGATGGGTTGTATATACAAGTAATTTGCCAAAGCCTTTTGCGTTGGATATTACATGTAGAGTGTCACTTGTCGCAGCTCACAAGACCTTGCTTGACGAGGACCACCTGAGAGGTGTCCATTGGTCACATCCAGATGTTGAGCCAGATATCGCGGCTCGTAAACATGATCAGTAACTTTATAAAACTACCATCCAATCCGTAAAAACCTACCCTCCAAATCAGCCAATCACAGCCCGTGCATTTATTATCCGGCCTCTTATTCCTCACCACCCTTACCACTATCACCACCATTACTACTATTACGGCGCGCATAAGGACACATTTACAGATACGGGGCTCGCACCGCCCCTTAAACTCCCGGCGAACCTTAACCATTAACCCTAACCCTAACCACCTCGGTTACCTGGCGATTTCATGTTAGCTACCTTTAGTTTGGTAAGAAACGCAGGCAAACTGAAGTACTTGCGATGTGGTAGGCGGTGCGCAGCTAATTAAATCGTCGGAATGGCTTCCAAATGCGGTTAGGAGGGTAGAGTTTACAGATCGGAGGGTAGTTTTATAAAGTTACTGGAACATGATGTATCTAGAATGGTACAGTATCCGCAATGAGGCACCGATAAGATGCCGCTCGACCCAGAGCAGCGGAATGTCATGCAGTAAAACCCGCCAATCCTACCTTAGCTAGCACTGTGGACAAGGGGGCCAGGACCCTTCATGTTGCACGCGGAAGCTCTTAGCCAACCAACATTGAAGAAGAGAAGAGCTGAAGCTCCTTGGCTATGCCGTCTTACTTACAATTTACAGCTGACTGTGTATGTAGCTCTGCTACGTACTCATGCAGCTTCCGTCTAATGTGATTAAAGGCAGAGGGAAGAGTGGCGGTGGTAATTAACAGCATCATCTTGGCAACGTGAGAATGATCCCCGAGCGGGACGATGGGGGAGATCACCGACGAGGCTTCCCCTGCAATCACACTATCGGTCGCTCTGTAGGAAGCCGACGCGACCTATCAGAGCACCCGGATGTCCATTGTCCAACAACAACAATTGCTGATCAACGGACGATCGTGAGATTCCGTTTATTATTGGGATTCTCTTCGTCTGATTATTCCCTGCTTTCGCCTTTTCCCTCTCTCGATTACACCGCTCTTCAGCAATAGAATACAATACATGCTGAACTGACTGTCTTTATCATTTATTTTTTACCCCTTCTTCTTCTCGCGTAGCCACCATGTGGGCAGCCTTGAAACAGAAGCTCTTTTACATTGGAAGTTGTTAGCCATGTCCTAGCACCAACTTTGCCGAGTCCTCGCAGCCTTGGCATAGGGCAGCTTGGCATACAGCTTGGCATACGTCCTTTCCCTGCTTTTCGTGAAATCTCCGGGTGCACACTTGCGCCTTCCTCCACAAGGTAGTCGCGTCGCCCAACCAACACCGTACTTGCAATAATCAGGGGGACCTGGCTGCCTGGATTCTCCTACCGCCCTCCTCAGGCTGTCAGGTCGCATCCCATTCTGGATCGAGCCTTCTGCTAATCCACCACCGAAACATAGATACCTACCTTACCCTTTTCTCATTCATTGGCTCCTATTCCAGACTTCGCGAGATCGTGCCGACTTGGTCCTGTCCTACCGTCAGCCGCATCCACTACTGCCATTCTCCCTTAGCCAGATACCCATCTCTTTTCTTCGTTTCTTAGAGGTAGCATCGTCAGCTCTCGAAAACGTATACCAAGCCCCCAAACCTCGCCTCACGAGAACAACATTGCTGGACAATCATGGCCGAACACCACCACGACCGCATCCTCCCGGAGGAGGACGCGCGAAACCCGTACGCCTCAGACAACCGGTGGCGACACCAGGAATCGTCAGCATTCGCACGCGCCGCCGTCGCCCGCGACCCCGTTACCTCGAGCGCAGACACCCAAGACCTCACCAACTTCCTGAACTCGACGAGAATCGAGAGCGACCGACCTCCCACCAATGGCACGGGGAGCTACAAGCCAATTGTCATTGGTGGCTCCGACGGCGCGGTCGACGGTCATGTGGGTGCTGAAGATGGCAAGGAGGTCGTTTGCGGTCCGTTGTTGAACTACCGGCGCATGGATGATAATGTGTGGCACGGCAGCGTCCTGATCGTCACGCGGGGCGGCGGCAAGACGCAACGATTCCAACCTACCTTACATATCGGACGCGTGGAGCAAGCGAACCATCAACCAGGTCTCCTTCACGAGGGCCCCGGCGTCAATGGTGCAGAAGCGTCGTTGTCGAACGGCGCCAGCGCCATTCAGAGCGACCACGGGGCTGATGTCGTCGGCACATGTCTCTACTCGGACCCTCGAAATACCTTCTGGAGCTTCCCAATTGCCTGTGACATAGCGAACACCGAGACGAAGTGGGCGTACTCGATTTCAGAAGTCCGCTACAATAGCCAGACCCAGCCTAGGACCAGCTACTTCTTCATCCCTGCATCCAACGAGTCCATGAGGATCATGTTCCACTCGTGCAACGGTTTCAGTGTAGGGACAGATGAGGAGGCTTGGAGCGGGCCTGCTCTATGGAACGATGTGATGAGAAGCCATGCTCAGGCGCCATTCCACGTCATGCTGGGCGGTGGTGACCAGATCTACAATGACGGCATCCGGGTGGATGGACCCCTGCGAGAGTGGACGAATATCGGCAATCCTAAGAAGCGCCGGGGTTACCCCTTTACCGAGAAGCTGCGGGCGGATTGCGACGACTATTACCTCAAGAACTACATTCGGTGGTACTCGACCGAACCCTTTGCAAGCGCCAATGGCCAGATTGCACAGATGAATATCTGGGATGATCACGACATTATTGACGGATTCGGCTCGTATGTCCACGAGTTCATGAAGTGTGATGTTTTCCGCGGCATCGGCGGCACCGCCCACAAGTATTACATGCTCTTCCAGCACCATCTGGCACCTCCCGCTTCCACGTATACTTCCGATGCTCCCCAGACATTCAAACACGGCCCGGACCAAGACGAGAACCAGCTTGTAGATACCTTCGTCAAGGAGCAGGGGCCATACGATCCTTCCTATATCATCGGTCACAGACCTGGGCCGTATGTTGCCGAGCACTCGCTGAATATGTTCTCGAAGTTGGGAGCCAGGATTGCTTTCGTCGGCCTTGACGCACGTACTGAGCGTACGCGCCACCAGGTCAACTACCCCGAAACGTACGACATCATATTCGAGCGGTTACAAAAGGAGCTGCGTGCTGCTGCGAGCGCAGGACAGCCCTTTCGCCATTTGATATTATTGCTGGGAATTCCCATTGCTTATCCTGTAAGATGTACGAATGCGACGCAAGAAGCGCAGATGCTAACGGCTCCTAGCGACTCACTTGGCTCGAGAACGTCTTCTCAAGCCCCCTAATAGCCCCTATCAAGTTCCTGAACCGAAGATTCGGCTTCGGTAAGTAAACATATGGCTTGAACGACGGACGTCTCTAACAAAGGTGGCAGGTGGTGGTGTCTTCAACCACTTTGATGGTAGTGTGGATCTTCTAGATGATTTGGATGACCACTACACGGCTAGAACGCACAAGAAGGAGCGCAATACTCTCGTTGAGCGCTTGCAGACCATCTGCTCCGAGTTCTCTGTTCGCCTGACCATTCTCGGAGGCGATGTCCATCTAGCAGCTCTCGGGCGGTTCTACTCCAACCCGAACCTCCACATTCCTGCCGAGGCTGACCACCGGTACATGGTTAACGTGGTGTCTTCTGCAATTGTCAACAAGCCTCCCCCGAATGCTATTGCCAATCTGCTGGCGAGCCGCAACAAGATCCATCACCTAGACGCGGACACGGACGAGACGCTGATGAACCTCTTCGATAAAGACCCGGGCGAGTCAAACAGGACGAGAAACTCGAACCACGTCACGATGCCAAGTCGCAACTATGCCATTCTGACCGAGAACTCGCCAAACAACCATGCCGTGGCAAATGGGCATGCTGAGCCTAATGGCACGTCAGCGGAAAACACCTTTGACGGCAGGGATGGCCATTCATTCCTGCACCACGGCGAGGATGGCGCAGGTATTAAACACAAAGCTGCATCATCCGAGTCGCACGGCAAGAGCAACGACGGATCGCTCGACTGCTGCATTCGTGTAGAGGTCGACCAGCACGACAAGGATGGCAAGACCGAGCCGTACGGCCTTACGATCCCGGTCCTTAACTATCAGCCCGATAAGTTCGGGAGCAACATGACGCATCGCCTTGGTCTCCGCCACCACCGCAGCCGGCCTGACACGCGGGCGAGTAGGGCGAGTACGGCTGCTCCTCCCAGTGTTGCTGCGTCTGCACCGGAACAAGGTCGCTAGAAGAGGACTCATGCGCGACGCAGAGTTTGTTCTTGTATGGGTGGGGTTGGATTCGAATGAGATCAATGTTGATGGGGCTAGAGGTGTCTGTTTTCTTCCATTACCCCTCGGGATGTTAGTCCCGAATTAGAATAAGGAGCAGAGATGGATGAATGTTTCTCGGATACCCATATCAGAGGATGAAAGAAGACTATAATACCCGCGAAGAAGGAAAGGAGGGAAGCAAAGAGAGGCAAGCCGCTTGTGTTGGGGCTCGCCTTTTCTTGTGTATACCTATTTGCATTGCTTCGGTCGGTTTAGCTGCCCGCTAATTCCCTTAATTAAATACCACCTGTCACACGCCTTATCTCTTACTCGCAGCTTGTGAAGAGATTCATGTCATGAACTGTTGTAAAGGCCGAGCATGCCAAGATCGAGCTTAACCAAACGACGTAACTTTGGTGTCTAGCTCCCGGTGCTCTGGCCTTCCCCCCTGAAGAGCCGCCCGAGCTCGGAACGCTTCGAGCTGTCCCAGCCGCCCTGATTGGTCCATACACTTGGTCCCCTAACCCCAAACCCTGGGCCTGCCCCGCAGCCCCTCCTTGCCCCGTTTTGGGCCGCAGGAAAGCGAGGCCTGCTATCGTCAGTCTATCAACTCGTGAAGCTGAAGCGCGAACTGAGTAGCTCTAGCCGGCCGGCAACCTTTGTTTGTCAGTTCAAATACCTGCCCCGGCCTGCTTCTGTGAGACTTGGTTGTCACTGCTCCGTATACCCGGTCTGCTCTGTCACACCACCGCAGCCACTACTACTGCTCTCACGTATCACCCCCATTACCTTGTACACCAGAGTCAAGCGGTGTCCTTCCCAAATTCTTTCCCTGTCCGACATGGCGTCCGTACGGAGATGCGTTGGCCTCACACGAGCGCTACAGCTGAGCTCACCCTCGTCGGCCAGAGTTGTCCCGAGACCGGTGGCGGGATTAAATGTGCTGAGACATACGAGGGCGCTGAGCTCGACGAGACCGCGGATGACGACGCTGGCGTCTTTCAAGATACCCAAGGTGTTGAACGAGCCGAACGTACGTATACCAACTCATTGGGGGCAGTGGATGGACTTTGCTTTTACGATGACCTGAAGAACTGACATGGTGACTAGCAACACTATGCGAAGGGCTCGCCAGAGAGACAGGGTCTGCGGTCTGCAGTTAATGCGTGGAAGAACAAGGGCGCAGTAGAAGTTCCTCTTGTAGTGGGAGGAGAGGAGGTAGGGCAACTCTCTTGGGAGCCCTTTGGCTTATACACTTCTGACCATTAAGCAGGTCACCACATCACAGACTGCGACACAGCACAACCCCGCGGACCACGCCACAACAGTCGCGAGATACTCTCTTGCCAGCCCCTCCGATGTCAGCAATGCCATTGACGCGGCCCTTGCTGCGAAGCCAGCTTGGGAGTCTCTTCCCTTCGCCGACCGGGCAGCCGTCTTCCTCAAGGCAGCAGATCTGATCTCTACCAAGTACCGATACGAGATCATGGCTGCTACCATGGTCGGCCAAGGCAAGAATGCATGGCAGGCCGAGATCGACTCCGCAGCCGAGTTGTGCGACTTCCTTCGCTTCAATGTCCAGTACGCCGAGGAGATGTACGCTCAACAACCAGCCCATAACTCGACGGGCGTATGGAACCGGGTGGAGTACCGGCCGCTCGAGGGCTTCGTGTATGCGGTCAGCCCCTTTAACTTCACCGCCATCGCTGGGAACTTGCCTGGCGCTCCTGCGCTTCTGGGTAATGTTGTGGTCTGGAAGCCGTCCGATTCTGCGATTGCTTCCAACTGGCTGCTCTACCAGATCCTGCTCGAAGCCGGACTTCCCAAGAACGTGATCCAGTTCGTGCCCGGCGACCCAGAAGAAGTCACGAAGGTGGTTCTCGCCCACAGGCAGTTTGCTGCTCTGCACTACACCGGAAGCACTGCTGTCTTCCGTAAGCTCTACGGCCAGATCGGTCAAGGCACTGCGGAGGGGCGTTACCAAGGATACCCGCGCATTGTCGGCGAGACCGGCGGCAAGAACTTCCACCTGATCCACTACTCGGCCGACATCGAGAACGCCGCCATCCAGACCGTCCGCGGCGCCTTCGAATACCAGGGCCAGAAGTGCAGTGCCACAAGCCGCGTGTATGTACCAAAGTCAGTGTGGCCGCAGTTCAAGGAGAAGCTAGTCAGCGAGACCAACGCGCTCAAGGTCGGAGCGCCCGAGGATGCCGCAAACTTCATCGGCCCCGTGATCCACGAGCCCAGCTTCAAGAAGCTCTCGGGCGTCATCGACGCCGCCAGGGGCAACAGCGAGCTCGAGCTCCTGGCCGGCGGCAAGTACGACAACTCCAAGGGCTACTTCGTCCACCCCACCATCTACCAGACCACCAACCCGGCGCACAAGCTGCTGTCGACGGAGCTCTTCGGGCCCATCCTCACAGTGTACGTTTATGATGACGCGGCAGGCGGCGACGCAGAAAAGGCCTTCGTCGACACCTGCAGGCTCGTCGACGAGACGACCGACTACGGCCTCACGGGCGCCGTGTTCGCCGGCGACCGCGCGGCGATCCGCATCGCCGAGGAGGCGCTGCGCAACGCGGCGGGCAACTTCTACGTCAACTGCAAGAGCACGGGCGCCGTGGTGGGCCAGCAGCCGTTCGGCGGCGCGCGCGCGAGCGGCACGAACGACAAGGCCGGCAGCATGAATTTGCTCGGCCGCTTTGTTAGCGTGCGCAGTCTGAAGGAGGAGTTTGTGCCGACTACGAGGGTGGCTTATGCTAGTAATGAGGTTTGAGGCTCTTCAGTCGGGCATGAGATATGAACTTCCATCTGTTATCATTCGGCTAAAGGGACGGCTGGGTTAAAATTGCATTTACAATACCATGTACGGACGCAGGTGAGCGGTTGGGGGTTGTGTACCTAGGTTTAGATACTGAGCCCATACATGATGGAATAAGAAGTTCATCTCCAACATGTCGCATTGCCAGAGACTGCCCTGACTTGGCAACTGTCTGTTGTTGGGTTGCTGCCAGGAGCATCACTTTCCCACACTACTGGTGGGGTTTATATGTATAGGGAGAGTATGATCGTCTTGTGGAGTTAATCCCGGCTCATATTGGGTTTCGGACAATGTATATATGGCATGCAAGGTAATCTCGAGATTTGTAACAAGAGGACATGTACTTGCCATCCACTAGAAAGACTCTGGCAGGATGGACCGTTTGCAGAATTACATCGTTCGGTGCAATGATATTTCCTCTCTACTTTCATGTTGAGTTCAAACGCCGTCCCCAGACCATCGTTTAACATCCAGGACGCACCCTGGTGGCTAGGTACTTAATTCATGCGACGAGGGCAGGACCAAAAGTGATGGCGGGTTCTTCAAATAGCACTTTGGCTCGAGGTGTCGTGCGGGTCACCGAGGCGTCGATCCAGCGGCGAACTACAGTTGGGGATATGGTGTGGAAACTGGGCTAAGTAAGATATGGTGGAGGGAAGTTGTTTCTTAGTACCTGAGAGTATCGAGCCGGTTACATAGAGCCTCGGGGAAAAGTGCAAAAAGATAAATTGACACCATTACGGAGGTTCGAACTCCGGTCCCCAGGGAGTTCAAATATGAAAACCTGGTATCCTAAACCTCTAGACGATAATGGTTGTTATGATTGTTGTTGGTTTTTTATTTTTTGGCTCTATCGTTGGTTATGAACCTTTCACTCTCTGTTTGTGCTACGGGTAGACGCATTCCTAGCTGATGGGTGCAGTTGCCACGCCACCATGGACCTTGACTGATTGGTCGGTTGGTTGAAATTTTTGACGTTTATGGGAAGCTGCGTAGCCGCGAGTGCACCAAGGTCTCAAGGACGATGGGACGTGGCAAGCTATCCATGAAGTGTGCCAGCTACACTGACCCGCCATAAGTCTCCGAGCATCCCCGCATTTACACCAAGATGCCCTACCTTTACGCTTTTATAACTAAAAACTTAAAGCTTTTTAAAATGATATTATAAGGAACTTATATTTGAAGATGCTGAAGTTTTCGTAAATAATTTCTAAATATTTACTTTCTTAGCGACTAGAATAGTAAGAAATACATTGTCACGGCGAGCATACTGGGGAGCTGAGACATGGCCTGCAGCAAGCAGCTATTACTCTATTGACGAGAATATCAAGACTAGAGAGGAAAGGAAGAGAGAGAGATAGGTACAGCGGGAGGTTGCCCCTTTAAGGGGATCCTCTGGTCAGATCCTTCCCTTATTGGGAAGTATCAGCTTGTCATGTGGGAAGGTCTGTGCAGGCCGTCACATAGATATATAAAAGTAAAGTTTAAAATTTTAAATCTTAAATCTTAATAAAGCTATAAGAAATGTTTAAAAAGTCGTATAAGTTGTAATAAAGTTATATAATATTAAATAACATGTAATATACGTACAAGATGGAAAACCTTATGTGATAGGTTTTTTTTAAAATTAAGTATGTTAGAAAGTTATTTTTATCGATAATTTAACCTTTAATAAAGTAATATTTACGACCTTTATCTTTAAGATGTCAAAGTTTTTAAATAAGCCATTTCAATATTCCGGTAAATGTAACTATATGTACTATAAGTACTTAAGTTGTATCTATTTTACTCGATTTATCACGAGCGCGTAAAGCTGGGGTGTTTTGGTGTAAAATAGGGATGCTCGGAGACTTATGGCCGGGGAGTGTACCTCGTGCACTGTGGCTCCCGAATCCAATTCAAACCTCCATCAAGGCGAGGATACCAGGACCTCCAGCCCACTCCATAGGACTATCAGGTCAGCGGATTCGCTGTCTGTCCCCTTACCGCTGTATATGCCATGCCAGCCTTTGGGACCATGGACCTTGATGTGCCGGGGGAAGGCTCGAATGGAGATGAGTCATCTCTTTATTGGCGAAATGTATCCTCCAAAGGCACGTGTTTCGTTCCTAAGGTGCATCCGGGAATGTTGAAGTACGTGTATGCTGACCTTATTCTCGTGGATACCTCATCAGGAGGATTCCACGGCGCTCTCCTGGTGCATAAGCGCAATATCTCATACGAATATGCGTCTCGGGCACCGCATCACTGATTGATGTCAGTGCCGTCCTAAAAACTATGCGATATTCTCACCAATTCCACAGAGTGATCTTCCATTGATGGTAACACCTCTCGAAAAGACACAATGTTTCACCAACGTACCCAACGCCATGGACTCGGCTAGCCGGCAAAGCAGGCTGAGATAAGAGGCTGTGGGCTATGATGGCCATTCCCCTAAAGCTTGGTCATAACGGGCCAACATCAGAAGAGTGCCAAATCTCGCTTACAAGAGGTCAGTGTAACAAGTCGGCTGCCTGAGATGAAACATACTGATGACAGGTGACTGACTGAGACTCCGTTGCACCTCGTGGGACTTTCGACTATCCACGGTTCACATCTCAGCTTGACGTCCAATCTGACAGGGTCACCCAGACGATGCAAATTCGTCAGGGATGAGTCATTCTCTCCTCGTACAACAATGGGTGATTACTTTGAGACACTTTTCAGTACACTTGCCTTCGAGAATCCAGTGGACTTGCAACAGCGATGAGACTCCGTGGGCCTCCGCCTACGGAGGATCGACTGCTCAGGGGTATTACTGCTGCACTCTGGCGGACTTATTGAATCATATATGCACAATGAGTGCCTTCACCTGGAACTTTGCCCGACAACATGACCGCTTCCAACAAAGCGGCAATACTGAGTATCCATCCCGGCAAAGCCGGCACCGGCCTGAGATCTAGAGGTCGACTCTTAGACGAAGATCAGCCTGGGATGTGTAGCGTTGGGCGCACCGATCTTCGCGAGGTTGCAAAAGGGGTCTCACGATGCACCGTCGTCCAGGGCATTGCGTACGACGGCAAGGGGACACCGCCCCTGGTCCTTAGAAAGGGACACTCCGATGAACAATTGCATCCATATACGCATTCCTCGTCGAAACCCCGATGTCCTCGCAGCAACGATCATTGCAGCTCTCGCGTTCGACATACACGATGCTCCCAATGATAGAACAACTTCAGCTGCAAATAGGGGATAGCTCGGCAGGCTACCATCTCATAGGCAGCGACGAGGTGCAGATCGAAAAGCCGGAAGAGTCCGGTACATCGGTGTCCGATGCTGAGATTGATGATATCGAGAGACAGATGCGACAGGGCGAAAAGAAGGCGGCCTTGGCCCGATGGCTTCGCAAACTGATCGTCTTGCTCCCCAGCTTTCTTCAGCCATCTCAACCGTCAGCAGAGCCACGGAAGCTCCAGAGAACAGCCTGGCTAGGTGAGCCCTCTCCATGATACTGTCCCCAAGAAACCCCACTGACAGTCCCAGATGGACTTCGAGGCCTCGCCGCATTATTCGTCGTCTGGCACCACATGTCCCTGATATGGTTCTCGTGGGACATCCACAACGGGTGGACCGGCGGCCCGAACGACCACCTCATCCAGCTCCCGATCATCCGGCTGGTCGTCTCCGGGCTTCCCAACGTCATGGTATTCTTCGTCATCTCGGGCTACTCCCTGAGCTGCAAGCCGCTGAGTCTGCTCCGGCAGAACCGACAACTCGAGACCCACCAAGCGCTGGCATCCTCGGCTTTCCGCCGGCATCCGCGGCTGTTCATACCGGCGATATTTATTTGTTTACCTTCACCGATTATGGCGTACATGGGACTATACGAGAGCGCCGAGGCCATGCCGGGCGCGGCCATAGCGCCCATGAAACCCCCGCGGCTCGACACGCTGTGGCACCAGTTCGTGAACTACGGGCGGGCCGTGATGTCCCTCTCGGACCTTTTTGGCGCCACTGGTATAGCCTGGGCCTACAGCGACGCCCTTTGGACACTTCCAATCGAGTGGAATAGCTCTCTGGTGATATTTGGTTTCTTGCTTGCCCTTTCCAGGTGCTCGTCGCGCACGCGCATGGTCATCGGCCTAGGCGTTGCTGGGTACTCGTGGTGGTACATCCACTGGGGTGAATTGTTGTTCATCGGCGGCTTGCTCGTCGCTGATGCGCAGTTGTCGTTTCAGGAGCGTGCAGTCCACGAGGGTCAGCAGCAATCGCCATCCACATGGCGGTGGCGGAGACTCTCCAGGAGCCGCATCATCCGCAACCTGTGCGCTCTCGCAGCGTTTTTGGCTTCGCTATTCGTCCTGAGCATGCCGGAAACTGGCGGTGCCGATAGCATCGGCTTCAAAACCCTGGCGGCCATGATACCTCAGCATTTCAATGTCGGCCCGAAGTACTTTTGGCTTCCGCTCGCCGCCATCTCGCTAGTCTTTTGCATCGACAATGCACCTTTCCTACAGCCAATATTCACTGCTCGGTTCCCGCAGTATCTCGGACGCATATCTTACGCGATGTATTTGGTCCACCAGATGATACTGCACAGTTTTGGTACTAAGCTCGGCAAGACCATGGTCGGTTTCACGGGATCGGAGACGGGTGTACAGTATGTGTCAGGTATTTTCCTTGCCGCGATCGTGGTGTGGATCGGTGTTATCTGGACGGCTGATTTGGGATGGAGGTTTGTCGATGCGAACGCGGTCAGTTTCTGTGTGTGGGCTTACCGTAAGCTCTGCCAGAGAGTCGGTGAGATTTGAAGGGGCTTTCCCGATGGCGTTTGTCTAAATACACGAGCTCAGAACACCCATTTTGGATCCAGGATAATTCCCCCTGTCCTACAGTATGCAGCTTTGTATCTTTTGAAGATCAACATTTTACAATTAAATTCTAGATTTGCTCACAGGTATTTGCTACATGTCCAATCACGTGGCACATTGACGTCAGGAGCAGATTCAGGTCGAGGATGATAGTATTCATTGACAGCTATTGATGGCTCTGCTACTTTGAGTAGGCTTTTCTGCTATCCCTCGTCGGACCTCCACTCGAGCCGATCATATCTTCTTCATTCCGTCATTGACGACATTGTTGATGGCCGGGTCGGCACCGGCAGGGACGCCATGCTTGCTAGCTTCCTGGTCGACAGCTGAACATCGGGTATGGATGGTCAGCACCAGCATCCATTGGCCAAAAGATCAACGTCAAATCGTGGGGCTGGATACTGACCGGAGTCCACCATGGTGTTCTTGCCGCCACCCTGCTGGGAGTTCTGCCCGCCCTGTTGACCGGAACCACTGCATTGGCTATTAGCACGGAGGTGTTCAAGCTAGGTTGGTTGGGCCAGGGGATACGGACGAGTTGCCGGAGACGGCGTTCTTTATGTCCTTGAGCTTGTCCATGGTGATTGAGGGGTTTTGTGGTAGTGGTAGTGCTTGTGGTTGTGGACGTGATTTATACTTATGCTTGAATGGGGTGTGATGATGAGTGAATGTCTGAGAATAATGTCAACCAGATGGAGGAATTACAGACCCTTAAGTAAACATCGCCCAGCTGGAGGAAGTCCGGTTCTGTCAGCTTAACAGTGAACACTCTGTCACATGTGTATGTCATATCGTCTGCTTCGGGATTCCGAGCACCCATGATCCGGGCAATCTTGCGGTTATAGAGGTCGAAGCTGCATCGCAAACGCTATCATTGACCAAAAGCCGAGCCGATAGTTCCAGGCTCCGGGAACTAGATCGTGTGGAAATCTCAGAATCAAGGACACGAGCATCTGGATCTTGTCGAAAGAGCGGGCCGCTGGAAGCATGTACATCAGACCCCTGGCACTTTAATGCCAGAAACACGTTTCACTGACAATTGATGATAGGACGTTGCTTCGGTACCCCTCATAATACAGTTTGCGAGCCTGGGTTGACTTTGACGTGCATAAACTCTGGGCTAAGCTTCGTGGAAGTCTACATAAGCTTTCCGGTTTGAGCTTGGCAGAGTCTGCCACCCGGATGGCGTCCGCGTCGCCTCGATCGATTCACCGCGCAGCCGGTTTGTTGCAACCGTAATCCAACGGGATGAATAATTACACTCGCGCACGGGGTCTTTTCTTTCTTGGGATCTTACCGGACCGAGACGAACGTTCGTCAGCGAGGTCTACTCGATCCTCCGCATCCTGCTTGTGAACCTTCTGCAACTAACCATTGTATTCGCTGGCCCGATGCCAGGTCCATACCCTCTCATAGGGAGTGAAAGCCAAAGACATTGATCGAAACCCTAGGCCTTTGCCGCCTCAATACGGCGAAATCCATGTCTCGGGCGATGTACGTTGAGGATACTTTCGGCAAAGTTTATCGGGCTCGGAACGGGCTCTTGCAAGCCGCCGACCCCTGATCGCTGTCTCGTCTATCCTAACCAGGGTTCAAACAAATTACACGGAAGTGGGTTAGTAGACCACTAAGTGTATACACTAATACATCTACGCACTTCAATTTTGAGTTAGCTAATTATATTTCTAGCCTAGTGTAATAGGCTATTATAGAATAGTGGGTTACTTGTATAAAAAGAGGCTTATAATTAGTTAAAAGGGTGTGAAATAAGGAAATTTTTTTTAAACTGAAATTTTAATTTTTCTCCCAGGATCGAACGGAAAACCTTTGCAAAAAGACTATTTCAGATATAAAAACAAAAGTCCGATATATTAACCACTATACCACTAGATAATAAAAATTTAATTAACTATTACTATATATACGTTAATTAATTACACTATACTAAGAGCTTTAAGTGGACTATTAAAGCCTATTTATTGTTGGATTAAAGGTACGCCTAAAAGGCACCTTGACAGGTAGACAACGGAACCTAGTTGTTCCATCCCGATCCAGCCCCCTCTGGCACGAAACTGCCACGGTCGCACAGAGACACTCCAGACAGAGACAATACACACACTTCACTCTGACGATTTGCTCAAATCTGACAATTATATTAAAAGCTCAGTGTATTATTTGTAAGTACACGCACTCGGGTGTTAAGTGCGTGTAATGTAATTGGTTTAACCCCTAATCTTAACCTCCTCGTCGTTTCTATCCGTAATAAACTCTATCGCACTTGGCGCTTGTCGTACGCCTATTCCGGTGCGCTTCTCTGGGGTTTCTTCGTCTTCCTGTTTTTTCCGCGACAATAGAGTGGGCACAATCCAGTTACTCTAGACATTCTGCGCCAAACCGATCATCAATAGCGCCTGTGTCAGTTTATATGATGCTTCGGCCTTTTCGTACATACTAACGGACGACTGACCAAGATTTACCGACACAGCAGCTCGTCGACCTGCTATCAGGCTCCCGAAATACTTAGGCATCGCTGTCTTGTCTTGTCATCTGGGAAAAGGGGTTCGGTCGATGCCAGCTAGCGGGCGTGACGTATAAGATCCCGCAGAACGAAGATTCTCGCCACAAAATTGCTTACTCAGCCCGCCTAGCTCGGCGGCAGAGCAATTCGTCGGCCCTCATAGCTCAGTGGTAGAGCGCGTCACTCGTATCAAGGTGGAAGCTCTCCCCATAATTCAGCGATATGACGAGGTCGGTCGTTCAATCCGGCCTGAGGGCAACACCTTCCCTTTTGTCCTTTTTGGTTCTACTCTATTGGTGGGCAACCAAACCTATAACCGGTTTCCTATCCTTTTTCTCCTCTTGCCCACGAGCGGCCCGCAGGTCAAAGCAAATGCCTGTTGAACCCGACTTGTTCGAAAGCGTTTGCTCGAGGAGCACGGCATCGACATTCTACATACACTTATACTCCCCGGTCCATTCAACGCAGCGCAGCCTAATAGTCCAGCGAGGCCCGTGAAGACGGAGCACCAGAGTCCGCGATGGAGGCGTGCACGATCGGATCCTCGAGCCAGGAGTACCAATAAAAGCTGACACTCGTAGCACCGGCGTTTTGTCCCCACAGCGTCATCTTTTCTGGGTCACCGCTATCGGTTATTCTTCAGCTGTGATGTTCTTACAGTAGGATAAGTCGATGACTTACACAAATTCTCCGATGTTGACTCTGGGCCATTCAACTTCATAACATGCGCAGACAAGGCTTTTAGATGGCTTCAGTGGCTGCACGCGCTAACGCACCCGGCTACAGGGGATCATAACACGCGTAGCGTCTATAATCCTAGCTTCTGATTGGTCCATTCGGGACCTGTCTCAGGCCATTTGTGTACATATCTGGTCACCTTGAGGGATACTCTTTTCTATAAATATTGGGACATACCCCCTAGATATCGTCTTCTTCTTCTTTCAATTCAGACCATTCTGAAATCTCGATCGATGACCTGCTAGATCTCTGAATAGCTTCATGCAGAGATCCAGTCTACTTCCGCACAATTCTTCATTACACGCCTGTGAGGACCAGCTACCCTCGCTGTTACTGCAATCCTCGATCGGTCTCCGTCACTACTCCAAAGCTGCGCGCGCCTTGGTCATGTTGTATAACATCGCTTCTCAGGCGCCAGAGGTCCATTCTATACCTCGCCAAGGCCAGAGGTCCCTTCTAGACTTCGCCACGGCCAGAGGTCCCTTCTATACCTCGCCATCGCCATTACCCATAGATCAACAACTTGCCGAATATCCGAATATTTGAATCGCCGTCCTCCCTCCTACTCGAACCTTCCATACTGAGGTCAGAGGGCGTGTCAACCACCCGATGTTCGATGAAGACCCTGAGTCTATGAGGGCGTGGCAAGCCCTCTGTTTGGGAAGGCGTGGCAACCAAACGACCAGATGTTAGGTGGAGTCACTCGGATTTGAACTTGGTGACACCTTCAGTTTGAGAAGATGGAGTTGGTGATGCCCTCGGTTTGAGGGGGCGTGTCAGAATACGGGCTCGGCCTCCTAGTCGCGCATTTTTGAAGCTCTGTGGTCCATCTGTTACTCACACAAGTCTATAGTCGAGGAGTCCTGAGTTTAGGGAATACATCTGCGAGTTGGGATACCAGAAGACGTGCAACCGATATCTGCTTCGAGTGAGCGTCCGCGTACACACGTATTACGGATATTCCGGATAAGCTAGACGTACTGCATGGCAATCACAATATGAGACTAGGTCTTCTCAACCCACTCGTCCGGAATTTTTTTTAAAGAGAGTTGGATCCCCCACTCCTGAATCATCTTCCGGGTATGTAGAGAAATGCGGAAAGTTTCTCGGATGTGGGCTTTAGCAGTACGCACATATTGACATGTAGGCAATCCTCCGAATCGCTGCCTCGACCAGAAACTGCTGCATGAAATCCGTGTAGACATTCTTCTGGCCCGGCGTCGACTGCTGCATACATACCGGCGCGTAGATCGTCGCCTCGATCGGTCTTGGTTACTGGCGGCAGGAACCGTAACTCGCCTACTGGAGGCTCTGCGTATGAAATGCCCAGAGATTGGCAGATGTTGGGCGTGGTGGTGTTGAGGAAACCGTTGACTTCGCCACCGGTTGTCTGGACTGTTAAGCTGAAGGCGTTGGAGCCGAAGACGTTTATCGGGACAAGTGCACTTGCGTACTGAGCACGGCAGACAATGCTATGCTCCATAGAAGATGCATAGCTGTGGAAACGAGACGGCTGAGATGACAGTGAGTACCCCTATCTGCATGCGACCGTCGGATGAAATACGAATCACGAGGTCAGGCTCCAGCTCACTTATAAATCATGCACTCTTACAGTGGCTACACACCACCGGCTGTTTGTTTACGAGGACTCACCGAACCCATTGCTACTCCGCGTCGTTGCGACGGGATGTAGTGACGGGATGTAGTGACAATCGCTGTATACTCCACGACACCGGGTGATGAGTAGCGCAAATTCGGAGGGCAAAGCTGAGACGGAGAAGCCTCCTTAACGCGGAGAAGTGAGCATGGTGGGAAACAAAGATGGGATCACTGGATATATATCAACAACTACTTCTTAACCCAACATGGGTTGCCCTGGCCGAGTGTGTACGACCTCCGAGGTGATGATTACGTACTAGGCGGCACTCACGATCTTAAGACGACTAGAGAGAGAGAGCCAATGGATGCCTACGTCTCCATACACGTACCGGTAAATCATGGATGTTCCATTGTATATAATAGAGCTATATACTGAATCAAATAACGATTGGTCTTGTTTCTATTCTCTAAGCCCGCCGCCCCAGAGATCCCAAACCCCTTGACCCCTTAACCCCTTAACCCCTTAACCCCTTACATACCAAATTTCCTTCGTACACCCCATCAATACTCGGACACGACAGCATCTTGTCGCAACAACAGACTTCAGTCCCTTAGGCGCGATACTGAGCCCACATGCTCTGCATGCGAACCGTCTGCTGGGGGGTGAACTGCTGGTAGCACCTATCGATCGAGTAGTCCATGAAGTTATGGATCGGGTCGAGACCAACCTGACCAGGGCAGGAATCGCGAGTAGCCGGACAGCCCGAGGTCGCGCTGGCCTGGGCGGGCGTGTCGTCGATCTGGTCGCCGAGCCCGGTGCAGTTATTCCCCTGGAAGGTGTGGTAGAGCCCGAACCAGTGGCCGACCTCGTGGACGACAGTGCCGCCCTGGTTGTAGTTGGTAGCAGCACCACCAGGGACCGACTGCGCGAGCACGGAGCACCCGTCCTTGTAGAAGGCGCGGGTGCCCGGCGTGATGCTGTTGGGGAAGTAGCAATACCCCAGGTCGTTGCCGAGGTCCCCGAGGAAATAGACGTTCAGATCGGCATACGACCCCTTTCGAAGGGCCTGTTTCATCCCCAGCTCGTCGCCGTTGGCGGACCAGTTGGAATTGACGACGTAGTCGATGGCGGCGAGGTTGAAGCTGATGCCGGACGGGGTGTACGCGGCGTTCATGTAGTCGAGCTGGGCGGTCAGCTTCTGCTGGGGGATGTAGCCCTGGTCTTCGGTCACGCCGGCGGCTACGACGTGGAAGTAGGCGTTGACGGTGGGGATGGCCTGGTTGACGTTACCGGCTTTCTCCTGGACCTGCATCCAGCGGGTGGTCTCGCGGTGGTCATCACTTGGCTCAGGGGTACCGCAGGTGCGTGAGCCGAGAGCAGCGGCGGACAGAGCCGCGATGATGATGAGCTTGGAGAACATTGTGGGAGTGGAATGACTGGGATGATGAAGCTTCGAAGGAAGAGATAGTTCTGTACAGACGAGAAACAGCAGAGAAGCAATATTCTTGGCGATATATTTATAGTGACTGAACATCTGGTTTTTTCTCATTTCTGATATATATAGAAGTTATAATCAAGGCAGTTTCACGGTCTCGTCTCGGCCGGCCATGCTGTTCATTGCCATTCGTACGTATGCTTGGCCACCATGTTCCATCTTCCCAAGCTCTGAGCCGGTTTCATGCTCTATTTCAGGGAACTTTGTCACACGGTCAAACCTGAGTATTCCGTTTACTAGCAGTATCTGGTAGATGTATGTCATGCTTACCCCTTTTGAGATACGTGACCGCCACGAAATTCGAATTGGGGCTCGTGAGGGACACGGCCGTGTGCCACGAAAGCCTAATTCGGGGCTCACTAGTATTAACCTCAAAATAGAGGGAGTTTATGCCCTATGGGTGATGATGACTACAATCTCCTGCCATTGGTAAGTGATGCTGTATTGGGAGGGAGTATGACTTCTCCGTATCACCACCGGCTTGTCTAAGACTCAGCCCTGGTCATCCACGGGTCACGGCGTCGCCCGATTTACAGCTTTTGTCTTGCCGGTAGCAAGTGTCTCGGCTCAACACCTCAAGGATAATTGTAGACGAAACATCGCAGTGATCAAAACATGGCAATCTCTTGCTTCCATGCTCATGTGCTCCTTGTGCGATACTGTGCTCTCAGGCAGACACCCCGAAGTAGATCAAGCCGCGCTGTCGGTATTCCGGTCCAGCCTTGCGGATGGCATCTCTTGCCTGATTTCTTTAACATTATCAATGATGAGTTGAAACATACCCCCCTGAAGGTGGACTACGACTTTCTGACACCAGCTCTTCTTCATCTAATTGAGGTGATGAAAAGCCAACGAGGGGTCTGAGACATTTTGCTTGATGTATGTTGCCCCCGTCTTTGCCTACGAGAATCATAGGAGTAGTCAGCATCGGGTTTTCACGACTTCGATATGCCGTCCTGAGAGTGCAAGCAGCCTGAAGGGTTGATGTCTGAAGATACCCGCGGGGAAATGGACACGCCGATCAACACCGGTTGCGATCCAATTGCTCCTGACACTCCGAGCTTCTAATATCAACACCTGACGACTCAAAAAAGGAAGCCCAGAACATTAAGTAACCAGCTGTTACGATGACAAGCCGCCCTATCATCGCCATCGCAGGTCTAGCCTGCGAGACCTCAACCTTCACCCCGTCACGGACTCAAGCATCCGCATTCCACCCCCGCCGCGACACCTCGGAGATCATCGACAAGTACCCCTTCCTCGCCCCGGGCACGCCGCTGGGCGACGCGGCCGTATGGCGCGGTACCCTGATTGGCCACGCCCTGCCCGGCGGCATGGTGACGAGGGACGCCTTTGAGTCACTGGCAGCAGAGATCACGTCGCGTCTCATCACACTAGTCACGGCGACCAGGGTCGTCGACGGGCTCTGGTTCGACATCCACGGCGCCATTTGCGTCGAGAGCATCGACGACGCCGAGCACGAGCTTCTGAGACGGTGTCGCGACGTCCTGGGCCCGGACGTGCTGGTCTCGGCCTCGATGGACCTGCATGGCAACGTGTCTCGCGCGCTGGCGCACCAGACGGACTTGATTACCTGTTATCGCACGGCGCCGCACGTCGATGTCGCGGAGACGAAGGAGCGTGCTTGTAGGAAGCTTGTTGGGATACTTGAGCGGAGGGCTGAGGGCAAGGAGGCGTGTCGTCCGTTCAAGGCTTGGGTGCCTCTGCCGGTTTTGCTGACGGGCGAGCAGACTTCGACTAGGGATGAACCGGCTTCACATATCTACGCGGCTGTGTCGGAAGTTGAGAGTATGAAGGGGGTGGTAGATGCTGCTATTTGGGTAGGCTACGTCTGGGCTGATGAACCCAGGAACAGAGCTGCTGTCGTAGTGACTGGCTGGGATAAGGAGGCCACTGCCAAAGGGGCGGAGAAGTTGGCCCGCATATTCTGGGACGCCCATAAGGACTTCAAGTTCGTCGCACCCACTGGGTCCTTCGCGGAGTGCCTTGATTCAGCACTGCGTTCAGACAAGCGGCCGTACTTCATCTCAGACTCTGGTGACAATCCGACGGCAGGAGGATCGGGGGACGTGACATGAGGTCTGACGCAGCTGCTAGCTCGTCCGGAGTTCAAAGACGCCTCGGGGCCGAAGGTCATCTACGCAAGCGTCCCTGGGCCAGAGGCTGTTCAGAAGGCGGTTGAAGCAGGGGTAGGGGCGACTGTGACAGTCACGGCTGGAGCCGAAGTAGACAACATCCACGCCGGCCCGATCACGATGACAGGAAAGGTGCACTCCGTAAAATACGGGGACAGTCACGCAGAGATCGAAGTCGTGTTACAGGTCGGCAGCGTCTTCGCGATCCTGACCAAGCTACGCAAACCGTACCACCACGAGAGCGACTTCATCGAGCTGGATCTGGCACCACGGTCGGCGGATATCGTCATCGTCAAGATCGGCTACCTTGAACCGGAACTCTACGACATGGCGAAGGATTGGATGCTTGGTCTGACGCCTGGTGGTGTCGACCAGGATCTGGGGCGCTTGGGACACAGGCGTATCAGGCGGCCAATGTGGCCTTTTGACCGCGAATTTGGGGAGCCTGATCTAACTGCTAGGATTGTAGAGATGTCGAACAAGCCCTTACCGACTTAGAAGAGTGAAGATCCGGACACCAGGCTCGACGTCTGAGGCTCGTTGAGATGGGTCGATCTGGCCATGACCAGAGAATGGAATCTATATCCATAGTCTTGATGTGAAATGCTCTGGCATCATTTTTCGATTCAGATGTGAATATCGAGAACCAGCTCGATTCGATCGCAGTTGGAGAGGATGACTGTTACATCGGAGCGAGCTGGCCACCTCCCGGGTTTAGCCATAGGTTGAGACCATGGACGCACATCTCAATAATGTAACTAATTGTTGTAACTCAATCGATATGGCAATCGATCAAACTAAGCCAAGCTATGCGCGCTGGTAAACATAGTCGCCGTGGCTGCCATCGCGATATGTAAATCCAAACACAAACCCAGGCCACCGCAACGCCACCCCTGGCCCTTGCCGTCGCCCCCCATCCCCCTTTTCTCCCTCTCACTGCTTATTTAAAAACTCCAAATGGGAATAAGCCTAAAAAGTAAGATGATCGTACCCCAGCTGCACAGACGGCGGCCCGCCAACACTACTATGCAGCCTCCGGAGCGCCTCGAGGTAGTCGCGCAGCCCGGACTCGCGGCGCGCCCGCAGCACCCTCGCCTGCTCGGCGTCGCCCGTCTCACCGTGTCACGCCTCCAGCGTCTGCATATCGTCCAGGACCTGCGAGTGCCCGTCGCCGACGACGACGGCCGCGCTGTCAATGGCGCGCTGCATGGCGTAGCGCGCGAGCGCGTGACGCGGGTCCGACGGCGCGGGCCGCCAGCTCTTGTGGAAGGTGCTGAGGATGCGCCACGAGAGCCATGTGTACATCGGGTCCGCGGCGCGGGTGTTGGGTTGGGCTGGGGCTGGGGCTGAGGGGGCCTCTTCTGCTGCTGCTGCCGCCATGACGAGTGTGGCTAGGGTTATCGTTTGCGCTTTGCGGGAGCCTTGTTGCCACTGTGGCGGTCTGCTGTCAGCATAGAAATTGGTGGGAAGGATGTTGGGAGCTCTGTTGAGGAGCCCACGTGGGATACCGCCGCGGTCCTCGCCACCGAGCCTTACTTCTTGGGTGGCGGTAGGGGAGAGGGCTAGCCGAGACTTACTGGGTACACTCCTCGCTCCAGGAACCGAGGAACTTCCGGGGGCCCATGGACGGGGTCTTTCAGTACTTGCGCCGCAGCCGAAGCGACTAGCCCGTGAAGCTGTGGAAGGCGTTTCCTCGCGCAGTCGAAATAGAGCGGATCACTCAGCATGAAGAAGCTGATGGAAGACGCGACCATCAGGGAGTAGCCCTCTATTCCGAGCAGCATCGTGACCATGCTGCCTAGACAGCTGTGGAGGATGCCCTTGAATTCGTTGGTCCGCATGGCCTCGTGCAGCGCCGTGAAGAGCCGATGCAGAGTGCTCCCGGGCCCCTGGGTTATCCGGGCATAGGCCGCGAGGTAGTTCCACAGCTCCTTCAAGAGCCCGTGGTGGGGCGAGACGGCGATAGTCATCAGCAGGTCGAACAGGGCGGGCGCACATGGCTCCCTGATGAGCAGGTGGAGAGAGGTGAAGGCCTGCTGGCTGAGTAGTGCGCCGTGCGGATTATGACCTTTCAGAAAGTACCTGCTCGCCCGGCCGTAGTTCCTTATGGCTTCGCATAGGGGATTTGTTTTGTAGGCGTCAAAGGCCGTTTTGAACGACATTGGGGACCTGACCGGCTCCATCCAGCCCGCCGTCAGGTCCCTGAAGCAGGAGACGAGAATGTCTTGCGCGTGCAGGTGAGACGGCAGGGCTAGGTGCCGGGGGCTGGCCGGAGGAGGGGGCGTGACAGCCCGGATGTAGCCCGGTAGCTCCGCCTCGTCAGCATCTTCCATGAGGTCGTACGGTGAAGCTCGCTTTCGATCTATGTAGGCCGAGATATCCACCATCCTCCCGTGCCGCTGGAAGACTGTGCGCTTGCCCTGCGCATCCCGTTGGCGTTGGAAGCGGAGCATCAGGGCTATGTCCTTCTTCTTGTTGTTCTTCACGAAGCCCCAATCCACTAGTTTGGCTTTGTACATCCGAGGCCTTTGAATGCGTCAGTAAGTACTACCACTCAGGGGCGCGGAGACGTGGGACACGAACGTGGCGGTGAAACCCCTGGTCTTCATGACGTCTATGAGTTCGTTCAGAGATCTGTTCTCGTCGAGATACAGGCCCCGTATCTCTTTCTTGTGCCGGTCCCATGCTGTTGACTGGGTGGCAGGCGCTGATTTATTCTTGGGTTTCGTCGCTCGTCCCGGCGGTTTCGCCCTCAGCCCCTTTGCAGCTTCATCGTCCAAAGCCGTGCCAGCGCCTCCGATGGCCGCACAACTCGACTCTCTGGTCGATTGCAAGCGGCGAGTCGACGCACCGCTGTTATAGGGTATCTCGCGGTCTTCAAGACTATGCATAAGATCCGCCCGGCCGTGGACGTCTTCCATGGCCGGATCAGGTGTCATCCATGAGCCCAGGGACTGGGCCTCGGTGCCGTGTTTGTGGTGAAAGCGGTCAGTTGTGTCAAACACCCACTCATTGTGGCCAAAGGGGCCGTATGGCGCAATGGTCAAATGCGCCTGGTTGTGTTCTCGTTTGTGCGGTGGGCGACGAGAACAAGTGGGTTCGAATCCTGTTACGGCCCCCTTCTGACCCGGCTGGATAAGGGGCCTCTCCACTGTCGTGTGCTGGTTGTCGACTTGCACAAGCCGGGTCAGAAGGGGGCCGTAACAGGATTCGAACCCACTTGTTCTCGTCGCCCACCGCACAAACGAGAACACAACCAGGCGCATTTGACCATTGCGCCATACGGCCGCAGTGCGCGCGATGAACCTTGCTGCCGAGGAGATGGAGCCGGTCCCAGAGACCACAGATGGAGATGAGGTGGGATGGCCTCTTGAGACCCCTTGCGTCAACCAAGGGTCCGACGACGATGACGACGATGCGATAGATTGGACTAACGAAAGCTCCACGGAGCTTTTTCACTAGACGAGGGCGACAGCGGAAGCGGCTGAGCTAGGCGAAGCCCTCTAGGGGAAGGGATTGCCGCGGTTCTGGAGGATAGTTATTGATGTGTCTTTGGTACACAAGCTGGTCTGTACTTTATTTGATTTCTGCTGCTAAGGTTAATAATGTACCGTATGTAATTTCTGTATTGTCAAACTTTGGAGCGCAGATTTCGGAAGCACGCCGAAATGAAACAGAACAGTGAGTGAGGCTGCGATGCATCCGGGGAAGCTTTAAATTTGTGCCCTTCGTGGAGCCGTTGAAAAGCCCTCGGCAACAGAGCAGTGCGCAATGAGATCACATTGTCGAGTTCTAAGCTTTTCCAATACGCGCCGGAAATTGTCGTCCCTGCATGCTCCTCCAACTGCCGTTCCGTCGAGACAATCATGCAAGGGCAAGTCGTGCATCCATTCCTCTGGAGCACTCCAGCCTATCAGGTGTTGCAGGATTCCGTGCATCAATTTACCAATGATGCACGCGCCGCAGATCTCTCAACCACCAGCAACCAACAACCAACAAGCGTAGATAGTCGAACGGCCTGGGATCATCGGGGAAGTGTGAGGGCTCTCTCCCTACTGTCGTCCTTGCCGGACATAAAAAGGGCAGACTACGCCATGTCCCTACTCGAGGTTCTCTCGTCAACAAGCAGTTCATCAACCAGTAATCGTTCGAAGTCGCTCATTCATACCCAACTACCATAAGGTATTCTTGACAGTCACTCTTTCGACCCATACATCAAGATTCTCTCGAGACCGATCAGATTTTCATCAAGAAACCACCCAAAATGCACCTCAGCAAGCCCACCTCCATCACGCTCCTCGGCGCACTGTTCTCCTTCACCTCGGCCGCAACCCAATCCCCGCCCCTTGACCGCCGCGCCGGCTGCGCCACCGTCAACTTCTACGGCGAGACCGGGGCCCTGGCCTACTACTTCGGTTGCTACAAGGTCGATGACATCTGGCGCTCAGGGGATGCGCCCGACCCCATATCCTCAATCGAAGTGGTTTCCGACGACGATGTCTACTGCTCGTTCAACGTCACAGGCGCCGACTACCCCGAGTACTGCTCTCGGAGCATCTATAACGCCACGGATATGCACCCGGCGGGTATTACTCACGCTGGGACGTGCAGATACTAAGATACCTAGTTGCTGATATATGGGGTGGGTACTTGGGGGCTTGGGTGTTGAACTTGTGGAGGGTGTGGTGTTCGGTGATTTACCGACGGGTGGTTGGCTTGTTGGAACAATACGCCGGGCTAGTCATACCTTCCTGGTTGACCACTTCTTAGTGAGCTGGGTTGAGATTGGCAGGGAGAGCAATATAGGGGATGGGTTCATGGCTTGTGTCTTCGAGATGATGTTATTGATCCCGAACTTCGCTTCTTAATCCCGTGGCGGATGTCATATGCTCCTTGTCCTTGATGATTCATATCGGTAGCCGATGCTAGTCTAGTCGAGGTCGACTTCTTTCTGTCAGTGTTTCCATGACCTGGCCGGCGATGTAAGTTGTGTATGACCCGCACCCCCCCATGCAGTCGGCCTCCGACCGTTCAGACGACGAGATGAACATTGCGGCCCACGTCAATGGCTGCAAGTTATATATGAGAGACCTAGTCTGTGTATATGTAATGAATATATGCTTACCATGCCGTACTTATGCTGCGAAGTCTCATCAAACCATAAGCCGGCATGGATACTCAAACCACCATTCGGAGGACGATTGGCTCAACTCTCGGCTTCACTTCATGTGGGAAAATTAGCCCAAAACAACGCCAAGAAGTGGTTATCAGCTTTTGACAATACGGTAACATTGATTCCGGCCTTGTTGGATGTAACCGGTACTCCAACTTGCAACCCCCAACAACCCCTGAATGGCCGGTTCGCTGCGGCCGCCATCGGTGCAAAACAGATGGCGGTTTTGCGACGTGTTCTGCCGGTTCTGAATATTGAAATGAGGTTTGATCTTATACATCTCTGCTCTCTCGAGACTACACTTCTTTCGCTGCCGATCCAAACGCATTCAAAATGCTCTTTACGACCGGTCTCTCCAAGTGAACTTGTTACCTTCCCACAGAAATGGGCCGCCGGGCATACTCTAAAACCGGGACTCAAGTCAGGGTCGGATCCGGCTTGGAAGTTGCGTACGATAAAACGCTTCCTGAGGCGATACCTGCCAGCACCGAAAACGGCGAGGGGATGAAGACCATGATCCTGGTGCAACGGAGAAAGGCCATGATCCGTACATCGGAAGGCGGAAGATTCACTGGAAGTCAAGCTACGGCGGCATGCCCATACGGTGGGTCATCGTTGGCCCCATCCTCTTCATCCTAGGTGCAGCAGTGGGTGTGGCTGTCGCATCCATCTTGGTTAGTCGAAGAACTGCGCAGGCGATCGGTCCGACGCTGGATGTATCATCGAGCGTTTGGACGCTGGGCACGTCGTCGACCAGGACGACAGCCGATACATCGTCTATGAGGACGACAGACGATACCATAACTTCTACCCTCATATCCGGGCTCGATACAAGCAGTCAGCTGGGTATTGTGACCAGCCTGCAGTCATCCACGACGCTGGTCGCTGCAACCACTGCTGTTGAAGAACCAGAATCTACATTACTATATTCCACTGTTCAAACGGCACCAACAACGACGGTTCCAAACTTACAGGTATTCCTTCCCAACCTCACGCTCTTCCCCAGCCGTCCCAAGGGCCACCGCACTTTCCCTCACGGTGTTAGACCTGACTCGGCGCCGAGTCTCAAATGGATCTGCGCTCACAAACTGTTTGCAAGATCTTTACTGAAGCTTTGGGAGGCATACCTGCAGCGTCTGTAAATAATTCTTTCCAAATTCCCACGTACACGCGAACTCACTCGCACATGTTGAGTAGCTTGACTTAAACTGACCCTAACCTCCGAACACAGATAACACCTAGTGGCGACGAGGATCAACCTTTTCAGGTCGGCGGTCAGAAAGTCGTAGGTGGTCTGCAACAAATCAGCAGCTAATGACCAGAGGCTAATAACGATACCTACCAGAGCTCCTATTTCGATGCTGTCAATAAAAGCTGTGATCAACAGGAGAACGATTGTGCAGACAAGGCAAGCAGTGACCGTAGTCTCGGCATTCAGGTGGATAACTGTGATAACCAGAAAGGTAAGAAATACCCATGTCTTCCCATTTTGGCATGTCCCTTTTGGTGCTTTATCAATGACGTTCACACATGACAGGTCTATGCCATGCTCTCCTAAGCTCTGCGACAGTCACGACTTTCGGGCCTCTGAGTACATAGTTCGGAGCCACATTAGCACAGCCACGGATGAGGACGGGGAAAGGGGTTTCGAATTTAACAAGTTCCGCATTTCACGCAAGGACTATTTCCGCCAGAATCAAGAACCTTGAGTTGATATGTGTAATTGCAGCCTAGAGATGCTCCTGCCCTGGAAGGACAAAATCATCGTACGTCTTGCACAGACGGGGAGTCGTACATACACACGCAACTACAAGCAACGTAAATCAGCTAGCTCTTACCTTGACCGTCATATTGTTATATAACAGACGTGCAGCCTCCTCAGTAGATGGCTATTGAGTACTTAGTCATCAAATTGACCGCCATAGATGTGGCTGTTACGGTATTACATAATACCTCCACATATTTATGTACATATATACCCCTAGCTTCCCCGTTCTCTTCCGACCTTGCCTCTTCTTCCTTAGATATTGTTGAATCTAGATATTTCATCCCATCAGCCCTGACCAGCGCAGCTGCAGGCCTGATTGTCACAGTGGCAGATGCACCGAATTCCCAAGCCCTTGAGGGAAGAGCCCGTCTTAAAGGCTGTTTCTGCAGCCATGTCCGCTTTTTAAAATGCGGAAGCCTAAAACAAGGATTGGGAGAATCTCAAGAGTTCTGATTGTTGCTTATCTATGCCACTCTACTCTGATCACCTGCGGATCGGAAAACCAGGTCAGAGGGAGGTGTGACTTCCTCGTTGCAATAGATCCTAATTGCCCGAAGTATCACCCACCCACAGCCTACTGACTAGTCATCTTGGGCGTCCGGGTGCCATGAATGGGATTTCACCTGATCACCCTGCTTGGCCCCTTCAGGGTATCTCACTCGTCCGTCCGTCATCACATTGATACGCTCAAAATCCCAGAAAAACTCTAGGCCCAAATCCCAGAACTCCCCTCTCTTTATCACCGTACAGATCCTCCATATTCGACGAGATACTATAGGTAAAGACAAGCTCCATACCTATGTTGGACCTCTTGGACGAGAAGCTCTCGATTTGCCACGACCGCACATGTTGTTCGCGATGTCTCACATCAACTGGCTTTTCACCTGATAGGCGGTATTCTTTGATGGTTTCAAGATCCCATAGGAGAAATGTTGGGTCAATTGATCTGTCGAGGACTCGAAGAAGCTTGGGCAACCCAACTGTTGAGATGAAGTCGTCGAGGATTGTGACCGTGCAGCGTTGGGCATAGGGACATTCGTGAAACGTTGGAGGAGCGTAGATTGACGGAAGTCCTAGAGTTTGGTATGCTAGAAATGTCAGCAGTGCATCAATTCTAGAATAATATAGGCCGGATCTTACCAGTCTGGCACAGAATACTAAGAGTATCGTACACAGCCTCTAGCTGGAACAGCTCCAGTAAACTGAAATAAGACAGAAACTCTCCTCGCCAAGCTGTGTTGTCCCATTCGCAATGGATCGCAGGGAAAAGAACAGATTGGATGTGATAGAGATACAATGCTCGGTTGAATCTGCCTTTCTCCTCGCGGGATAGGGGCCCAGTGAATGGTGAAGGGTATCCCGGTGCCTGTGTCAAAGCGAATGCTTGAATCCGTAGACTGATTCTCTCGACAACGTGATGCATTTCGGAGAGGCGTAGAATATAGCTGTTGGAAAATGCCCAAGGGAGTGGTTTGTGTTTGGGTTTGCCTAAGGAGCTTTGTGCATTGACAAAGATGCTCACACTTCTTGGGCATTGGACTGGAACAGATTCGCATTCGATAGCCATGGTAGCGAAACGAAGGGCTGCAGAAACTTAAGTCAGTGATTTCCATTGGAATAAAGGCAGGAAAATGCTCTGAGTGGTGATCAAAATAGGTGGACAGGGTATGGTAAAACAGAAATGGCCCAATCACGGCAACATACTAGGAGATCATGGCAACATACTAGCAGAGTCCATCTGGTTGAGCCGCACACGCGCCAGAATGAGAGCTGACGACTCAGTGAAAGCATTCTTCATTGCTTGACAGGAAAGCACAGCGGCCGCAAGCGACTCTGTATCGGGAAGGAATGCGAGGATCATCTTGCGCAGCTCAATAGGCTGATTCTCGAGCATGGTTGGAATCCTGGCATCGACTTGAGTAGGCGATTGCATCTGCGACCGGGACTCCAAGGGCTCTCCGACGTCGGAGGAGGGTGACGAAGGCATGCTGTTGGTGAATTGTCGTACAGTGGAAGTCGAGAAGGATGAGTGGTGTCCGTGGAGAGGTGGTATAGGATGTTCTTCGTTGCGAGATTAACTCTGTTGCAGACTGTTCTCGACCATGAAGACCTGCTCTGCTGGGAGTGCTCAAAAGCCAAAAGGGATGTGCAGAAAGGTGACCAAATGCACACCATCTGCATGTGTGTTTTGGTTGTGAGAGGACGAGGGAGTGACGGCGTGCATGGGGCATTAAATATTTGAAAGCCCTCTCGGACCTCACAGTGTATGGCCCGAGTAATTACATCCCTGACCTCGCTTCGGTACTTGCGATTGCTAGGCGCTGTGCGCAGTGGAGGAGTCACTGGGGGAGTGGTCCAAGCGCTCGCACCGTGCGTCTCAAAACATCCGACTGTGGCGCTCCCCTGGAAACCTGAGGGACAGCCCACACGGATGTGGCTTTCCTGCTGAGCAACAGCTGGCAATGCTGGCCATTGGCAGGGCATATCTATAGTTTCAGGGGAATGACGTTGAATAGGTACAGTTTTCCGATATATATCAATGGGCCCTGGAGTTAAGGTTACTTCTCAATCACCGAGCAAGTTCAGGCTTCCAGTCATGGCAGTGGGAACTGGCGGAGCAGAAGATTATCTATTTGAGTAAGTCTGCCCATCAGAGCAGTGTGGGTTTTGTCAAACTAGGCCAATTGGCAGAAAGGAGATAAACTGAGAAGTTCATGGGTCAAACTTCTTACAACAGCAGGTTTTTCTGATTGCATTCCCTGACAGGTTTACACGAAGAGATACCACCGAATGAGAGGAGCGGACCTGAGAATAGTAGCTCTTCTCGGTTTCGATGGCACCACCGGGAGATTTCAGCCTCGGTACACCTTCCATCGCTGGTAGCCTCTCGCCATAAGCGGACTGGACGAAACAGTGCTGCATCAGCGTTCGAGGATCTGAGTATGGCGATACACCCAGACAGCGCCGTCTCTGTTCCGGGAGCGTGTTGCATGGCGGCGGAGACTCGTCATTTGATCTAACTGACTGAAAGCGAAAATTGATGTCAGGCAGTAGGATTCCATGACTTCCAGGCTGGACGATGACGGTTGATCTTTATACTGCGAGTCAACGCCGTCTCCTCCACTGTATCGAGGCTTGACAGGCCGCCTCTGTTGCGAGTTGAGGGAGGAGATTTCCATGTGCTAACTTCACGTCTGCCCTGTAGGATTTGTCCCTGTTCAACGGACGACATGTCTCAAGCAAGGACGATGAACCAAAGCCAACGGACAGTCGAAAAGCCTCTAGGACGAACTCACTCGGAATGCAATGCGGAGGCCGTTCAACTCAGCGATATGGGCAACCTATGTTTAGCCCAGACTCATGGGTACTGCTCTAGGTACAGTTGCAAGTAGTCAGCACGGACGATTGTCCACACACATGACCGGCGTCCGGGACAGGCTGCCCCCAGGGACATGTAGAACAAGATGGTAGAATCAGTGGATACTGCTGCAAAACCCCCTTCCATTTTCCTGAGAAGGCTTGAACTTGGCTGACAGTTGTGCTGTTCCTGCAGATACGTTTTGCTTCTGATTGTCAAGATGCGCCACCTAAGACCTTTTACACCCCTACAGCAGCGGCATCACCACGACCGTCATCGAGCCCATGATCGAGCGAGCACCACCCCCGCGGCAAAGCGACCCTACAGATCTACCTTCGCAGACCGAAACTCCTTTTGGCTAGCAAGGCAAGTACGAATGACAGAGGCGGTCTGATCTTTCCCGCGTCGCTACCCAAACTTTCGCAGAAAGGGGCTCGGGGGCTGGATGTCTGGTCCGCATCAGCGTCCCCAGAGCAGATTTATCAGGTTGACGAATCACGATCACGACGCCGCCACCATTTTGCTGAGTAAGGAGGCCTCAGAAGATACAATTGGATTGAATTGTTTGAGTCGTGCCGTGGTGCAACGAACCCAGACTTGGATAGGGATGACCTCATTTCGCCTCCCCCCCCTCCTCCTCACCACTCGATACTACCCTCTATATAGATCGGTAGCCCTACCGTCAAGTGGACAATACATGTGCGTTGCCTTTTCCGTTCGATTCGGTTTGGGACTCGCCGCCATCATAGCACCCAAGACATGATCTACCGCAGCTCGAGATGTATCGCGGCTAACGTGCTGCGCGGTGAATTTGCCCGAGTACCTGCCTTGCATCACCGAAGCTGATACAATTTTGATTATATTCCGCGGTGAGTATCTATTTGGATGCCAGACGCACCGAATCATCGGCTCAAGCTGCTGGTAGATTGCTGACAACCAACAGGATGAAGGCTATCACATTCGTTGCGCTGGGCCCCCAGGCCTCATAACCTACCAGAAGGCGTCTCCTACGCCGACGGTAGGAGACACCGACGGGTTGCACCATCCAGACCAGCGCATTTTACCAGACATCGATGAAACTACCAGATCCGTCCTTGCTCGCCAACGTGAAAACGTGAAACGTCTGACGGTCTAACTAGGTACCAAGAACGAATGGGCCTGCCAGAGGGGCACCAAGCCAGCTACGCCAACAAACGGTCTCTACCACCGCCTCGGGACCATGATCACCATCAAGTCTACCGATGGAGGCAAGCCCGCGTCCTCCCGCCGTCACACTCGAGCTCCCAAGCGGCAACGGCCCGTTCCCAGCATTCATCGCCTACGAGGAGACCTCCATTCCCATCAAAGCCGGGATCGCCATCATAACCTTCCCGAACCACGATGCCGCTGCTAACGAGCCCCGCGGCAAGGGCAACTTATACGACACGGACGGGAATTCAAAACCAGCGGGTGGCCTCATGACCTGGCGTGTGTCGCGTGATCAACGCCCTCGAACAGCTCGGCCCGCCACGACCAAGATCGACACCAAGCGCTTCGGCGTGACGAGCTGCTCGCGCAATGGCAAGGGCGCGCTCATCGCCGGCGCCTTTGACGACCGCATCGCCCTCGTACTGCCTCAGGAGGGCGGCTCAAGCGGGCTGGGCTGTTGGCGCGTCATGGCCGACTTCAAGAAGAGCGACACGTCTACCGAGGCGACGCAGATCATCACAGGCGATTCGTGGTTCACGACCTCGTTCACTCCGTACGCGCGCGCCCAACAAGGCCGTGTTGCCCTACGACCACCACATGCTCATGGCGCTCGTCGCGCCGCACGCCCTGCTCGTCATCGAGACCTCGAGCATCGACTACCTGGGCCTGGGTGCCAACAACTCGTACGGCTGCTCCATCGTGGGGGGGGGCATGGTCTTCGAGTGGCTCGGGCCAGCGACTCGATGGGTGTCACGCAGGCCTGCCACGGGCAGCGTTCGTCATAATCCAATCAATCCAATCTGAGCCCTCCTAACTGGATAAGATTGTGATGACTAAGCAATCCAATCCAATCTGGCCATCTCTAACTTGATTGGATCGTTTGACTGTCGGATCCTAACGCCGATCCTCCGAACCAATCAGATGCCAGTCCTGGTACGGCCAGCTATACACCAGCCACACTACCATATATCCCACACCCACCACCACTACATCACCCTCAGCTACCCGACTATGGTCTGCATTAGGCTCCGCAGTGGGTCGGGGTGTAGCCTGTGTGGAAGTGTCCTCACGCTCATTTACTTGTCCCCTAGGAGTAGCAGATCGTGCTTCTTCCTCATCCACCTCGCTGCCCCACGACCGAAAACTGACAGTCGCGTCCACCATATCCACACATCACCAGGTGGGACGTGCCATCCTTGTTATATAAGGTGCACGGATAACAGTCAAACATTCCAATCCGAGCACCTTCGGATTGGATTGCAGTTAGCGAGGGGACCTTCGGATTAGATCGGGTTGATTGGATTGAGTCCTTTAATTGATTGCGAATACTTGGGTTAAGTCGAACGCTGGCCACGGGTGGCAGGGCAGCTCGCAGAACTCCAAGGTGGCTGCATCCACGACGAAGCTCCTGCTTGCTGTGACTGCGCATACCGGTGACTGCGCCGATGTTGTCAAGAAGGACGGCCGGGGCGTGACCGACTTTTCGTTAGGGTTACATGCGACAAGTAATCCCTTATCACTAGTGCCGACCATTGGCCTCATCTTATTATGCGCCCAAGAGGGGCATCTCGGCGTAGAGTCATACGGAATGTTGAATATCTCCAGACTCAAGGAGATAGAAAGAAAGCCCATATGTTCTTTTCGCATAGCTGAGTGATGTATGTAAAAACACACCTCACTGTTAGACTGACTTATGTCCAGTACACCAATGCGCTTAGATGATCTCGACGACTACAAGTCTACAACCACAGCAAGCAGCCCATGTCTTGAACAGGACTGTGGAGAGAAAGACCCGTCAAACCGAGAGAAACAGACGTGATCATCCAGTTACAGCGACAACGGGACCAAATCAGACACGAGGACTCCATGAGCGAGATAGGGTGCCGCGTGGTGTCGACCCGGAGGGTATTCCCAGCAACAGCTCTGCAAGAGCCAACAGTAACCAAACTATCTATCATCGACGCATCAATCGCAAGACTCTCCCCATGCGGGGCAACCTGGTTCTACGACCGCGCCGAAGGCATCGATGTCCATGATCCCCTTCTCTTCCGCCATCTAGAAGAAGCCCTACGGCAGACCCTAGACGACTACCCGCACTACGCCGGCCAACTGCAATGGGCCACCAAAGAGCAAGTAGCAGGCGACGCGAACCCTCGCCACACCGGCCGCCCAGTCGTCGTCTACAGCACCCCCGCCGACCCCGGAATCGAGCTGGTCATTGCAGAAGACAGCCGGGAGCTGAGCTCACTGGTGCCTAGTCTGGAAGAGCGGTCGACGACGAAGCTGTGGAATGCGACAGACTTCCCGCAGGATGACTTCCTCCCCAAGACGCCCATTGCCCTCTCCCCCCTGGCGAGTTTCACAGGCCGACCGGCCATGGCTGCTCAGCTGACGGCTTTCGCGTGTGGTGGATTCGCAGTCGGCGTCAAGATCGCGCACTGCTTGTCTGACGCTATGTGTCTGCTGCAGTTCGTACATGCGTGGGCGGCTCGGTCGCAGACGCTGTTCGGGGCTCAAGATGCGGCGGCATCCGTCTCTGTGAAAACTCCCGCAAAGCCGCTATTCGATCCCGCACAGCTCGACCAGCATGCCGGTCTCACCGCCGACGGACTCGAGCCCGACGCCGAGAAGGTGCGCAAGGCAAGAGCCCTGCCCATGCACCGTTTCGACTGGTGGGCGACAGGCGCGACCGGATACCCAAGCTGGGCCCTCCCATCCTCCAAGGCGACCATGCCACCACCCGAAGAGCTGCGCCATCTGGAGCTGAGCCCGTCGACCCATCCGCCTTGGCCGACGTGGAACGCAGCAGCCCTCGTAGAACATGTACAGATCCGCTTCGGCGCCGAAGAAGTCGCGCGCCTGAAGGGGGCCGCCGAGAATAGCCTGCCAGAAGCCCTCCACGGCCAGCGAATCTCGCGCCAGGACGCCGTCCTGGGACTCATCTGGATCCTGATCAACCGCGCGCGGCAGCAGCAGCACCACACCGACAACAACAACAACAACAACAACAACAACCAAGACGAGCCCGTCTACATGGACATCACCCTCGGGCTGCGCAGCCGCGTCGACCCACCGCTCCCAGACAGCTTCGTCGGGTCACCCATCCTCCTGGGCTACATAAGCAAGCCGACCGGCTTCGAGGCCAGCACCGCGCCGCTCGGTTCGGTCGCGGGCTCGATACGGCAGATGATGTCCCGGTTCACGCCCGATGCCATGGCCGCGTACCTCCACGACGCGGCGCACGAGGTCAGTCCCCAGCGGCTGTGGCAGGCGTTCCTGGGCTCGCGCCACACGCTCGTCACGTCGTGGGCGCGGGCGCGCGCGTACGAGGTCGACTTCTTTTCCGGGTTCGGGGAGGAGGAAGGGCGACTGGCGCGGTATGTGCAGGGCATGATGCCGAAAATGGACGGTCTGGTCCAAGTCATGGATGTTGCGGACACGGGGGATTTTGATATCAGCTTGTGTCTGGAGAAGGAGGCTATGCAGAGATTGGTCCGGGATCCTGTGCTCAGGGCCTTCGAGGGTAAGCTTGCGGGCGTCTGGGGAGGGTCCGTATACGGCAGACCAGAGAGCAATTTGTCTCAGGAGGAAAATGAGCCGTCATAAAAGGTGTGAGACCATTAGATAGAAGGGCGGGCCAATACACTATAGAGCCCTGAACCACCTGTTGAGGATAGTTACCGTCATGCCGAACATGTCGACACGGAACGCGAGCAGTTGATTCGGTGGATCTCCATGACGGGGTATCGCGTATATAAACGTACCAGCAAAGCCGGACGTTCGTTTGACCCTGAACAGCGTACGCCCATCTTCTTCCGTATTTGCTACACTCAGCCCTTATAAGTCTGCGTACGCGCATGTTGGCAAGTTTCTAGCAAACCAGTAAGATGATTAGAAATACTAGAATAATCACGTTAAAATAAGCATTAAGGATGGCTAGGAAATATTTAACTGCTTATTCCGGTATGCTTAAAAAATTTACCGTAGTTTGCTAGAAGGGTCGTGTACGGAGACTTATAAGGGTTCAGTGTACCTCGATGAAGACGGTGAGTGACCTGTGTCTAGCGGAGCTTCGAGCGGCACGCCCAGTGTTCGGTGTGAACTCGGTGTGAAAACCCGCAGGACTTGTTGATGATCGTGTCAATCATCCCCATCCCTTAATCACTGCCCAATACTCGTCCACCCCTTTACGACACCAAAGTCTATCACCTTCCCATCAGCGCCCCATCTGTCCTGCACATCCCACCAGTCCCGATCAACCGCAGTCTCAGGCCTCCATCTGAACGCACGCCGAGTGCGCTCGTCCACCCGGCCCTCCAGGAACTCGCGCACGACTCGTCCCATCGCCGGCATCGTCTTGAAGCAGTGTCCGCTACCGCCCACAGCAAGGAGGAAGTTCCGCCTATCGGGGTCAGACTCGGACTCGGAGGAGCTCGGATGCCAGTCGATGAGCGGCATGCGGTCCGGCGTGTCCGCATCCCAGCAAATGCGCGCGAAGCTGAACGGCCGCTCTGCCAGCTGCGGCATCGTCTCGCGCAGGAACGCGCGCACGCGGGCTTCGGACTCTAGGGGGATCTGCTGTTTGGCAAAAGGCCTGGAGCCTACGATTGACTTATTACCTGGCTTGATGCTTTTGTCGCTGTTATCGCTCCCGGAAGAATATATTGGGTTGATGTACCCCGGATGCTCGTCGCAGATCTTGAGCTCGTGCGTGTCAGCGGTAGGCTCCATAAAGAAGCCCTTCTCGATGTGGAAGAGCACGGGTAAGTCTTTATACAGCTTCGCTTCCTCGGGTGTCATTTTGATATGTGCCAACGTCCACGCTGTTGGCCTTAGCTGGTATTTCAGGTCAAGAAGGAAGTCGGCGTTGGCACCATTGGCGAGGATGGTGGTATGGGCAGTGTGGACAGTCCCATCGGCCGTCTTGACTCCTTGCAGGCGCCCTCCTCCCGCCCCTATTCGTTCGTCTTGTAGACCGGCTGTCTCGAATAGGAGCTCGACTACGTCTCCCCTGTGTCCAGTGATGAAGCGCGCACCAAGCTTCTCGGCCTCTTGCTTTGCCGCCACGACTGCACCCCGTGCAAACACCCAGCCCGCACCGGTTGGTTTCGAGAAGCCTCTCCAGCCTTTGAAATCACCAGTCAGAACACCTTCCGGCATTGTCCTTCGGAATCCTTCTGCAGAATCTAACTGCTGATATTCGGCCTCGTGGCCCCGGATGTCATCTAGCAGAGCGGCGTATGCATAATCCGATGAGGCCGCCATGACGTATCCCGTCCGATGGTAGAACGGCTTATACAGCGGATCGTTCAACCACGCCTCGGTGCAGATGTCGTGAAGGCGGTTCCATGCATAGGCCGAGTCTGTGTCCTCCTCAGACTGCGAACCTATGCGCTGTCAACAATGTCCAGGTGGAGTTTATGCAGATGCCATTTCCCATCCAGACAAGTGAAAGTGGTCGAAGTAGAGTATGGAATACCTTCTTCCATGATCTTGTTGACATCATTCCCTGCCGCGATGCTGCTGGGCACCTCCTCCCCATCCAGAACCGTTATATCCGTGTAGCCATTCCTCGCGAGCTCAAGCGCGATGCTACAGCCCCAGGTTCCAGCACCGATTATCAGGATGGAAGAGTCTTTTGAGAGCATCGTGTATGGTTAGAAAGCCCAACAGCAAGCGAGACCAATGACTTGGGATAACGATCTCATGAAAGTGCGGCTGAGATGAAGGTAAGGGAATGAATATGGGCATCGTCTGGTAGCTACACTGAACCCTCATAAGTATATCAAATCGGAAGAAGCACACTGGAATAAGCAACGAAAATAGCGTATCACACTAGAGCTGCTTATTCCGGTATTTCGAAATTTCCACGGGTAATGCGGAATATTATCAACATGGCGCGTATGGAGACTTATGAGGGCGGAGTGTACCCCGCGGACGGTGTCGCTGCCCCACCAGGAGCACTCTAGGCTGTCACAGCATAGCCGACGATATGCGAGGACAATGAATGGAAGAACGTTGAGCCCAGGATGATGCTAAATAAAGGACGAATATGCTTTGATTGTGGTGTTTTCATGCTACTGCAGACGAAAAAGTTAACCTCCTTGGAAGAACCCGACCTAGTCCTCTCAACATGTACCAGGGTTTTCACATGCGACGCGCATGTTTTGTTTGTTTGTTTGTTTTTGTTTTGTTTTGTATTTATCGTGGGTGCAGTCCCTCAACAGGGCAAACCACGCCTCCCAGAGCCATTGCATCGCAAGGTTATAGAGGTGTCAGTCTAGATACATTCAGATCCGCGCACGAGCCTATCCTCGCTGTAGCGGTACCAATTTGGAGTGACCAGATGGTTTTAGTCAATACCCAAACACGATTCTGTCAGAAAAACCTCCTGTCCAGTGACAAAGCGACCCAGTGGACCTCAGTCCTCTGGTGTACACATCGTTCCAGTAGCCGTTTGATATATGTCGCATTGGTGGGTAAAATAGGTGTTTGTTATCTGCTAGCGAGGGAAACCACAAGGGGAAAAACCTCGCAGGAGTGGGTATTATGGAGACAAGCTGCTTGGCTATCGGGTTCTGCGATAAGGGGCCTCTCCACTGTCGTGTGCTGGTTGTCGACTCGCACAAGCCGGGTCAGAAGGGGGCCATAACAGGATTCGAACCCACTTGTTCTCGTCGCCCACCGCACAAACGAGAACACAACCAGGCGCATTTGACCATGACGCGCATGGCAGAAATGTTTCATGGTGCAGCACTCCTGACACCCAGCAGGTGAAATTCAGAAGTACCTTAAAGTAGTTAGAATGGTTATTCCTCTTGTCGCATGAGCAAGACCTTGAGTGTTTATGGAATATATATTGCAGTGGAATAAGCTACTTCGAACATGCTTATCCCATTTTTCCACCGCTTTTATGCAGTCACATACTTCTTGGATCTAGGTGATCGCATCGTTAACTTGATAAAGCATAGCTGTTAAGAACTAGTTACTAAGAAGGTGAATGAGAGCGCGATGAAAGAATAAAACCGACATCTTTAAAGTGGTCAATGTTGCCACAGTCCTACAGCACATGTATGATGCGGAGATGTAAGATCACATGCGTCCAGCCTGCATCATTGACGCTAAATTTGCGCAACCAGGTCTGGAGTAACCGTGCCACGGTTAAGAGGTTCTCCCCTTGCTCTAGACAACAACACACAACGAGTCCAGGACGCTGTGATAGCACAGAAATCATGATCAGACCATGGCTTTTCGGCGTGATTCAGTAGTGTCACACATTGCTGTGCCATTCAGGTGGAGCTTAGTGTGGTGACCCTTTTGTCACCCCTGAACCAATCACCGCCCTTCACAAAAATTGTTCGGACACTCACTCCGAGATGGCGTGTTCAGCACCCACAACGGCAAGTTCCTTCATCCAAACATCTCTGGGGGTGTAGCTCAGGGGTAGAGCGCTCGCTTTGCATCCTCTTCAATGCCTGCGAGAAGCCCAGGGTTCAAATCCCTGCTCCTCCAACGATTTCCTTTTGTTCATTTTTAGTTTTGTTGGACTATTTCTTACCAGTATACTCCTCCTCTCCCCCTCCTGTCTTGCCTCAGCCGGTGTTCAATGGGGCCTGAGCGCGGCATTGTCCTGCAATGTGCATGAGTTCGCAGTAATTCCAGCAACCAGCCGTCGGGTATCCAATGCAGCTGACCACGTCTATGAACTCTTCTACGTCACCGTCATCCATCTGGACAGTTTCATTGCCAACTTCAAGTAGCAATCTCGCATGCATTTTTTACAGTATATATCTTCTAGTAAAGGTCATCAATGCGCCGTGGAGTCGCAGAGAATACATCTCTATTTGGCAGATATTGAGAACTCCGATGCCCCTGCTCTACAAGGCAATGGTCGAACCCCGCTGCTCGTGGCCACTAACACAGGCGCTGGGACAAATCATTCGGCATCCGATAGGCCGATGGTGTACCAGTAACTCTCAATGGCGCTTCGCCCCGTCTGGCGCTGTCACTTCATCCCGTGTCCATAGATTACAAGAGAGCATTTGTCTTATCCAGACTAGAGTAAAGAAAGGTACAGAGAACAGGTAGACGACACCAACTTTGCTCCTCAGTTTGCTCACACATATCGCGAAGCTAAGACGCCCTGCTTGTATTCTGCAAATAATCATGGCACTGCCTAACACCCAAGATGAGGGTCCTGCGGATCTAGAGAACACAGCCGACACAGAAGTCAGACCGCCAGCACCACCGCCGTTCTCCGCCAAGCCACCCCGTCTCCTCATCATCGGGGCAGGGTCGCGAGGCCGAGTATACGGGCGGTGCACGATCCAATCCAGCAACGGCGTGGTGGCCGCAGTCGTCGAGCCCGACGACTACAAGCGCGAAGAGTTCGGGCGGAACTTCATCTGGGGCGACAAGGCGGCCCCGGACGGCTCGCACTTCACTGACTGGCGCGACTTCATAACCTGGGAGCTGGGGCGGCGTGAGCGGGAAAAGGCCGGCGAGGTCGTCCCCGAAGGCGTGGATGCCGCTTTCATTTGCGTGCGGGATGAGATGCATCACGATGTTCTCATGGCCCTCGCGCCGCTGGATCTCCATGTCATGTGCGAGAAGCCGCTGGCGACGACGTTGGATGACTGCGTCGACATGTACCGCGCGATGGCGCCGCATCAGATGGACAGGGTCTTCTCCATCGGACATGTCATGCGGTATTCACCACACAACATGATGCTGCGGAAGCTCCTGCTGGAGGACAAGGCGATTGGCGACATATTGAGTGTCATGCACACGGAGCCGGTTGGCTTCTGGCATTTTTCGCATAGCTACGTCCGGGGCAATTGGCGGAAGAAGTCCACGACGGCTCCGTCCCTACTGACCAAGAGCTGTCACGACATCGACATTATTCTGTGGCTGCTATGCTCTCCGCCGCCCGGATCGGACGAGCCGCCACACCTTCCGACCTCGATATCATCGGCCGGCTCCCTCCAATTCTTCAAAAAGAGCAGGAAACCGAAAGCAGCAGGCAGCGCGACCAATTGCTTGAGCTGTGCCGCCGAGAAAGACTGTCTGTACTCGTCCAAGAAGATTTACATAAGCCCGAAGCATCAGGGCATTGAGACCGGGAACATCCGGTGGCCTGTCAGTGTCGTCCTGCCGGACATCGAGAGCTTCGGAGGCGATCACGCAAAGGTGGTGGCGGCCCTCTTGCCAAAACTGGCTGAAGACTACGATGAGTCGACATTGCAGGAGGTCATCGACAGCAGGAATTGGTGGGGGCGATGCGTCTTCGAATCGGACAACGACGTATGCGACGAGCAGGTCGTCACGATGACCTGGGACGAGGACCCGCTGCCGGCGTCGAGCGCAGCGTCCAGCGACTCGGTCGGGGGTCGGGGATCCAAGCAAGCGACCTTCCACATGATCGCGCAGACCAAGAAGCAGTGCCACCGCTACTCTTACATTTACGGCACCGAGGGCGAGGTGTACGCCGACTCCAAGACCATCACGGTCGAGGACTTTCGGACCGGCGCGACCACGGCGTACAAACCAAAACTCGAGAGCCTCGGCCACGGCGGCGGCGACCACGGCCTGACGCGGCAGTTCGTGCTCGCGGTCGACAAGGTCAAGAACCACAGCTGGGCGGCGGCCAGGGCCCAGCGCGAGTACATCGGCTGCAGCCTGGAGGAGATCATCCGCAGCCACGTCATGGTGTTCGCCGCGGAGGAGGCGCGGATAGCCCAGAGGACGGTCGTGTGGAAGGATTGGTGGGATGAGCACGTAGGGTCGGATATGTTAGATGGTCAGCAGAAGTCTGACAAGGTGGCGCAACATATACAGGGATAGATCAGCGATCCGATGTCCTTTCCGCAAGGCATCCTGAGCATGCGTACGGTTTGTTTGTTTGTTTGTTTTGTATTTAACGTGGGGGGTAGCTCCTCAGTAGTGCAAACCACGCCTCCCAGAGCCTCTGCATCGCAGGGTTATGGAGGTCTCAAGATAATAAGTACAGTCAGTCCCGCTCACGGGCCCATCCCCGTTGTTGCGGCGGTATGACCTTGGGGTCATCCATCTGGTCCTTTAAGAAAAGCTATCTATCAGGGACAGATTGTTGAAAAGAACTTGCTCTTCTCCACGAATTTTGCTCATTCTGTGCTCCTCTTCCCTAAGTATTATAAACAAACTGTCCTAGGCGAGTACCTAGGCAGTAGCCGATTTTTCCCCAGCCTCTTACAAAAGAAAATATATTGTGGTGTTTTCTTCTCACCATAACTGCAATGGTTATTCGAGTCTGTATGCCCAAAGCGTTCATGGTATCTGGCAAAGTCGCCATATCCAGATCTGGCCGCTAGAAGTCTGTGTAAAGTACTCCTCTTAAAAGATATCAGGTCTCTTTTAATTACTGCGTGTGAGTATATTTCTTGATACCTAGATTCTGATTGGTCTTTCTACCATTGGTTGAACTCCTTTCTGCCCTTTCTTTTGAGATCTCTCTTGACCCAAGAAATTATAGGAAGGTTTGTTGTGTCTGTTTTAGTATAGCACCCTCTTTTGCTAGTGTGTTGGCAGCTTCGTTGCTATCAATATATCTGTGTCTAGGAATCCACTTGACGGTCACTCCAAGAGTGTGTGCTGTGGCAAGTTCTTGAAATCATAGAAAAATGTTCTGTGATGTCTCAGGTGGAGTCCCATTGAGCCCATCTACCACTGACATGTTGTGCAGGCAGACATATAGCTGTTTTCTGTGTCCAATTGCCCTGGCTGCTGCAAGACCTTGGAGAGCACCATAGACTTCAGCATCTACTACTTCTGCTTGCAGAAGTCTACCCTTTTCCCGGTATACTTCTTGAGTAGTGTTGTCTTTCCTGATGGTGTAACCCTATCCAGTGCGGGTTGTACCTTGGTCAACCAATTATGATCCATCTGAGTAGATGACAAGGTCAGTGTTCACATTTCTCTCTTATAACCATTGCTTAAAGAGCTCTATTTTTTTGTCTTTGTCTTTACGGACTGGGGGCTTCTTCCATGATGGCTGGTAAGTGTTGGTCTCTGGAAGTCAGGGACTAGCTGGAAGCTCCTTTGTAGCCTTGTTGGATCCTTGCGGGCTTGTATTTGGAGCCTGCCAACAAGAGGGTGTCTCTGGTCTATTCGTCCTAGTCGGAGGCCGTGACGTCGTCGTATTGACTCTGCAAGAACTCCAGCTGGGGGAATCTGCGATTCAAAATGTGGGATATGCCCAGGGTGTGTTTTCCAGACTGGCAAGATAGCCCTGATCGCCGTTCGTAGTACAGCATCTATTGTCCCAAGAAGCCCCTTAATGCGACATGCTGATGTCTCACCTGAGCTCCTGATTTTCTCGATTCCTGGGTACCAGGTCTCCAGGCCGTGTGTAAGAATAGGAATAACACAAGCTTTCACAGCCCTCCTGGTTGATTTTACTGGGAGTCCCTTGACTGTGTTGCATAGTCCTCGAAGGTGATTTGCTACCCTACTAGCTTTCTTGGCCCAGTGAGAAACATGAACTTTGAAGTTTAGTTTTCTATCCAAAAGGACACCTAGCCATCGCGTAGAATACTTAGCTATTTTGTTCATTGTCCCGTGGCGGACTGGAGGGTTATCTGAGTTCTTTTTCTGCAAGAAATGCATGATCTCGGTTTTGTCGGGGTCAAACTCAATAGCATTATTGTGTCCCTATTGATTAAGCAAATGAAGGTTTTTAGAAGCCTCTGTAGCTATTTCCTTAAGGTTCTTTCCAATACAGAGAGTTGCTAGGTCGTCTGCATATCCAAAGCGTCTTCTTTTCATGCCAAGTTGGGCACAGATTGGCTCGGTATACAGCATGTAAAGGATTGGAAAGGCTGGTGAACCTTGTGGTAGCCCATAAGTGAGAGCTTTTATATCGGTCATAATACCTTCAAACCGAACTCTTGCGGACCGCTCGGACATGAATGACTGGACCCATCTTATAAGAAAGCCTGGCCAGCCCTGTTCTCTCATGCGAACCACCAGCCGTCCCTTTAGGGCAGCATCAAAGACCCCTTTCACATCTGACGTGACTACTGTTGTAACGAGGCCTTGGTCAAGGGCCTGCTCAATACCATGTATGAGTGCAGTTATCAGGTCAGTGACAGAGCGCTTTGGTAGAGCTCCAAAATGTTGTAGAGCTAGAATTCTAAGTTTGACAACAAACCAGGTAATTCTTTTCGTGATGAGTTGTTCTAAGCCTTTGCCAAGACATGACAGTAGCGATATTGGTCTGTAGGCCCTGGGATTGGAGTAGTCTTTCTTTCCTGGTTTTGAGATCATCACCACCTCAGCTGCTTTGAATGGTTTAGGGTGGTGTCCAATCTGTAGGCAGGTCTGGAAAAGGGCTCTGATATGTTCACCAATGACTGGCCAGCAAGCTTTCAGAATCCGTACTGTGAGGGTGTCTACTCCCGGGGAGTTGCTCTTGGTTCCTAGAGTGCATCCTTCAGCCTCTTCCAGTCCGACATGGTATTCAAGGGGGATGTATGGCTTAGGTTGTATGATCTGAGCAGACCAGGGGTCGATGATATCGTTATCTGAGGTACTTCGTTCAAGCGTGGCTGAGCGTAGTGCATTTGCTTTGCTCTCTTGTGATTCGAATATTTGGTCTCCTATGATGATTGGAGGGAAACGCAGTCCTGCTGATAACTTGTGCCAAGAGACGATTCTGTATAGGTCCTTTGGCTCAGTTGCTGAATTGATTAGAGTCTGCCAGTACTCTTTCTTAACTTTGCGAACCACGCGACGAAATTCTTGTCGGGCTGAATTCCGCCCTTCTTGACTTGTAGTCTGTTTGGAAAGGACTCTGTATGTCTGAACAGCTGATTTGCAGTCATCATTCCACCAAGCAGTGGGCCTAGATTGTCGGGGCTTCTTGCCCACTGTCCTGATACAGCCTTGGATCATGTTGATCAAGCTCTGTGTAAATGCATCCACCTGGCCAGGGGATACACCCAGCCGGGGGAGTTCATGGATCCTGGTTTGGACATTATCTGCCAGCTTTTGTAGTTTGTCATCCGGTACTATCCAGTAATTGGCCTTAGAGACTCGGTCTATATCTCCCTGAATTGGAATGACTATTCGTAATGTCTCATGATCTGAGGTGCACTGAAGTGCATCATTGATTGAGGCTTCAGCCATGGGGACATCTGAGAACACCAGATCTAGTACATTTCTGTCATCATGTGTTGGAATATCTGGTTCAGAAATCAGATCCAGTCCATGATCTGCCATAGTCTGTGCAAGTATAACACCACCATGATATCCTGGATTGCTTGAGTCCCAGGATGTGTCGTTAGCATTGAAATCTCTAGCTATAATGCAGCCAAAAGGTGGAGTCCATACTTCCAGAATATCATCCACTTCCTGTGAGTTGTCACATGGCCGGTAGACACTGGCAAATGTAATGCCTTGTACCTTGACCCAGGTGATGTCTCATATAATATAGGGCCGAAGTTGATCCGCTTAAAGGTGTTTTCTCACATAGATGAGAGATCTGGGCCGTGTACTGTCGCTGTCCCAGGAATCCACTGGGGAGTATATATTATAATTGGGATGTGTCTTTACTCCCATTCTCTTGCCTGGTGGTATGCCAACCCAGGGCTCTTGCATCAGGATGATGTCTGCTTGTTCTCCTTTGTAGTCAGCCAGGTTGATGACTAACTCTGTAAGGCCTGCACTCTTTTGTCCTCTTGCTGTGTTCACAGAATGGATGACTAGATGCCCACGTCGATGTGTTTTATTTGGTGTACCTAACATTGACTGACAACAATGGTATTGGCATCTCTGGGATGAGTTGTATCTGTTGTGTCGATTTGCATTGTGATGTCTTTGTTATTATTGCTGGGTGTTGGCCCAGCTTGGTTTCTGACTGCTTCATTGAGGGCCTTGGATCTGGCTCTTTCTCCGGCTAGCCTTATTTCTTGGATTTGTTCCCATGTGTGCTTATGGATGGTACCTTTCACAACCTTGGGGCGAGCAGGGCATTTATTAAAGTCGGCAGCATAAGGTCCTTTGCAGTTGACACATTTTGGGATTGGTTTTTCGCACTCTCCCTGGTGTACTGTGTTGGCGCAGTGTGCACATACTTGCTTTTTGCATCGGTAATTTCTACCATGGTATCTGAAGCAGCTTGCACACTGATGAACCTTGGGGGTGTATTGAATATGCCTTGAGGTCATTGAGTGGGCAAAAAGCATGAATGGTTTCTTTACTGCACTGGGCAGAGAGATTATCCACATGGTTTCTGGATCAGAATCAATCGTGTTCTTTGAGAGTATGCACCTCAAAGGTCTGTTGCCTGTTTGAGCTTCAACTTCATCAGTAACAGCAGTGTCGGTAATATCGATTGTGAACCCTTCTGCACTGATGACCTTTCTTGGGCATCCATCGACCTTGTAATGGTGCCAGACTGTGTGGGTCTCAATCTTTTGTGCCTTGAGAATATCGGCAATTTCTTCTTGGGAAGCCAGAAGCTTAGCCTGAGTTGGCTTGTCCCTTAGGTGTAAGGTAAAACCAGAAGGACAACGTGTCACTTCTCTAAGCTCCTAAGGGTGGAGCTTAAGTCTTCTATTTAGTGTAGACTTGATTCCATAAGGCTCAAGGTGGCTATTATCCATGCGGACAAAGACCCGGAGATCATCCTGCTTCCTCTTCAATTGGTTGATAGTGATGAGGGCACTAGGCTGTGTTTTTTTCATGGTAGTATTGACTGTCCATGGATGCTGTCGTTGGCCAGAGGAGACAGCTTGGGCGAAGGTCATGGTGGGCTTCCTTATTTCTATCCCCCCAGAAGTGGCCTTTCTTGTGGACAGATCTCGGGTTTCCAGCCACTCATTCAGACATTTGGTGAAGAAAGCGCTGAACTCCTTGGCATGAGAATATAATTCGGTTCCAGCTTTCTCAAGTGTCTTATCGACTGCTGCAGCACACTCCTGAAACATTGTTATCCTGGCTTCATAGAGATGCTTGTCTTTAGCCAGTATTTTGGCAACTTGGTCCTGGCACTCTGAAGAGGAGATTTTGTTCCTTGTTTCACCTCCAATGACTTGGTCTGTAAGGATTTCGCTTGACTGAGGTGATTCCATATTAATGGTGCTGCTATTATTGATATTTCGGGATTTTCCTTTCAGAGGGGAAACAGTGGTGAAGTCAGCCTCAGAGACCTGTGACGGGCTGCTGTTGATGTCGTTAAGCAGTGCCTGGCGGAGCCTGCTTGGGGTTGCTGGGTCATGTGTTCTTTTAGGGACTAGGGATTTGAACACGCCGCCAATAGTCGTCTTTGGGACGGCCACTGGTGTGTTTGGGGGCCTGCCGTGGAAGGGTGCCATCCAGCTTGTGAGAAAAATTTTCTGTGCCTTGGCAAGGATAGTCAGGTACTGAAACAAATGTCTGTTTTAGTGCAGATATAGAGGTTGCGCCCTAACAGCGGGGCGCCAAGAAAAATAGTTGTTTTTGGTAAGAGTGTGTGAGCATGCGTACGGTATTGCCTAGCGTGGCCCATCAGATGGATGCCTAATTAATATGGCGGCAGTGAGGCGAATATCACGTTGGAGGACGATCACCCCTTAAGCACCAGCAGGGCTCGACAAGTGCGAATTTGCAACCGGCTACAGAACTAATGGATCTCGCTATGTGTACAAAGCATCCGATTGCGGTAGCACCCGCTGCAAATACTCTTCAACCTATGCCACCGCAATGTAAGTTTAATAGAAGTCCAGAACTGATAGATTATTTCCAACTTATGCGCAGAACCATTGAGTACAATTAGGACAGTGCAACGGACTTTGGACGGGGAAGAGGGTACACTTCATTATTTAGATAGCTGCTTACTACAGATAGTCAATTTATTAAGCCCGATTCATCAAGAATGTATCTATCTTCTTAAGCGCATCAAGGTCATTCTTCGGAATTGCATGTTTTGAATTACCCATTGTCCAACCATGAGTCCCTGCCTTGACGCCGAGTTCTTCTCCCTCCCGCTTACATGAGTCAAAGTCGATGATGATATACCGCAGCGTATGCTGCTGTAGCGCCTAGAAGATTCTCGGGCTCTGCTTGGGAGAAAATTGCAATGCACACTGCAAAGAGAAAGATCGATATCGAGATAACTGATAGCGTCTTCGGTGTTGCATTGCCAACGATCAGTATAAGCATCGGCACCACGATGATCAGTCCGCCGAGGATAGCGAAGACGAAGCGCTTAACGGCCATGCGAGCCTTCTCTCTGCGCACTTCACTCGCAACACTCCGAGCCCTGTCTGTGCCCAGACTCTGCCCGATTGCGGTGCTGTGCTGCATCAGTTTAGGGTCGAACAGACCAAGAAGGTCAGAGTCGTAAAATAGACTGCGGTGCGAGTCGCCAACTTTCAGCCCGTGTTCAGACATAAGTGCTCCTTGGAGTCTGGATCCTTTGCCATCATCAAGACGAGATGCTGCTATGTCTTTCACGAAGTGTGTGTTCCACCGGTTGGCATGGATAAACTCAAAGTCCCTGAGAGCTTGTGCTGTTCAGATATTTAGTGATGTCTTCGATTGCAAGCTTCAACGGGATTCAAACTGGCTCTTACTATACTGGTGTAGAGTGTCACGCGTGCTGCCCAACTGCTCGTCCGTTACATTCTCCTTCTCGATCTTCTGGATGTTTTCGGTCAATTTGCGCTGAAGGTGATGAAGTGTAACTGCATACAACGGTCTGAAGTCGATAACTGTCACTCCGCAGAGACCCAATGCTTGGTCGACCCTCGAATCAAACTTGTTATTCTTTCATGGTACGGGAGCAAGGCGAGACCATCTAAAAGGCTGTCCCGTTCGGCAGCCACCTTCTCCTTTTGGTCCGGCTCCATGGGTGAAAGGAAAAGACTATCGAGAGGATTCCCGTACCAGTTTGAAGATATGATACCGGCGAGAATCCAACAAAGAACACCGACTTCTGGTTATTCTTGGCTTACAAGAGCTGCGATGTGCTGTTATGATTTCGAAATATAAGGTCGTGCTTCATTACTAGTAAAAGCGTATGTATGAAAGCACGCGCTCTAGTAAAGGGTATAAGGAGAACTCGAATCCAAGAGTGCCTAACATGCAACATTGTACGATCTGCAAGCACAGCCTGCTAGCACAAGCCTGAGACACAAGGGTGTAGGCTGGTCGATATTTGCCGTGCCGTCGCGTCCACGCCCTCGAGTAAGCCTCGACCTGCCTGCATTTACCCCTCCCCATGTGCCAATCATGTCTCAGTCTTCCAACACAAGCCGGGCGTTGGGTGGCGAGGTGCATGCATAATGCAAATTTCGATGTCTGGTGACAAGATCATTGTTTCGGCACTGTCTGATCATTGGGTACAACACGATTCTACTTATCAATTTCTTCGACCTCCTTCATTGGGATCGGCTGACAGCTTTCGGTGAGCCACGAAGTCAGCTCCCCCGACTACTCAGTCAGCCAACTCCGTCTTGGCGTTTTGAGCCTCTAGTCCTCCTCTACAGACTCGTCTATTCAGTGCGCAGGACTGTCCGAGCTCAAGTATAAAATCGAGATGCTTTTCTATCCCTGTGTTCAATCAATCGTCTCCCTCTCGGCCCATCTCTATCCCTCCATTTGAGCGCAACCTGTTTCTGTTGTAGTTTTTCGATTAAATCCAGACTGGCATTGGGCTATGTTCTAACCAACGAGTTCCACAGCCCTCCCGCCCTCGCAGCGACAACTCAACGATGAGTGCGACACTATACCCGCGAATCGCGACGCTCAGAGATGCTGTCAAGTCACACTTTGTGCCTGAGAGAGGAGACAAAAAGTTCCTGCCCGATCACTTGATAGGGCAGTTAGTCACTCGAGATGCGGTCAAGTCGGCTTTGGAAGATGCGGATTTGGAAGAGACCGCAGTCGAGGACCTGGTGGAGTATGTTCTCAATCATGCCCGACGGCTGTTCCTGATCCTAGTCTTGATGACTACCAGAAGGGATGAAAAGGTCTCCCTGCTTCAGCACTTGAAGCAGAATGGGATCAAGGACAAGTACTTGCCACTTCGAATAGACTTCGACAAGGACGAAGGACACTGGTATGGAGTTTCGATGGAAAAGACAGAGCCAGAGACAGAGCCAGAGACAGAGCCAAGCCGAAGAAAATTCTTGGCCAAGGAACTCTGGGAAGACAACGACGGCCATTGCTTCAATCCTTACCAATGGAATCTTACCGCTCCGGTGTTCGGACCCAAGTTCCGTTATGAGTTTCACCCGGACCGGACACTCCCATATCTACTTGTCCCAGAGAAGCCGGCCAGCAGCGGTTTCTTTGGTGAGGTCTCAAGGTTTGAGATTCACCCGGAACACATTCCATCTTTGAAAGCAGTAAGTGACCCTCCCCTTGCGCGTGCACGTATTATGTGAGTAACCAGACGCCTCACAGGATTCTGACAGCTTGAGTCCCATACATGGTGGGAGAGGGATAGCAGTTGCCATCAAAAAAGCCAAGCATGATGATGAACTAGCTGACTTCTTCGACAAGGAGGCGGATACGCTGAAAGTCACACGGGAGTTCAGAACCTCGCAACATCTCGTTCAGACAGTCGCTGCCTTCCGGCAGGGTAATGACCGATGTATCATCTTCCCTTGGGCCGACGGCGGGAACCTATTCAATTACTGGGTGACTAGCGAGAGGGATCGCTGCGACAAGGAGTGCATGCAATGGATCATTGGCCAATTTACCGGCCTTTGCGGTGTCGTGAGATTGCTGCACTCGAAGAACGGCCGACACGGAGACTTGAAGCCCGAAAACATTCTCTGGCTTAAGGATAAGGCCCTCCTTCAGATTGCTGACCTAGGTCTTACGACGTTCCACGAGGAAGATGCGAACACAAAGAAACGAAATTGGAAAGGCATGGGGACCGTGACCCCGTCAGGAACCCAACGATACGAACCACCAGAGATGGATGGGGACCGAGGCATGGGAACATCCCGCTCGAGGCAGTACGATATCTGGTCCATGGGATGCATCATACTCGAGTTGCTTGTCTGGCTTATGTATGGCATTGATGGTGTGAACACGTTCAGAGATCATACCTTCCATTTCTGGATTTGGACGCAGACAGGGGATGGAGGAAGAAAGTACTACCTCAACCCTTACGTGGAATCCTGCATGGATATCATGAATAATCACCTGCAAGAAGAGTCGGCGCATAAGGATCTTCTGAACCTCGTGCGTAACCGGCTCCTTGTTGTCCCCGTGCACGAGGAACATGTGAGCTCGCCCGACCATCGAGAGATTGCCGAACAGCTTCACGCGGACATGGAAGAAATCCTGGAGAGTTGCAAATCTGACAGCCCCTATCTTCAAGTTGTTGATCGCAGCTTTCCTTCCTCCGAAATCGAGAAAAGCCAGCGTCAACCTGTCTACGAAAGTGGTGGGAATCTAGCAGTGCCAGGCCCAGCGGGCCCAGGCTACACGCTCCAAGCCTCGCCGGACCCATCTACGATGCCTACCTCAGATGGTGATGATGTGCCTCGGGTTTTGGTGCGCGCTCCCACTGCCATCTCAGACAATCAGGAAGTAGGTGAAGTGGAAATCTTGAGCAGGCTCAATTTGCAGGACTAATTCAGGCTTTTCTCTTAGTATGTGAGTCCTCCCCATCTCCCGAGATTAACCACAAGACAACTGTTTACTCACGCGTTGTTGCGTCTACAGAATGTCAGTAGAATCACCTTCCCTCCTCTTCTCATCCCGTCACTAACGAGTCCCTTTAGATGGTGAGTGCTCCTGTACATTAAGCTCCCTATGGCCACAGCATTTTGTTGACTTATATCAGCTTGTAAGTCATTCGCTTTCAGAACTGCTGATGATAGCTCCGCTTATGACGATCTCCTCCAGCAATCAAGGAAGCTCAATGATGTTTGGGAGTCAGTCTCGGATAACGATTTTGCCGCCCAGTTGTTTGATTTGATTGGATGGGACCAGGTTCAAACCGGGAATTCCAAGATAGGTGCTGTCTTATGCCACAAGTGCAGAACAATCGATTCAACACGTTTGTTCGGGTTAGAGTGTGATCTATCAGAACTGAGAAGGACACTACCATTTTGTGACCTATGTAGACTGCTTCAGGAGGCATTGGGCATACGTGGATATAAGTCACCAAAGGTCGTTTCATTGCGAGAGGATGGACGGACGGTGGGAATACAAGACGGTCCCGACCTTCTCTCAATATATGTTGATCCAGGTATGTCAGATGGATACAGTTTCCGTGGTCTAATCATGCTAAGGGGCATCCTCATGTAGGTCCAGACGTGCCCCAAGAGGCACAGCTTGGGTTGCCTAAGCTCTTCGAACCGGGGAGTCCGAAGCAATTCACACTACTTAAGCAATGGATCCAAGTCTGCGACTCGACTCATCCTAATTGCCGCCGCCACTCCGACAAGGAAGACGATGAAAAATCCATCAAGCCCATGCCAACGCGTCTCATTCAGCTCAAGGAGTCACTGCGTCTGGTGGACTCGGCCTCGATTAGCCCCTCCCGGTACGTGGCCCTCAGCCACTGCTGGGGCAAAACCAGTGACTTGGAGAGTTCTTGCACTTACCAGCATAACATCGCGGAGCGCAAGAAGTCCATAGACTTCCACCGCCTCCCGCGAACTTTCCAGGATGCCGTCGTCGTGGCGCGCGGGATCGACGTCCATTACCTCTGGATTGACTCCCTGTGCATCATCCAGGACGACATGAATGACTGGGAGTACGAGTCGAGAAGGATGGAGCAAGTGTTTAGTGCCGCTTATTGCACTCTCGCCGCCAGCTCGGCCAAGTCGTCTGTTGAAGGCTTTCTCAAATACCGGCAGCCCAGATCTTGCGTACAGCTAGAGACGAAGAGTCTAGGGAGACTGTATGTTTGCCAAAACATAGACGACTTTCATCGCGACGTCGAGCTTGGAGGGCTGAACACTCGCGGATGGGTTTTACAAGAAAGGGTGCTATCAAGACGTTCCATCTTCTTCACGTCGACCCAAGTGTACTGGGAGTGCGGTGCAGGCGTGCACTGCGAAACGCTTGCGCGGCTCAAGAAGTTAGTCTGCTGCCCCTTGAAAGCCAGAGAGCCTGCCTCCCAGAAGACTTGCTAACAGGTGCACCCAAATTCAAGTTCTAAAGCTGCCTTCCTTGGCGATGCCAACTTTCCTGAATCAGCGTTGGAATATTACCGCGACGGGCGACAGATGCTCGTGCAGGACCTGTTTGAGAGATACTCTTCATTGGCCTTCACGAAGAACTGGGACCGTCCCGTCGCCATCATCGGCCTCCAAGAGCGGCTGGCCAAGGCGTTCCGAACGCAGGCTGCCTACGGCTTCTTTGCTCCTTATTTTGGACGTCTCCTACTCTGGAAGCGCCTCGGCAGCCGACACATGACGCGAATCATCCAGCAGCGTGGGATCGGCGTTCCTGCGCCCACCTGGTCGTTCTTTTCGAAGGAGGGAGCCATCAAATACCTGGAACTCAAATTCCAGGAGGTCGACTGGGCGACGAATGATTTTGATAACCCGTTTTACCAGCGCTGTACAGGAGTGATAGTACTGAGTGGACTGGCAAGGGGGTTGAAAATAGCGAAATTTCAGATGCTGGTGTCCATCTCTTTCGACGAGCACCAGGAATTCGAGGTCGAAGACCTAAAGTGCGTAGTCATCGGGCGAGACAAGATCAACAGTGGCACGGAGAATGGGAAGTATCATGTTCTGGTTATACACCAGGTCAACAGTGCCGTGGGAGCGGATATTTATGAGAGAGTAGGTGTGGCATCCTTGAAGCCGGAACACGTGGAAGGCACAGGCCAGCGAGTAACCATTGGGTGATGAGGTAGCAATCTTGGTTTGTTTGTTCTTTTGTTTAGATCAATTACCTTGATATAGATAGAAAATGACATCGGAATTCATTTATACAGCATGTACCTATCAAAAATAAGTCCAATTGTAAGTGGTACGTCATAGCAACGGTTAGAGGCCCTTTCACGAGCTGCCACCCATAGCCTCAACCCCTATATATACCAGATCATGTCACCTAGCGAGTTTCATAGTTTGTTTCCTTCTTCACATACATCAACAAAATCAGTTCTGGAGTCACCAGCAGTCTTGCCGTGTCCCGAGCCTTTTTGATCAGATCAACAGGCCCAGTCCTTTAGAGACTGGGGCGAAAGAGGCTTCGTGTTCCCAACCCAGCAGATTGAGATGATATCGATGTTGTGGAATCAATTCAGGCTCTGCCGCAACCTTGAGCAAATAAAAAATGTTTTTTTTTAGTGGCTGATGGCTGAACTCTGTTCGTCTTCTCCCTCAACCTCAATGCCACTAGCGAAACCTTCGTACGCCTTCGTCCGATGAGTCACGAGAGCCCTATATGAGGACGGATCCTCGCACGGGAATCTCGCGAAGATCTTCTCCACGCACCACACACAATTCTTCCGAACGTCACCCAGAACATACCACACGAATCAGATGGCTCCCACCATACGCAGCGAAGTCATCCGGCAACTGCCGATCTACCGGAGGGCGAAAGAGGTAAAGTCAGTGGCTTCCGATGATTCTGGCAGCAACCCGCGAAATAAGAGATGACAGCTGCCGGATGAGGACGTGGCATTACAGTCGTCTCTGGTTCAGCAACAAAAATACTGCGGTCATCGAAGAATGCGACTATCGTCGGTCCGACGCAGGCTCCGAGGGGTACAATTTGTTCCGCAGACCACGACCTGCGGGAGTTCTTACGCAGTGGTCTTGCGAGAATATTGCCCCTTTGAGCTGCCAAGAAGCATTCCTGTGGCTGTGGGACCAAGACCGTTTCAAGCGATACCCAGGGAGATGCTTCCAACAGCGAGCAGCTGGATCCTTTGCTCAGAAAACGAGGGGTGTAGGAAGACTTTTGGAGGTTCAGTATGCCTACCGTTGCTTAAAAGTTGAACAAGCGCGACACCCCCTTGAAGCCCCACCTACCCCTGAACCCTAACCCGCACCGGCATCCCACCCTTAACATGCGCCGTAGCCGCCTGCTCCGCCGTCTCAACCTGATATGCCCGCGTCCCAAACCACACAGGCGCGCCCTCCTCATACGCCTCCTCGACCACGAACTCGCGCACCGTCAGCGCCAATATCAGCCGCAGCTCCAGAGTGACCAGCTCCTGCCCGATGCAGGCGCGCGGCCCCATCTCGAACGGCCGCCACACGTTCCGCACGGGGTACAGCGGGTCGCTCGCGTCGCGCGCGAGGAAGCGCTCTGGCATGAAGGCGTCGGGCGAGGGCCAGAACTCGGGCGCACGCGCCGTGGTGGTGACTGACGAGTGGAGCATGAAGCCGTGTGTCGGGTAGCGCTGGCGCGTGTGCGGGTGCGTGAGGTGGTGGCCCGGCGGGGATTGCCGGATCGTGCCGCCGACGGGCGGGAAGAGGCGGAGCGTCTCTTTGATGGCGGCGAGCGTGTAGGGCAGGCTGTTGAGCAGGGTCGGGTCTATGGCAATGCGGGACGCGGCGGCTGCTGGGTCCGGGCCGAGGACCTCGTCGTGCTCGGCGCGCATTTTGCCCGCTTGCTTGGAGTTCAGGGATAGCAGGTGATAGGCGTAAGCCAGCGTGGTGGCGGTCGTGTCGTGACCGGCAAACATGAAGATCTTGATGTGCTTGATGACGCGCTCGAGGAATTCGGGCGGGATGGGCGAGGCGCCTGATGAGGACGCGCCCTGGTGTCGCTTCTCTTCGACGTAGGAGCGCAGGGCGAGGGCTAGCACGGTTTTGGGGCCTTCGAGCTGCTCGTAGTTGAGGACCGTCTGCTGGATGAGTGACATCAGCTCGGCGCGGATCGTCCGGTTGTAGAACCAGTTCTTGATGGGCCGCGTGGGGTTCAGGGACTTCGACAGGTCTAGGCTGAGGTGTATCGAGGAAAGCTGCGCTTGCATTGCTTTCATCAGCTTGCTGGACATGGTCTGCGTTTGTAGACGTGTACCGCTGTGCCCTTGTCAGTGATCTGTGTTTGCGTTACGGTTGGAAAGAACGCGTGAGACGCACAGTACAGCGCGGGCTACGACGTCTACAGTCACGTCAGTCGTGTAGTTCTCCAGCTTCACAACTGCGCCGCTCACGGCAGCTTCCCTGAGCCGTTCGCGAAAGACCAGCGCCTCTTCCATGAAATTGGGAATCAGCGATAGCAAGTTCTTTGCAGAGAACCCGGGGTTGAACATAGCCCGGGCAGCCTTCCACTCCTGGCCCTCGAGATGGACCAGGTCCTCGCCACCAGTGAAGTGCTTGAACTCCCTCTGCCCCTGGGCCCACCACTTCGGCAGGCTGTGCTCCTGCGTAAACTGGGCCATGATCTCCGGGTGGTAGACGGCGATCATGGGATAGCCGATAGGCCACACGTCCATATAGAGGACTCCCGGGGCAGCGATCTCGGGGTACTCCAGCTTGATGAAATGGAACATCCAGTGGCCATTTCCGTCCCGCGGGATCTTGTGCTTGATGGCGATCTTGGCCGTCGTCCACAGGTGGCCGAAGAGGAACGAGTGCGGCATTATCGGCTGATCAAAATCAGCATTGCGGAAGAGTGACGATAGTCCACCGCTGAGCAAAAGTGACTTGTTGGAGGAGGTAGACGTTGATGACCTACAATTCCATGTTCTTTCCGCACACGACGAAACATTATCCGCACTTGGTACAGGCGGACGAAGAAGAACACCAGGCCGACGAGCACAAGGTGTCCTAAGAGCTTGATACTGTGGTCTATGGTGAGCAGGCCCGAGAGGCCCAAAGCTTGCTCCATGGCGATTTGAGTCGTGTGGTCTCACCTGGGCTTCGTGGGAAGTGCAGTAGTGAAGTTTGGGACATGTTGAGTCTTGACTTAGGATGTTCTTAAGGCATAGCAGAGCATAATAAAGCACAGTAGGGCACAGCGAGGCACAGCAGGGTCTGGGTGGTTCTTGCGGTGACAGGGGTGCTGGAAGTGGCTGGCAGCCTGCTGCCAGCTAGCCGTGCCTACTGCAATCTGCCAAGTTGAAGGATTAAAGACAGATTGCGTCCGTAAGAAGTAACGGCTTCTGCTCAGCCAGTCAGCCTCCTGGTAAGACGACGAACCGTGCACCCTCATGGTGTGCGGGTCGCACTACAACTGGTCACCTCGCTATCGAGTTCCAATGGAAGCGATGCACGCAGTCCAATCTTCCGCTTAGACTTCTTTATGTTACGGCCAAGTGAGCCGTCGGAATCCTCGGTCATGCTGTATCAGGCGAACACATATGTTGCAGGCGTGTGGCTGCTGGTCTGGAGGCATATTATATCGACACTATCGACTGGCCGAGCCGCCGTGTAATCCATAGCGTCGGATGACATTCTAGAGCCATCATGGAGCTGACGTGATGTCCAAGATTAGACACTTTTGCTGAGGTCAGATATAACTCTAGTATTATAATTGTCAGAATTTCCCAGCATATGGTAATCTTCAAAGGTTCGTTGGCCGTTGGAGGTCTACCTCTAAAGCAGCAAACAACCAAGCGCACGTACTCGGCGGAGCACCCCTACCATGACACTGTCGGGGGGGACGGGTAATCTCTTCCTGTCGTCTTTTGTGATGATAGGTAAGTTGGCCGTAAAACGCCAGCAACCAACAGCGTTCTGGGTTGCTGGTCAAATCCAGAACTTATATCCCCATCAACAGGATGGGCTCCTGCTTTCCTCGGGATGTAACCGCGCGCGAACGCACCACTCGCCAATGGCATTAGCGCCATACACGAGCCGCCCTGGCTCTCGAAGCGATCCATGTCTGGAATCTGGATCGAGTGATGTTTCTGGCAGGTCGTGAAAGATCAATAACGATTCCGGGTAGCAAGTCCAAATCGGATGACGCGCCTGGATCATCTCGAGATGCTCGCCCCTAGATAGAGAAACATGCCCGCTATGGATATGCAAGTTACAAGGGCTGTCTGCCTTGAGCTTTTAAGTCTGTCAAAACGATATAATGATACCTATACGATATGGTTGATTCAAACCTCTTACTCCCATTAGGTTTGCTTCCTCTGCAGCAGTATTGACGAGGGGACTAAAGTGCCTGACACGTTGACTGTTGAAAGATGTTCGTCCATCTTCAGTCGCGATGCATCTGGCCATTGGAGCTGGGTGTTCTGGAGGGATTCTTCTGCCGGTCTTGGTTTTTCATGAGGTACTTGAAAACTTAATTCAATTCAATAAAATTCACCATCCTCGCATGTATTCACGCGGGGGAATGTTCATTCAATTCGAAGTTCTACCCGTTGTAGGTGCATCGTGTAATCTCCCACTGCCGATGTGGACCTAGCCACGGCGCGCCGATAAGGGATCTTGGGTGTCCCGATTTAGCTTAGCGGCCTCTCTAAACCCCCCAGTAAAAGATCCCCCATGATAGACCAACCATCGTCTCCCGCTGGCCCGCTTGTGGGTCATGTACCAAGACCCTGGCAGTGCAACGGTCAACGCGCTGCTTCCCATCGGTCGGGTCTCAGCCACTCGTCCAATACCACTCTCTCGGGCAGCAGTCACTGTCAGCCAGTTGGCGGTTCATCTCACTGTCATCAGCACTCTTGGATCATCTGAGCCACCACACCATCGCCCCTTTTCCTACATGTACCGTATTAGGCTCTGCGCTCAACCCTCTTTATGAGTTTCGGACCTTCCCCCACCACACCAGTCCGCCCCACGAACCCTTCATCCCGTGCTGCCTTCTCTAGAAGTAGTCGCAGACGTCACGCTCGTTATTGTCATTCCAGCACATCTCCTTTTCTTTCGCATGATCGCCCTTCCGAAATACACCGCTCGGCCGCCGATCGCTGAGCAAACTTCTTGAGCACAGCCGAGACACACAGAAACACTCGCGTTCCGCAACATCTCCCGTCTGCCCGTCTCGCACGACAGACTCTACCACGCACAACCCCAACCATGGGCATGGTCGAGCAGAGGAGATTGCGCTCTCTAGCCAAGCGTCTATCTCGCGGCCAAAAGATAACACTAGGAATCGTCCTATGTCTCTTCATCGTCTACGTCTCAACCTCCTACGACAGCCGGCTGCGGTCTTTCCTCCGATTTGAACATAACGTCGTGGAAGACTACTTCCAGGAACACCACCCCAGCGATTCGTGGCTGTTCAAGAAGCAAAGATACCCAATCGACCCTGATAAGGACGTGGGCATCATACTCAAGACTGGTTACGGGACGAGGAATCGAGTGCCGGTCGCCATCGAAGCGCTGAATAACGAGTCCTTCTTCGCCGACACGCTTGTCGTTCAAGACTTCCCACCCATACAGAGCCAGCTGCATTACGCGCTATCCAATGGCAAGGACATTCCCGTGGTGGACATAATAGGATGGAACCTGGAGAGGGGAGCCCTGAAGGGCAAAGGGCACACGGAACGGATATTGAAGTACAAGAACATGGCCGAGGCGATTGAGGCAGAAGAATGGGCGTTGTCGGATGGATTGGGCAAGGATATGGGCTGGGAACTCGATGCCATGAAGGTTTGTCCACTCGATGAATCTGAACAGTACGTATTTGCTAAACCGGCCCTTGCAGTTCCTTCCCGGCCTCGAGTACGCCTGGAATACGATGCCCAAGAAGAAGTGGTACATCATGTTGGACGACGATACCTACATGATCAAATCGTCCATGAGCATGCTCGTGGGACACTTGAACTACGGCAAGCCTCATTTCCTAGGGAACCCGGTGGGAGACTACAAAGGTCGCTTTCCGCATGGTGGTTCGTCGGTCATCTTGTCCGGCGCTGCTCTGAGCAAGCTATACGATGTCCATCCACAGGTTGTTGCTGAAGGCAACCTGGAGTCCCCATCCGCCATCTACGGCGACAAGCTGATGTCGACCACTTTTATGAAAATAGGAGTCTACCTGGACGAGACGTACCGGCGCATGTTCAACGGTGAGAACCCCTGGATGACACGGCTGTGGGCCGACCGCTTGTGCCTGCCCCTCGTAGGCTTCCATGGTCTCGGGAACCATGACGATATGCGGGCAGTGGGAGAGACGTTCGGCGGCATGCGTGAACCTGTGTTCTGGAAGTCCCTAGGCAAGATTTACGGAGCACCCGACTACGCGACCTACGTCGATCAACCAATCCGGAACAATATGGACTACGTGGGACGCCTCGACGAGTGGAGCACAAGCGTCCCGAACACGACGACAGTTGAGGAGTGCCTCAAGATCTGCGACCAGCAGTCTACACAATGTCTAGCATGGACATATGACCCGGGCTCGAGATACTGTCACTTCGCACCGTGGAGCATCGTGGGCAACTTTGTCGAAGGATGGTCATCAGGGGTGAACGGCAAGCGAGCACAGAAGCTGCTGAACAAGTGCCATTCGCCTTTATAAAGATTTGCAGGCACTCATTCATTTTTCTTGTGTATACGGGAAGGCTTGGTACTAACGGCAGGCATCAGCATCAGGTTGCTTGGGTCCAACGACATATGGCTGAGACGGGTCAGCCACTGCATAGACCTCGAGGAAAGGTTTATGAGGACTTTGAATGATACCCGGGACGGTCTTGTAACATATTTGCGCGAAGGACTGCAGGGTACTGCTATAATCCTAATTGGGATACGATGGGCAGCTATCTTGCTATCGAAAAGAAGAACAGTACTAGGTACATATACAGGACAGCCAACTGTCATGCTCCATTCCGGCGTGATCTGAACTGGTATCTATTGTCGATCCGGGTAATGAAATGCCTAGGACGCGTGTTTGTTCGCTGCCCCTTTGCACGCGCGTTGCGTGCAGCTTCATGCTGTCAGCTAATCTCCCCTCAAATGGATTCCCATGCAGTACAACGCTTGCGATGCTTGGGGGCATACTGTACAGTATGCAAACCTTTCAGCCACAGTAATGGGAGATTGGATGAGCCACGCCACGACAGAGCCCCGCAGGTGGCTTGACACGATCCGCTCCCGCGGGACTTGATGACGTGGGGTCAAGAACATAGAAGCAGCCCTGGTCCTGGAGACACACGACGTCACCTGCACATCGAATACCTCGACGGCGCCTATTCACGCCACCAAGCCAGCAGCTAGCAGCCAACTACCAGCTGGAGTCCCTTGACCAAGGCCAGGTCCCGAGGTCCTATCGTATTACCTACCTACGTGCCTACCTAACCTATAGCTACAAGACGGTCAACTCAACTCAACCCCATCCCACTCGGTTGCCGTGTCTGCCGTGTCTGCCGACAATACCATCGTCCATCTCCCTACCTGCTGCCTGCCTACAAGCCAACCTTTCGAGCCGACCCGAGTCGACTCCATCGCATCCCATATCCTCTAGTTTTCAGCCCTTGTGGACGTCCTGCCTCACCAGATCACCCATCTGTACAGTGTACAGTACGCTCGACAAAGACGAACTGGACGTGGATTCGTTGTTGGGGTGACCCCGCCTGTTGATTCATATACCTCCTCTACCATACCTATTATCCGCGCCCTCGAAACGTCACAATAATGTCAGAGACGGCTCAGCACCCCCAGGCCACTGGCGCCAGTTGGTCCTCGTTCCTCAAGGTAGGTAACCCCATCACGCACAATCCTGCATACACGCGCATAGGTGGTGGTCAGGGGTTATCGTTCGCAGTTGCTGACTGATCGTGTTACTCCTATTAGTCTATCGCTTCATTCAATGGCGACCTCTCTTCCCTGACTGCCCCGCCCTTCATCCTCTCGTCCACAAGTCTTACCGAGTTCAGCTCGTACTGGTGCGAGCATCCCGGCGTCTTCACTGCGCCGGCCAAGGAGCAAGACCCGGCCAAGAGGGCCCTGCTCGTGCTTCAGTGGTTCCTGACCACCCTGAAACAACAATACGCCAGTCGGAGCGAGCAATATGGCAACGAGAAGAAGCCGCTGAACCCCTTCTTGGGCGAGCTGTTCCTGGGTAAATGGGAGGACGATGCGGGCACAACCGTGTTGATGAGTGAGCAGGTCAGGTGAGGATACCGAGATTGTGGTCCCAAGACATGGCAGACGACGTACTAACGAAATCCCGCAGCCACCACCCACCCGCGACCGCTTACAGCATCCTTAACGAACCTACCGGTGTCCATTTGCAAGGCTACAACGCACAGAAGGCTAGCTTCTTCAAGACCATCAATATCAAACAGATCGGCCACGCCTTGCTCACCGTCCCGGTCCCATCGAAAGCGGGCGAAAAGGAAACGTTTGTCATCACACTACCCTCGCTTCACGTGGAGGGCCTCATATTCGGCTCGCCATTCATCGAGCTTGATGGTGCGTCGTACATTACATCGTCATCAGGCTACACCGCCAAGATCGACTATGCGGGCAAGGGCTGGGTGAGCGGCAAGAAGAACTCGTTTGTAGCAAGCCTGTACCCGACCGGAAAGGAGAAGGATGTGCTTTACAACTGCTCCGGCCAGTGGACCAAGGCATTTGAGATCCACAGCGGTTCTGCCAAGCACAACTCGTCCAAAACCCTCCTCGCCACTTGGGACCCCGCCGTCACACACACGAGCAAGCTCAGCGTTCTGCCCTTGGAGAAGCAACACCCGCTTGAGTCGCGACGCGCCTGGGCCGGGGTGGCATCTGGCATCTCTAAAGGCGACATGGATTTCGTGGGCAGAGAGAAGGCCAAGATTGAGCAGGCACAACGCACAATGCGGAAGAAGGAGCAGTCGGAGGGCCGCGATTGGTATCGCATGTACTTCACCGCGCGACCTGACCCGGTCTTTGAGTCCCTCGCCCATCACGTCGGGCTAAGTCCAGACGGGGACAAAGAGAAGACCGGGGGTTTGTGGCGATTCGATTCTGCCAAGGCCGACAAGGTTAAGACGCTGGACTTGAGTGACGAGCAGAAGGCTCAGTTGGCTAAGGAGTTGCTTGGCCAGTAGATGGCTCCGATGTTTTCATTTCTTCGTTTCGCGTTCAGAAAAGGGGTGGGAATGCTGCTGTACTGTTAAGACCAGGGCGCAATGGCCAAGGTATGTGACCGTGAGCAATGAAGGGGGTTCTGGGTCGGGTATGGTGTACTGAGGTCTCGGGGTTTGCATACTGTTTGGTATGAGTTGACGCGTCAATGGCAATATTCTTCTACTGCTTTCATCGCGTATGCTGTATGTCCTCCGGCAGTCGGCCGAAGATGACCGGCTTCGGTATAAAAGGGGAGATGAAGGGTGCCAGGCCGATGAAAATTCGAGGGACTGGACGAAGTGAATCAAGGTCCTGGGTGGCGGATAGGAGATGGTTTCCCCCCTTGCGCGGGAGCACATTGTGATTTTAAACCCAGCAGATGATTAGGAGGGCATCCGCATTTCCATTTATTGATACTTTATCCAACCTCTAGCAAAGTGACACTTCTCTTTTTTGCCCTTTTTGTTTTCCTTGCTTTTGAGCATCGTGCTCACTTGAGCTGCCCTTTACGGCATTAGCCGTAGCTTCATTCATCTCTTCTACACATGGGTAGTCGCTTGAGCATGCGGTGGCTATAATGTTTGCTCAATATTGATGAATTAATTCGTAAGTTAGTCTTTAACGGCTAGAGTGATGCTGCGTAACAGCATTATGTATCTCTCCCTGGGGTGCATAGGGCCGGGGCAAGCTGTCCACCATATCTAGACACAGTAAGTGGTATCAAATTGATACCTCATGGGCTGGCATTCTCCTGACTCCTTGTCCAGTCCTTCTAGGTCTCCGTGCCCGATCCGTTCGGTTGTCCCTGGAGAAGTGGTTCGGGAACCTCCACTGTTTAGGAAGCTGGTTTCAACGTTTGCGCCGGTCCGAAAGACGCCGTCATTTGAATGAAGTCTGAACTTTATAGGCAGTCAGCGCTATACTTGACAGAGATGAGCCAAGCTAAAGCACCAGATAGCGCTGATAAGAATCGAACCTAGGGTCACTTTTGTACGGTTGAAGTGACAGGGCAGAAGTCTGTGTCCAAGTAGTGACTAAGTTGGTACGAAGTGATAGCGGGCTATCAGTACGGATGCTCCCTTAAACGCCACCTTTTTTATAGTGAAAGAGGGCTCTTCGCCCTGGGAGACCATGATCGATTACAACACGCCAAGCAGCGTAATCTGTGGTATAGTAAAAGGGGATTATTCCCCTAGAAAACCGTGATCGAATACAACACGCCAGGCAGTGTAATCTGTGGGATGACTGATAAGAGATCTTGGATTGAAAGGAGTGCTATGAGTTTGCCAACTATGTCCGGGCGTCAAGACAGCCGCGGGACAAGATTAAAGAAACAAAAGGAGATCAGAACAGTTGTAGTATATGCGATTCCCAGCCGGTTACCGTCCCGGGCCGCCGCCCGCCCATCCGTTGTCCACCATTCAATATCGATGCCGGGCCGTGGGAACACAGGAAAGGAAAATGAGAGAACCAGCTCGACGAATCCCCCTTTACGTGTACTTGATGCTCTTAATCGAATCGAAGCCGTCGAAGCGCTTCACCTGTGTCTTGACGCACTGGTCGTTCAAACTGAGGATATCGAAGCTGTTGCCGTTGCATCCGTGCTCCGAGTAGGCTGCCCCTGCTGTCAGCGACGTCCGCACCTCTTGAAACGGATGGGGTCGGGGTTGGGGTTGGGGTTGGACGGCGCGGATGGATGCTTACCCTTCCCTCCTGTGGCTGGAGTCGAGCCCTTGGAGACCCAGACCCCTTTGGTGTCCTCGTCGCTGCTGATCTCGACACAAGCCTGGAGCGGCGGTCTGTGCGGATACTGAGGAGCGTTGCCGCCGGAGTCATCGGTGCTGGGGAGAAGAGGGCCGTGTTAGTACCTTTGCTGGCTTGAGTGGGTGCGGATTGCGCGAGACGTACCAGTTGTCATTGACATACTCGTTCACCTTCGGGGCGCTGTACCGGGCGGCGATGGGCAGCCCGGGTACGTCCGGGAGGGCGGATGCGGAGGCAGTGGCGGCGAATGCGGCCATGGCGAAGGTAGCGAGAGAGATCTGCATCTTTATGGTGATGGTGGTGATCTTGGGTAGGTTGTTGTGGAGTTGTTGCGGTGCGAGGATGTCTGGTTGTGGTGTTGTGTTGTGGTTGTGGTTGCTGTGTTGTTGGTGATGTTCTGAGAGAGATAATTCGATTATGACCGGCGAGCTTTCGAAGCTTTATACTCGGCTCGATGGCTCTTTGGCGTCCAACATCTATGAAGCGAGCTATGCCAAGCTCCTGGCTGACTATTGTCTGCCATGTCTTGCAACCACGGCCAAGTGGATTATGACGATGTTCTGGGTGGCTATGGACTTTGCTGCCTTGTGTTCCTCATTCCTGGTGTTCCTGATGTTCCTGGTGTTCACGGGAGGGAATTCCTGATGCAGAACTGAGTTGCGGCTCTGGTATTGAACAGCTATAAAAAGAAACAGCGCGGTTGTTGGTGCCTGTTAATGTCGATGTCCTGCAGACTATTAACAAGACCACTATGACGTTATTAGGGCTGAGACTGGACCCCGATACCATGTTATCCTGGTGCCTGGTGTTCCTGACGCCTACTCTAAACTCAGAGTGGTCCCTAGATCCTACAGACTACTGGTGCTTGCCAAGTTGCTGCCTGGTGTCTTTAGAGTTCAAGGCTAGCTCGGCAAACATGTACTGTTGACACCGCGCAGGGGTGAATATTCCACACCATGATTCCTACAGGTACATCGTGAAGGGAATATATCAATGCATACCTAGCCTACAGCATTCATAAATATCGTAGCTATTCAACCATTCTAGTATGTCTTGGTCTGTGGACTAGAAGAGCGAAGCTAACCTTGTATATCCATGTAAATACCCGGGGGAATATACGCGTAATGTGGATATACTCAATCGGGAATGTTTCCTCCTAAGAAACTCCACAGCACTCCTGATAATCCTTCGACTCCCTGCTCTTGGAGACGAAGTCCCGGGAATCTCCACGACTCTATAACCCTTTGGCTCTAGGGCGCCCACCCCCTAGGAGACTCCGCAACACTATAATCCTTCGATTCTTGGCACAGTCATCAGCCGCCGCAAAAAAATAGGCGGCAAGATTTCTGGAACGAGCTACTTCCGTGAGGAACGGTAAGCTTTTATCAACTTCAGGCCACCTGAAAAGCCCGCTGCTTGGGTGGGTAGGAGGAGTAATGGTATCCGTACCTGGTGCGTCCCTACTGCCTGATACATATATCATTGGAGCAAGCGATAGAATCCCCTCGTGCTTCTTTCGAGCTCTATTCTGTGCAGATGCCGGAGGCCGAAGGCACTCATGTTTGCTTTACCTGGCTGCTTAAGATCGCCGCGGAGAACCGCGGCACACAATGTATCAGTACAAGCATGTCTGCGTGGTCTGCATGTATGATGTGTCATTCCTTAGCTACCGTTGAGCATTATTCAACCCTCTGCCCGTCTGCGGAGAGTATCTGCTCCTGGTAGACACTTTATTCTGACGACCTAGGCGCCTGCGAGAGGAATATTTCCAGGACGGCGTGGACATACAGATCTCCTGAGTTCGCCTGCACGGAGTCGGTGTTTCGATGTAATTGACTACCTAAACCGTAGGAGCACCACCGTCATCTCTGCACACTCGAGCGGCGGTTAAGAGGATAAATTGCATAATCACTTGTACTAAGCAATGGTTATTTCCAGAGGCACGCGACTGGGATAACTAAGAATCGTTGTTTATCCCGGTGTAAATTACTCTTTCGACCGCTTGACACTTTCTTGTGCGGCGCATCCCGGGGAGAGTTCACACACTGGTGGTGGTAGATGGTCCTTCAAAAGACTCACTTGGAGCTGCGACCCTACCCCCTGTGTAACAGGAACTTCGGTGGCTACGACAACTTTCGGGTCAGGAACTGGAGGTTCTGCCGGCTCGTCTACGCCGCTCCCGTGCATGTGGCTTCCCCCTACCGGCCCGTCATGATTTTCTACCCCCAATATCTACCCCAAGCCCCCGCCATTGGGGTCGTGAACACCATTCAGGGGTAATAATGTGTCCGAACTAGGCAAAGTCACCGCACGAGTGCTCTGAAGATGGCGTCTTACGCTGGTCATTGATAGTTGCCCCAGGTGCCATTTCCACCCCAAACGAAGTACTCTAGGTTTTATTCCCTCCCGCGGTGATGACAAATGTGCACGGACTTCCTGAGTGTTGTATATAAGAGACGTAGATTCCACAATGTTTGATGTCCTAGAACAAGAACCTCATGCTTGAATAACCAGTCAAGATCATACTAAAGTCTGACTATCCGTTATAGGTTTCGAACTCGAGCCTACTTCACTTTGCGTCTTCACCTACCTGCTTTCTTTCAGCCCCAACACGCACAATGTCATCTCAGACAGTCTTCCGACTGACCCCCCAGAACGGCTTCGAAGCGCTCCAAGCATTCCAGGAGCCAATCCCTACAGTCGGGAAGCAAGAAGTCCTTGTCAAGATCCGCAGCGTCGCCCTGAACTACCGCGACATCGTCATCGCGACCGCGAAATACCCGGTGCCGGTGAAGGACAATGTGATTCCCTGCTCCGACATGGCCGGCGAAGTCGCGCAGGTAAGCGACGGGGTGACCGTGCTCTCGGTGGGCGACCGCGTCCTCGCGCCCGTCGACCCCGACTTCTTGTACGGGCCGTCGAAGGGCGCCGGGGGCGCCTTCGGCGGCGGCCGAGACGGCGTGCTTACGGCGTACATCGCCTTGCCAGCGCATTGCCTGATCAAGCTGCCCGACACAGCTTCACGCAGTGGGCCGCTCTGGTTGGGACAGGATCGACGGTGTGGAATGCCTTCTACGGCAACAAGCCCCTCAAGCCGGGTGATACGGTGCTAATCCTCGGTAAGCTGATCCACCTCCATCCCCTAACCCAACAGAGGCTTCCACTTACTCGGGTGCTTCATGAAGGGACCGGCGGCGTCTCCCTGACGGCCCTGATATTCGCCAAAGCGGCTGGCGCAACCACCATCTTCACGTCGTCGAGCGACCAGAAGCTTGCGCATGTGAAGGCGAGATACGGCGCCGACCACACGATCAACTACGCGACGCACGCCGACTGGGCCGCCGAGGTGCAGCGCATCACGGGTGGCCGGGGCGCGGACCACATCATCGAGAACGGGGGCGCGGGGACGATGCGGCAGAGCCTGCAGGCTGTGGCCTACGGCGGCGTCGTATCCGCGATCGGCTTCCTGAGCACCGTGACGCAGGACCAGATGCCGGATGTGACGATGATGACGATGCTCAAGGGCTGCGTCACGCGCGGGATCTTGAGCGGGTCGAAGCAGCAGCTCGAGGAGGCGGTCAGGTTCGCACAGGGTCGCGGGCTGGAAGTGCCCGTGGATAAGACGTTTGGCTATAACAGGGACGAGATCATCGCGGCGCTGCAGTATGTCGCGGACGGCCGGCACATTGGCAAGGTTTGTATCGACCTGGACTAGGATGGAGGTGAATCTGCCAGGAATTGGAGACCGGCCCCGATGACGTTGTCGATCTCGAGGACGTGGACGCCCTGGAACACATGGGCCCAGAGCTTGACTACTGTCATGGCCATACGTCGGAAGCGTGAGGTGTCGTCTTCGGCGATGTCGAGCGTCTTGGCGAAGGGCGTCTCTCGGATAATGGCCGTGATGATCCCTATGATTCTTCTCTCAGGCTTACGTAGTGCTTCCGCGTTCGGAGAACCGGCGGCTGTGGAAATCATATGGAGCCAGTCTTTGAGCAGCAATGCGCATTCGATACTGCACAGTGAATGCTCGATAGTCCAGATCGGTGTTTTGGTACAAGCCATGAACGAGATGCCCAGACGCACTGGTACGCTCAGGGCATGCGCGGCGTGGAGGACGGCCCTGTCGAAAGTGGGAGTCCTGTCCAGATCATAGGCGTGCCTATCTGCGATGCATCCTACTTCGCGTGCGAGAAGTCCTCTGGACGGACCAAGGTCTGATACCAGACGGATATGGGCAAGTCGAAAGAGCGCGGTTGCTGTCAATCCTAACGGTCCATGTGGTGAGAACGGATCCAGAGTTGATTCACCCGTCACTTCCCAGGATAGTTGCCACTTGCGGAGAGCACTTTCGAAGCCCTTGACTGTGTCTGGCAGTAGCAATGCCGCAGGCCCATAGCGGTCGATATATATCTGCTGGAGGAGCCCATGCATGAGTAGATAATTGGCGAATGAGGAACCGCCTGCATCTTTTGGGATCCCGGTACCGTCGAACAGACGACGGAGTCCTTCTTGGAACCCACGTTCGACAGGACGAGTGGGCCTGGTGCCATTGCGATGCGTCTTTTGCCTTCCACTGGTCCACGCAACCGGGCAAAGAGAGACCAACTTCATGATTCAAGATCAGTGGAGGAATGTCGAAGGCGATACTGTGCAAGTTGAGCAGTATGTATGCGGCGAATAAAGTCCTCCGCCTTTCCTCGATAGCGACCCATGACAGCCAGTCAATGTTCTGTGGCATCTCGTCCGCCTCGGATACCCGGTTGTTCCTGGCTAGCATGGCTAGTTCACTGCCCATGGATATAGCGTCTGCTGACACCGCCTTGTCCGCCCACGAGGCAAACGAAATAAGCAACGTGAGTGTCTGGATCCTTCCCAAGTCGTTCCGTTCATCATGGGACTGATATTCCTGCCCGGAGATTAAGTTCGATGCCACCAGATGGTCTTCACAACGTAGCTTCTCTTCCAAGATGGCCTTGGCCGTAAAATATAGCCCATATGATGTCGGGTACTCGTATCGGTAGAGGGCTCCGAGCGCCGCCATAGCTAGAAGTAGCTCGACGTCCCTGTTCTCAACCGAAAACGTTTCGCGGTGAATGAACGGAAGGGACTTTTGAGTGCACCGTAGATACATCTTTAGGTATCCCACCAGCGTGTCTCTTGTGGGAAGTGAACATCCTGGTGGAAGTAGCCCCACGTAGGAATTGACTTCCCGACTCAGAGCTTCGTAAGCAGACGCGGGGATGCACCACGGCGCGGCATCGGCACAGGTATGCTCTTCGGCCTGATCTTCAGTCACTGTGGCGCCGTCGGCATCATCCTCAATATCATCCTCGCTTATATCCAGTGGTGGAAGGCGACTACTGAACTGAGTGAAACTGTTGTTCGCGCACGGTGTCGGAGCTGCTGGAGCCTCGTTCATGAACTCCACGTCGGCATCGAACAGCGCTGACGGAAGCATATCCTGGGCCATCATGCTGGAGGGCCATAGTATATCGAACTCATCTGCATCTACAGTAGCACCATCATCGTGAAGTGTGACAGTCTGCCCGAGCTCTCCTTGCGGAGGTGCCGCGGCGTTCGTATGCGACTGTGACGGGTGCGCTGATCTGATATGGCGCACCAGGTCTCTACCGTGAGTGTTAAAGGCTCATATCATGGCTTGGTGGAAGCACGATAGCTTACTTTCTCGAAAAGCTCTGCCCGCAGTCGCAGGCGAACGGTCTTTCCTGCGTATCTGTCGATTTGTCAGCGGACTGCGCCGCGGGGTCTGGCTTCAATCCTCACGTGTGCGCTCATGCCGCTGTAGGTGCTCCCGTCTTTTGAAACGTTTGTCGCAGTATTGGCATGGTGCGACGACAGATTTGGGTCTTCCTCGAGGCATTGTTGAGTTGACAGGTCGAAGGCGGTGACCGTAGATTTCCGGTGGGCGGCTAGATCTGACTTGGGGAAATGGTGTGATATAGCCCGATAGGGGGCTGGTCTGCGCACGGACCATTTGAACGGGAGACGGTCACTGGTCAAGACCGGAGCTGCATGTCTCACTTAGGAGTAAGGCATAGGCAGTATTTACTTGACAAATTAGATTATTACATCACTGGAAGCCTTGAGTATATTTTGAGAAGATTACAATCACAAGGCACCAGGAGAATATCCGGATGCACTCAAGGTTGTTCTGTGGGTCTATTGGCGTCCCAAAGTATTTTGTGTCAAATGAAGCGATGGGTGAAGCTTCTTGATGTGTTTTTGTGACGGCTTTGACGGCATGTGTAAGCAGTGACGGAAAAGGATTTTTATTATTATTTATTTATTTATATATACCGTGAGATCACCTCTCAGCAGAATAAGTTTGTTTGTTTGTTTGTTTGTTTTGTATTTAACGTGGGGGGTAGCTCCTCAGTAGTGCAAACCACGCCTCCCAGACCCTCTGTATCATAGGGTTGTGGAGGTCTCAAGATAATAAGTACAGTCAGTCCCGCTCACAGGCCCATCCCCGTTGTTGCGGCGGTATGACCTTTGGGTCATCCATCTGGTCCTTCAAGAAAAGCTATCTATAGGGGCAGATTGTTGAAAAGAACTTGCTCTTCTTTATAAATTTTGTTCATTCTGTGCTCCTCTCCCCTAAGTATTATAAACAAGCTGTCCTAAGCGAGTACCTAAGCAGTAGCCGGTTTTTCCCCAGCCTCTTACAAAAGAAAATGTATTGTGGTGTTTTCTTTTCACCATAGCTGCAGTGATCATTCGAGTCTGTATGCCCAAAGCGTTCATGGTATCTGACAAAGTCGCCATGTCCAGATCTGGCCGCTAAAAGTCTATATAAAGTACTCCTCTTAAAAGATATAAGGTCTCTTTCAGTTATTGTATATAAGTATATTTCTTGATATTTAGGTTCTGATTGGTCTTTTTATCATTAGTTGAACTCTTTCCTGCCCTTTTTTTTGAGATCTCTTTTGACCCAAGAGATTATAGGAAGGTTTGTCGTGTCTGTTTCTAGCATGGCACCCTCTTTTGTTAGTATATCAGCAGCTTCGTTGCCATCAATATCTCTGTGTCCAGGAATCCACTTGACGGTCACTCCAGGAGTGTGTGCTGTGGCAAGTTCTTGAAATCGTAGAAAAATGTTCTGTGATGTCTCGGGTGGAGTCCCATTGAGCCCATCTACCACTGACATGTTGTCCAGGCAGACATATAGCTGTTTTCTGTGTCCAATTGCCCTGGCTGCTGCAAGACCTTGGAGAGCACCATGGACTTCAGCATCTACTACTTCTGCTTGGAGAAGTCTGCCCTTTCCCTGGTATACTTCTTGTATAGTGCCGCTTTACCTGATGGTATAACCCCATCCAGTACGGGTTGTGCCTTGGTCGTCCAACTATGATCCATCTGAATGAATGACAAGGTCAGTGTTCACATTTCTCTCCTGTAGCCATTGCTTGAAGAGCTCTGTTTCTTTGTCTTTGTCTTTATGGATTGGGGGCTTCTTCCATGATGGCCTGGTAAGTGTTGGTCTCTGGAAGTCAGGGACTAGTTGGAAGCTCCTTTGTAGCCTTGTTGGATTCTTGCGAGCTTGTATTTAGAGCCTGCCAACAAGAGGGTATCTCTGGTCTATTCGTCCTAGTCAGAGGCCGTGACGTCGTCTTATTGACTCTGCAAGAACTCTTGCTGGGGGAATCTGCGATTCAAAGTATAGGATATGTCTAGGGTGTGTTTTCCAGACAGGCAAGATAGCCCTGATTGCCGTTCGTAGTACGGCATCTATTGTTCTAAGAAGCCTCTTAATGCGACATGCTGATGTCTTACCTGAGCTCCTATTTTTTTGATTCCTGGGTACCAGACCTCTAAGCCGTGTGTAAGAATAGGAATAACACAAGCTTTCACAGCCCTCTTGGTTAACTTTACTGGAAGTCTTTTGACTGTGTTGCATAGTCCTCAAAGGTGATTTGCTACCTTATTAGCTTTCTTGGCCCAGTAAGAAACGTGATTTTTGAAGTTTAGTTTTCTATCCAAGAAGACACCCAGCCATCGCATGGAGTCCTTTGCTGTTTTGTTCATTGTCTCGTGGCGGACTGGAGGGTTGTCTGAGTTCTTTTTCCTTGAGAAGTGCATGATCTATTTTTATCAGGGTCAAATTCAATAGCGTTGTTATCTCCTTATTAACTGAATAAATAAAGATTTTCAAAAACCTCTATAGCTGTTTCTTTAAGGTTATTTCTAATGCAGAGAGTCGCTAGGTCGTCTGCGTATCCAAAGCGTCTTTTTTTCATATCAAGTCGGGCACAGATTGGCTCTGTATACAGCATGTAAAGGATTGGAAAAGCTGGTGAGCCTTGTGGTAGCCCACAAGTGAGAGCTTTAATATCGGTCACAATACCTTCAAACCGAACTCTTGCGGACCGCTCGGACATGAATGACTGGACCCATCTTATGAGAAAGCCCGGCCAGCCCTGTTCTCTCATGCGAACCACCAGCCGTCCCATTAGGGCAGCATTAAAGGCCCCTTTTACATCTGACGTGACTACTGTTGCAACGAGGCCTTGGTCGAGGGCCTGCTCAATATTGTGTATGAGTGCAGCTACCAGGTCAGTGGCAGAGCGCTTTGGTAGAGCTTCAAAATATTGTGGAGCTAGAATTTCAAGTTTGACAATAAACCAGGTAATTCTTTTTGCGATGAGTCGTTCTAAGCCTTTGCCAAGACACGACAATAGCGATATTGGTTTG